AAGGGATAAAAGGCCCTCAGAAAATTATGAAAGACGGGCGGCTCGTTGGCCATTTCGATTTCCATCTGAACGTGCTCCTGCGCCTGCGTGTAGAGGTCCTCCTGGGATCCATTCGGGGTCGCTGGCGGCGTTATCTGTGATTGCGAATATGGGTCTGATGAGTCGGCCACACTTGATCCATTGCTGCGGGTTTTCTGTATCGCCAAGGGGGCCACTTGTAGGCTTGATCGCGCGGGTTGGCTGTTCAGCATTGCCATTGCTGTCGGTGATGGTGGTAAGAACACATAGGCCTCGCAGTTGCGACCAGATGGGGGCCAGTGTTTTCAGGCGCAAGTCCGGGTCGCTAGAGGAGGAACGAGTGTCAGTACAAGAAGTGGACGACGGTCGGCACGTCCTCGTGGACCAGCTTGTTTTTGGTGACAGTGTTGAAGAGGTGAAGAATGTAGGGAGCGAGGTTTCCTTGGTGGCAGGAATGAGAAGCTGCATACCAGGGGGAGGCCCCAGGTGACGAAGTTTTGGAATGGTGATCGAAGCAGACGGCAATGTGCAAACCGGGCAGGATTTGATTTCATACCTTTTTCTGTCTGTTGTGGCCAGCCAGTCCAGTGATGCGGTCTTGTGTTGCGGGATCGTCGCTGTGGGATGGCTGGAAGAAGCAAGAATGCAGCAGCAGCAGCAGCAGCAGCAGGGCGACTTGTCGCTATTGCTGTTGCTGTCGCTGTCGTCGGGAACTCGAGTGGCAGCTCGGATCGGTTATAACATGCACCTTGTTGTTGTATCGGACATCAATGCAGGTCAGTCGTGTGAGTCCAGCTGTCCAAGTCCTGGTCGACCGTGGTGATGATCCAAAGTCGGGTATCTGTATTGATTGGTAGTTGGTACGTGTGGGTAATTTACAAGAATCCGGGGGTAGGTGGTGCTATGTCCAAGTTGCGACCAGCCGCGCGTGTCGATTGTTGCTTGATGTTTTTCGAGTTATGAAAAAAAGAAAAAGATGAAACCCAGAAGGCTCGAGACTCGAGAGAATGGAAGGAGGCAGACGATGGAAAGAGACGTCGCTGCTGCTGCTACTTCCTCTCCCTCTCTCTGTCTGTGGTTCCCCTGTCGTGGTCCCCTGGCTGCAGCGATGGTTCATGACTCCACTCCCTCTTTCCAGACTGGCACCCTGGCAGGGTTCATCTGCAATATTTTTCGTCGCGATATTGCCCGTTGGGGAACGCTGCGGGTCTTGCGGGTAGCCCCCCGGTACACGCTAACGGCAGCCAACGAGCGTTCAGAGGAAGAGCTCGGGACCATGGATTTCTCCCCCGGTTCACTCCATCCCAAAATTGGAGCGACCAACCCGGGGCGTGTTTTTATTATACCATCACATCACAGCTTTTGATCGTATCTGTAATTCACGTGTTTCGCCTCACGTTCGAGGCCGATTGGACAGCTCTCTCCGCATGTCTTGAACTTCTTTTCATTCGGACTCGGGGTTTATTGACTTTGTATAATAAGTCTCTCTCTGTCTCTTGAGGAGAGTGAGAGAGAGGTAGGTGGTCGGGTGTCCGGTGTGGGCGGGACGGCTCCAACTGTGCCTTCCGTGGGTCATGATGAATTCTGATAGGGTCTCGACGTTGCCGTGGTTGCACTCGCGGTCAAAAAGTGCACTTTTCAGTATCCTACTGGTGGCGATCAGTTGTTGGACATCCCGCTACCATCAACACCTCGATCGTTTACTGCATTTGTCAGGTTTTGGTTGCGTTCTTGCGATACCGGCCAAAAGCTGACTGCTGCAGTGTGCCTCACGCTATGCATTGATATCACATTCCCTCTCCGACCGGGGAGAGTGGTTGATCGCCTTCACATGGAGCTACTGCGCGAGAATCTGCTTTTTTACCTCTGATCACAGTGGGCAGTGATAGCTTGGCTACCTTACCTGACTTCGCCAGATACTGTGTGCCCTCATCTCCGGTTGTTGTCGTCGTCCTGTACAAAGCACTGTCCAGGCACCTCACTCGCTTTCCAGGTTACCCCACGCTGCAGGATGCCCCGTGTTCCCCACCGAACGGGAGGCAGTTGCTTGTTAAGCACACGCCCCAAGCTTTCTTTTCTTGGCGTTTATGTGTCGCCGAGGGCAACGTCCAGGGTCGTGTTGTTGCCAGTCTCCCCTCGAATTGTTCTCAGTTGCATTTTGTTTTTCTTTCGTGCCATCAGGTTATTTCCACGCGCCAACATCAATGCTACTGCAAACAAGCAGATAATGGAGACGGCGTCACCGTTTAATATCGCCAGTCTTCCTGCTGGGATCCTCTTATCTCTCAGCGTCCCATCAAGTCTCGGTTGGTTCTGCCGTTCGCTGAAGACCTGCAGAGCACGCGTCCAAAGATGCCCTGTGCTTCTTCCCCACACCACAGCTGCAGCGGCACTGAAGATAGCTGCAGGGAATTGAAATTCCCATTGATTTGAATTGGTGAACCTGACATTCTCTTGAGAGATCTGAATGCTCAAAAGGAGTGCCGTTCGAATACCAAAGCCTGCGCCATGATCTGACACTTTGGCCTCTGGCTCTCTGGGTACTCGAACCTTTGAAGTTTCACAGCCTTCCCCAAATGCGCCTCGACGTTTCACGCAAGGCCTTGTCTCGGATATCGACCTTTTTCGTCTAAACATTGCAACCTGGAAGCTGAAGACGTCAAGCCTCGTCTGGTATCAGCAGCTTCTGCTCGTCTGCTGCACAAAGGTTGCTGCGGCCATCCGTCCGGGTGGACGGACCCACCTGACAATGCCGACCCGGTGCTCTGGCGCCGTAAAAACGACCGCGACGGCCTCAGACGCGGAGGCCGGACCAGGCGGGCGATAGTGTATGGGGCCGGCGCCAGTTCACAGGCCGGTGACTTGGCCGCAGCCCAAGGGAAAGAGTTCTCCTTTTCAACGCAGCCACTTTTCACTACTTTGTAAAAAGACGCGGAATTGCCCGTGTGCAGTCAGCAATCATGGACAACCTGGAAGGTACGTGGGGGTGAACCCTTGACACCTGCACAAGTTCGCTCTTAGCGTGGCAAGGCACGCCATGTCGCGTCCTGGCGAACATGAGATTCTTTTCTCGCTCCAACTCACTGATATCTGTACACCCTGGCGGATCCGACTGATGATCCAGTGTCAAATATCCCAGGCTCCAGGCTTGTTGATGAGACCCCCCAAATCACGTCAACTCTCCACCAAACGAACACGCCCCGGGATCAGGAAATCAAGATACAGGAAAACGGGGATTCCCCAGATCAGCATCAGGGCCAGGCCACGTCCACCTACCCTGACCCCCTAACCATGTGAGCGGCGGCAGCAGATGTCTTGTGCTCGACAGCAACTCCAGCATTTAGCCAATGTATAACATATGAATGAAGCCCGTGAGTCGTCGCGGTGCTGCGGAGACTTTTGCCAGGCAAAAACCACAGAGATCAACAGATCAAGCGAGCAGCCCAAGCGAGTGGACACATCCCACGAGCTGTCAAGCTGGACACCCAGTGTTGGCTGCATGTTTCACTTTTCAACCTTCCATATTAGGTCCAATCCCACGTTGTGCAAGCTCCGAAAGCAGAGAATTTATGGAGCTGATTTTCCTTTTCGAGGGCTTTTCCAAGGTGCCTACATATGCAGACCTACTGCAGCATGTCGATGCCGGCCAGCGGCGGGGAAGGTTCAGCAGCTGCGCGACAAGCCAACTCGGGGTGTGAAGAGCTCGCCACTTCAGCCTCAACACAGGGACACATCAATACGAACATGGAGGGACGGCATCGCGGCACATCGGCTCTTTTCCGGGCAATGTCGAAGCTCTATCCAAACTTACCAGGCCGCGTCTGCCGCCATCACCTCGGCCAACACGATTGGTCAATGGTATCGACGTCAGCAACTGGGTGCGGGAAGGCGGGGTAACTCGGTGTGAAATGGTACCCGGGACCTGCATTTGCGCAACCCACCACCACCACCCCACCAGCAGCAGCAATTAAGATCAATCAATCTATCTGTCTATCAATCGCCACGGGCGATAATCAACTCAATGTCGTCAAACCTCAACATCGGGCATCAAGCACACAGACAGACAGACGACCTTGGAAGCCCAACGGCGCCTACCGCCCACCGTTCACCGCCCGCCCACCGGCTTGGCGTTCAATGGCGGCGGTTTTCTAGTGCCGAAGACCACTTATCAATAATGTGAAAGATCAGTAACAAATCGGAAACCATGCAGTCCTCGGTAATCAGGCCACCACGATGCCCATCTTGCGGCATCTCACACCCTGTATCGACAATAACTAACACTGCATTTTACTTCAATTCCGTCCCCGTCCCGGCATTCACATCGGGGGTTAGTATTCTCATTGGCCAGTCCCACCTGATAATTGGCCGCCTCCATCGACAAGGTTGCTTGTCTGCTTGTTTCGACACAGGTGGAGAAAGGCGTTTCTCGTGGGGCATCGGCAACCAGGTTGACAAGGACAGCCTTGGTTGTCAATTTCCTGGCAGGCCTGGCAGAAACCCCAGGGTCCTGTCATGCCTGTCTTTTCCTTTCTGTTGAGTGCTTGTGGCTGCCCATCAAGGTTCCACCGGCTGCCAGCGGTCTGGCCGACTCGCTATCGTGAGCTCGGCGTTGATCACTGCTCGCCTCGGCATGGCGGCCGAGACGAGCTTGGACGATCAACACCCAAAACCGCCATTACTGGAGCCCGCGATATTGTGCTGATCACTACCTGTCCGGCTCATTTGGCAGAGAGGCGTGAGTGAGATGCTGGTAGCATCGCAGAGTACCTCGGTTTCAGGCATTACATACGCGCATTTCAAGCAAGATGGTAAGATAGACGACGGGTGTGATTATGATCTGATACTTTTTGGAGCCGGCGTGGCTCCCAAGCGTCACAACGCTCGAGAACTCCGTCTCTCGGCATGAACTATCGGCGGAAATCGCTACACTACACCGATCATCAACCACATGTGACACCAGCAACACGCATCAGATTCCATTCTCATCGTGGCGCATACACAAACGCCAACTGATCCACTTCACTTCCGTCCTGCCCAACAAACCCGACAATCTGCCACCCGCTTGGAGCCGTGAATGTTTGGCAGGAACTGGTCGCCGAGCCCGCTGTGAGACTGCGCCCTGAAGAAGTCACAGCTCGGATATAAAAGTTGCGAATTTGCCCGTTACGTTGGCCGCTGCAGAGCTCGGCCTGGGTCCAGTATTCGGTCGCTCCCAGGGCGAGAGAAACAACACTCCCGCCGGTGCCGCCGTGGGCGAATATAGTGCCGTCTGTCAGTGTCAGTCCGACGCTATCAAGACGGGATCCTCCTCGGAAAGTGATGGTTGCCGTCTTTGGCTTGTTGGTCCCGGCAAGGACGGGGACATCGCTGAACCAGGTGCCGTGGGGACCGCCGAACAAGCTGCTCTGACGAAGGGACGCTCCAGAGGACCAGGTGTAGTTGACAAGGACTGGGTTGTGATCTGTCAGGATGTTGCCGTCGGCCTGAAGGAACCGCAAAGTATCGTAGCGGACGTCGGTGGCCTGGAGGTTGAGGAGCGGGCTAGCCCGGTAAAAGACCTTGTCCACGATTTCACACAGGTCGTTGGCAGCGGGGTTGCCGCATGAGCTGGGGGACTGGGGAATGACGTTATTGTAGAGGAGCTCAACCCAGGCATCCTTGAGTCGGGGGCCGGAAGGATTCTCGCTGGCGAGCAAATCCCGGATGCCCGTGTCGCCTGTCCGAGTGTAGCGGCTGTTGAAGTCACCAGCCACAACGACAGCATTGCCCTTGCTCCACGTGGCAATGTAGTCAACCACCTGCTTCACGTTGTCGTTTCGGGCAGTAAGATCACCAGGCTCGACACCGGCGTCGGCGTGGAGATTGTAGAAATCAACATAGGCCGCAGTGGAGCTGTCGGATGAGATGGCCACACGCATGAAGGTGAAGCCTTTCGGCGTCAGACAATCGGACTGGCTCGCATCGGAGCATTTGTTCCACTTGATACGCCGAAAGTCAACCCAGGGAAGGTAGGACACGGTGTTGAGACCCGAACCAAACGGAACACCGCCCGATGTGGCAGTCCTGTGCGGATGCGTGTTGGTCCGGTAGATGTGAGCGTGGTAGTTGAAGTCCTGTCACCAACGTGTCAATGCTCCGATTCGGGTGATGATCTTGAAACAAGGAGTCAGGGACCTACCTCTTGCAGCTGCACGACGTCGATCCCATATTCGGAGAACTTTGCACCCATGGCCGCCGCGTTGGCTGCCTTGTCGCCGGGAACACCATTGTCGTTGAGGATGGCCGGGAGGCCGGCCACATTGATGGTCAGGGCGTCAAAGTTGCCCGACGTGGCCGCGAGGGCACCCTCTAGCAGCAACGCTGACGAGAACGCCGCGAGTCTTGATGTGGACAGCTTCATCTTGACAAGATGGTCAAACTCCAAAGGTAGGGTGCTGGGTTTGGCCGTGGAAGTCTACGTAACAAGCCACACGCAGAAAGACGCCCCCCCTTATACATCGACAGCCATCGCCTCTCGTCCTCTTAACGACCGTCCTTGGCATGGCCAGTCTTACCTATTCGAGATATCTTTCGTACTACCCACCCTTTTGGTCGAGTTGGAAGTGTCTTTACACGTGTAACCGAGATGATTGACAGACGGCTCCCCGCCTTGAATTCGGCTCTTGCTCCTCGCTCGTCGGTGGAGGTTCCTGGTTTTGAGGATGGGCGTCCGGCGCGATGTCACCTCAACCGGTGCCCCGCATGACGTTGCCCAGCCTTGACCGGATCGCGCGAGATGAGCGCGTGGACGAAGATTTTAAGATCTGAATGCCGCGTGGGCCGATGTGGGGATGTCATTGGGTTTCCCAGAAGAGGGTCTGCTATCGGCTCTCGCGGCTCCGGCGGTGGGCCGGGTTCACGGCAGGTGCCGGAGCCCCCTGGACGGGCGAGGGTGGGGCCGTGTCGGCGTCAACCCGGCTCATCCTCTTCCAGAATCTGAGTCTCATCTTCTCGAACAATTCTTATGTTTCAGTCGTTGATCATTCTATTTTCTCGACATGTCCAGGATGAGCACTGGTTGGTTGTTAACTTGTTGAAACCAAACACGCACGTCATGGGCGGGATGAGCATCAGACGAAAGATGTCTCATCCTTCTGCCCGTGTTCCGGGTCCAGTCCGATCACCAAGTCATTGAAGGTTTTGTGACGGGAGGTTTGTCACATGACCGGGCTGCTTATGGCGATCTAGGAATAGATTACAGGTGTGTGGTATTGTGCTTCGGGGGGAGATCATACTGGTGATCAGTGTGTTTTGGTGTGGGATGAAGCAATGGGATTGCACTGCGAAAGAGGCAAGCTGTTGCTATAGAACAACACCAGGCAGAGCCAAAGCCACAAAGCATCTGCCAACTGCCCTTTACCTGGCGTCAGACTTTAGCTCCTGTCACAGACCAGGTGCCTGCGGAATGGGAATTTTGCTGCGTGTGGCGGGGAGAGAGTGACATGGCTGTCCATAATGTGGTAGACCAACCATCACGCCACACCACACCCTCCCACGGCCAGAGAAAACGGGCCGGCTGAGTACCCGGTTCCCGTGGCTGCCATCCTCTACGAAAGAGGTGTGGCTGGTTAGGGAGACGGCCACTTTTACTTCAGGTTTGCCTGGTGGTTGACAAGTTGTTCAAGTCAGACAACGGGGTGTGTGGAATCGGGAAAATCAGTGCATGTATCGGTAGCCCAGATTCCGATACTACAATCTAGGGTCTGGGTCCTTTTGGAACCCAGCCGTGTCCGAGACCATGTATATATATGCGCGCACAGACATATCCCTCTCAACGCGGGAATGGGAAGAGGGAACTTTCCATCACCCAGGCCCAGACCCAGGCCGTGTTTAATTCGGGGGGTGAACTGGGGAAAAGGAGGGGTACACTAGGTGCCCCGATTCAGCTGCCAAAATGCACATTTTTCTGTGATTTGTGAAACAGTGGGAAAGAAAGAAGAAATACCTAAACCGACATGCATATTCGTCAGCACAAATTGATGCCAGGCGGCTGATGACATTTGATCGATGGGGCGGTTTTGGTGGCCTTTGGCAGGATTGCATCGGAAGAGGGACATATCGTACATGACCCGAGACATTTTCGGGGTGTGATGGTGAGAATCTGGTTCCCGACGCCATGGGATTTCACGAGATTGACGAGATTTGGTGGTTTAGTTGTCTTGGATGACGGGCGTGGGAAACTCCGGGGCATTCTGGGTTGGGACAAAATAACGTAACTGGTACTAGGTAACTCGATAGTCGATACAGGAAAGCAGCCCGAACCACACCTTCAGGAATGGTCGAGATGTATTGAAAGATGGTTTTATCAGACACTCACCTATTGCAGGACTGATACTGCTTCCACTTGAATCCAGAGAAATCAGCTTCGTGGCGGGTTATTGACACCATCTTCCAACTTTTCGAACATGGGCCGCATCAAGATTACGGTTATACAATCAAACTAGGTACCAAACTAGTTTATGTACCTATATGACAGTGGAAGTTGAAGCTATGTTGTGCCCGTGAAGATTTTCACACCACCTAAGATCCAGTGCCCTCACTTTGATACAAGATAATTCTTCAATCTCGACATCAACCACAGCTCAGAAGTAACCTGGAAAACAAATGGTCCCGGCATCCCAGCCAACCAGTGTTTCTTGAATTTCAACCCTTCATTGCATTTGGGGAGAGGCTACGAGGTATTTAACGCAGCAGAAGCACGCTCCTGAGCCAAAATATAAAGTTGGCAAAATTGTCGAGCACTGTCTATCAGCATGTAGGTAGGGCTGGGAACAACTAGCGCTCCTTTTCTGGATACTTCACACACCATCTTGAGTCACATGTCAGTAACAAACCCAGCCACAACCCTTGAGCGTATGTAAATATGTATGTATTGGCGTCCAAGATGCTTGCCATCCAGGCTCAAGTATTGACACGAAGTAACTAATCTATATACAGAGTCCCATCATCACAGCCATCTCGATCCCGCATGCTTACAAGCACTGGGAGTACCAGTCGTTTCCGTACTTGCAGGTGTAGGGGGCAGCGCAAGTCTTGCAACCGCTGAAGCCAATGCCGTCGCACTGGGCGTACTGGCCGGCGGTGCAACCGCTGGGGGTGGTCTGAACGGGTGCGGCAGAGCTGGTGCTGGTGGAGGAGACGCGGGTGGTGGAGGTGACGAGCGTGGTAGAGGAAACGGGGGCCGGGGTGGAGGTGCTGCTGACTCTGGTGCTTGTGCTGCTGGGGACACTGCTGCTGCTGCTGCTGCTGGAGGAGCCACCGTCACCGGGGATGGGTTGGCCAGGACCGGCGACCGAGGTGGTCAAACTGCCGCTCTCAATATACACGCCGGACCAGTAAAAGTCCTCGTTGGAATCAGGGTAGCCGCTTCTCGGGAGCTCCAAGACACCAACATGCCAGTCGGCGCCGTTGGAGCTGGTGCTGGTCTTGACGGGGGCCACCTTTCTGGTCAGGGGGTCGCTGCCGGTAGAGTGCCAGAAACCGACGGTGCCGGCAGCAAAGTCGATCTCGTAGGCAACGTTGTGCCAGACATCAGCAGCCCACTCGACACTCCACTGGGGTCTGGCCGCCAACGCACCACCTAAGCAGAGTGTCCGAGATGCCAGGGGCGCCCGAGAGCCAACCGGACTTGAGCTCGGTGAAGTGGCTTTCGAAGAAAGCGATCTGGTGCTCCCTGGTGGTGGCCGGGGCGTTGATGTCCTTTCTCATCAGGGAGAAGTGGTAGTAGACCTTGCCTTGGTTGATGGCAGCGGTGGTCTGGGGGATCAGCTCGGTGCGGCGCATGTTCTGGCCGTTCCAGTAGGCCGTGTTATCGAGCGTGATCTTGGCTCCCTGCCTGGAACCAGTGTCGGCTGGGTTCTTGTAGTCGGGCGAGAGGTTGACATAGGCCGACACAGGAGAAGACCCGTGGATGTAGTACTGGTATGGGCCAACCTGGTTGCCCCAGGACCACTTGTTCAGATCGGCAGACGAGGTCATGTCGTTGAAGCGGCCATCCCACAGGATGGTGCCTGCCGAGACAGACAGCACCTGGGCGACGAGACCGGAGAGAACGTGGAACTTCATGGTGGCAGCAGGGAAGGGTTGACGGCAGAGATGATGACCAGAGGTGCCGAGAAAGATCCTCTGGTCAAGAGTGACGACAGTGTGGTCGTTGGCATTTTATATGAGAGGCTCTTGTGTGCATGAGGTGCTGGATCAACGGCCCGCTCGGCGGTGCAGGACGGAGGCGGCATCAAGGTCAGAGTTGCACTCTCGGAGGGTGGTGCTGGAGGTTTCCTGTTCGGTCGTAGTCTCGCAGTGGGGGAGGGCCTCGGAGGTCCCAACAGTGGGGAGTGGTGCATGGCGCCCGGCTTTGCTCCCGATGCCAATGTTGATTTGCACCAATCACAGCGGCCCATAACACGCTGGCCGGGCTGGCCAAGAGATCGCCAGGCAAAGCTTGGAGGGCTTGGATGGGCTTGGAGAGCTTGTCTCGTCGACCTTCCACCTCCCCCGTCACTCTGGATGTCGAGGTTCCGTCTGTCGCATGCTGGATATATTAAGGGCCCACAGATTTCCGGATCTCACCACCATCTGTTCCTGGTTCTGCGGCCACTTTCTACTTTGCCTGAAGTCGGATGATTCCACCTCTCCACGCGCCTGGTCACTGGAACTCTACTTTCATATGGGTTAGGGTTGGACATGGCAGTGAGGAAGACAACAGGTGTTATTGACGTTTATTACTCCATAAACAGAGAAAGCACTGCTGGGGCGGCCAAATCGGGCGGAAAGTGTCGCCGTTTTGGCAGGCACAAGCAGTGCGGGGAGTCCAGCGACAAAAGGTCGCGGGGCAGGTGCTATATACCTGTGCTGGTCCCCGCGCCTGGATCCCCCGCACGTGCCAACAGACAGGGCCCTGTTTTGGTCCCCCTCTCTCTCGTCTCGGGCTGTTGACCCGCAAGCTAAACCACCTTCGAACTAACTTCCCTAACCGTCAAAATATCATCGTTTGCCATGGCGACGCTGTGCCTCTAATACCCCCTCACCTGCTTGGCTTTGCACTTTCCACTCCCAACACAACAGAGCCCTGTGAGTGACCTGGTGCGGTGCAGCTGCATACACCATCACTCACCAGCCCTATTGGCCTCACAAGCTGCGCCTAGCTACAGGGGTCTTTTTCAGCTGCTGAGGCCTCACCGCACGCAAAGATGTTGCGTTGTCCCACCTCGCCAGTGATGGCAATCCATCGCCGTCCCGACTCATCGATCGGAGAAGTCATCTCGCTGATACCATCATATCGCACAACAAGGATAAGGTGGCCTCTCGGTGAAGATGGGGCCCAGTTTGTTTGTGAAAGTGAAATCCAAGGGCAGAAAGTGGTTGCAGGCCGCTCCCCGGGAATCCTCGACTCCTTCGCCACAAACACTTTTGCCAACATCATCTCGGCCTGCATCCCAACTAGATACTCGACCAACATCTCAGCCAACGTCTTCTCCACCTACCTCGACGGATACCAATACCTCATCGCTACCGAGCCTACAAGAGCGACTTTGGAATGAGGCCTACGATGGGGTCAAAGCGAGCGAACCCAAACTGGTCGGGGCGTACGAGAAGATCTTATCAACTGAACTGCATGGAGACGACCCAAGCTCTGTTATTCCCGAATCAACAGACAACGAGATAGGAGAGACCCCGGGGACACGAAGCGGCCAAATGCAACAGCTGGTTCAGGCTGGACTGGATCGGACGCAGAAGCAAGCGTCCATCAAGCGAGGCATCGACGAAGGCTTGCAAGCAGTGCAAGAAGTCAAGAGAGTAGTAGACAAGGCGATGCATGCCGCTCCCGAAGCCGCCGTCGCCTGGGTCGGCGTCTGCCTCGGACTAGAGGTGTGTGTGATCAGCTTTTCCAACTGAAGAGAGAACGGTGGATGATCCCATGCTGACAGTCGATAGATCCTTTCGAACCCCGTAACCGAGGCACGGGACAACCGCAAAGGCATCGTCTACGTCCTGTTGAGAATAGAGTGGTACTGGAACTTGGTGTCCCTGCTTCTCGACGAGAACAAGGCCGAGCAATCTTCTGCGGGACTGCGAGCCCAATTAGAGAAGCATGTCGTGCAGCTCTACGAGAAACTCCTCGCGTATCAGATCAAGAGTGTCTGCCTCTACCACCGCAACTGGGCAGCCGTCATCGGAAGGGATCTGTGGAAAATCGATGACTGGGCTGGCCAGCTCAACGAGATCAAGGAAGCCGAGGCTGCCGTGCAAAGAGACATGGATCAATACAACAGCGAGGACAGCAAGATACAGCTTCGGAAACTCATCGACGTCGCAGGTGCTCTAGAGAAGCAACAGGAGAAGAGGCACCAGGACGACGGGGACAAGCAATGCCTGAGAGACCTGCTCGAGACTGACCCTCGCGACGACAAGACGCGCATCGAAGACACGAAGGGCGGCCTGCTTAGGGACTCGTACCGCTGGATTCTTGACCACGCCGACTTCCAGCGATTTCGCGACGATCCGCAGAGCCGGCTGCTCTGGATCAAGGGTGACCCTGGTAAAGGCAAGACCATGCTCCTATGCGGCATCATCGACGAGCTAAAGAAGGGACCCAACAGTCTCTTGTCCTATTTCTTCTGTCAGGCCACTGAGGCTCAACTGAGCAATGCGGCGTCTGTGCTACGTGGCCTCATCTACCTCCTCATCCTCCAGCAACCATCGCTTATTTCGCACGTCCGGTCAAAGCACGATGTTGCGGGCGAGAAACTCTTCCAGGGCATCAATGTCTGGGTGTCTCTGGTTGAGATATTCACGGACATGCTGAAGGACCCGACCTTGAAAGACGCAGTCTTGATCATTGACGCCCTTGACGAGTGCACTACCGATCGGCCCAAGCTTCTTGACTTCATCATTCAATCGTTGACGATATCTTCATCCCCGGTCAAGTGGATCGTGTCTAGTCGCAACTGGCAGGACATTGAGGAGAAACTCGACCGTATAGAACAGAAGGTCAGGCTTCAACTCGAGCTAAACCAAGACTCCATCTCTAAGGCTGTCGACACATATATTGAGTGCAAGGTGGAGGAGCTGGCAGGTCTTAAGAACTACGATAAGAAAACAAGGGACGCCGTTAAGAACCGCTTAACCTCCAATGCTGACGGCACCTTTCTCTGGGTGGCCTTGGTTTGTAAAGAGCTCGCAGACCCCAAGGCCCGAAAGCGGCATACGCTCTCTAGGTTGCATTCTTTCCCCCCTGGGCTGGATTCTCTATATGGCCGAATGATAGAGCATATCCGTGATTCGGAGGATGCTGACCTTTGCAAGGAGGTTCTGGCTATTGCCTCGGTAGTGTATCGACCTGTCACCTTGGATGAACTGAAGGTTCTTGCTGAGTCACTTGAGGATATTGACCCGGACGACCTGAAAGACATTATTGGCTCCTGTGGCTCTTTCTTGACCCTTCGGGAGAGCGTTGTTTACTTTGTGCATCAGTCGGCGAAGGATTACCTACTCAGCAAGGCATCCTGCCACATCTTGCCTTCTGGCACCGCGCACCAGCACCATACCCTTTTCTCGAGGTCGCTAGCGGCTCTGTCAGAGGCCCTGCGACGCGATATTTACGGCCTAAGCACCCCGGGATTCTCCATCGATCAGGTCTCGCTGCCCAATCCCGACCCATTGTCTTGGATCCGATATTCATGCATCTATTGGGTCGATCATCTCGTCGACTCCAATCCCACAAGCAGCCATAAGGATCTTCAGGATAGCAGCGTTATTCATGGATTCATCCAAAAGAAATACCTGTATTGGCTAGAATCTCTCAGCCTCTTACGCAGCATGTCGGAGGGAGTCCAGGCGGTGTACAAACTCGAGGCTTTGGTGGTGAGTTAATGTGGGCATACACCAGAGACGACCTAACATGTTTATAGAGAAACACGCGATCACAAAAACTGGCAGAACTACTTCGAGACGCGCGCCGGTTTTTCCTTTCTCACAAACGGCCGATCGAGATTGCTCCATTGCAGACCTATGCGTCGGCACTCGTGTTCAGCCCCGAACGCAGCCTCATTAGAGAACTCTTCAAGAAGGAAGAGCCAAATTGGATGATACTGAAACCAAGAATGGAAGCGGATTGGAACGCCTGCGTGCAGACGCTCGAGGGCCATGGCGGTTCGGTGAGGTCGGTGGTGTTCTCGGCGGATGGCCAGCGTCTCGCATCGGGCTCGGACGACAGGACGGTCAAGATCTGGGACGCGGCCACGGGCGCGTGCGTGCAGACGCTCGAGGGCCATGGCGGTTGGGTGAGCTCGGTGGTGTTCTCGGCGGATGGCCAGCGTCTCGCATCGGGCTCGGACGACAGGACGGTCAAGATCTGGGACGCGGCCACGGGCGCGTGCGTGCAGACGCTCGAGGGCCATGGCGGTTTGGTGATGTCGGTGGTGTTCTCGGCGGATGGCCAGCGTCTCGCATCGGGCTCGGACGACAGGACGGTCAAGATCTGGGACGCGGCCACGGGCGCGTGCGTGCAGACGCTCGAGGGCCATGGCGGTTGGGTGAGCTCGGTGGTGTTCTCGGCGGATGGCCAGCGTCTCGCATCGGGCTCGGACGACAGGACGGTCAAGATCTGGGACGCGGCCACGGGCGCGTGCGTGCAGACGCTCGAGGGCCATGGCGGTTTGGTGATGTCGGTGGTGTTCTCGGCGGATGGCCAGCGTCTCGCGTCGGGCTCGGGCGACAAGACGGTCAAGATCTGGGACGCGGCCACGGGCGCGTGCGTGCAGACGCTCGAGGGCCATGGCGGTTGGGTGAGGTCGGTGGTGTTCTCGGCGGATGGCCAGCGTCTCGCGTCGGGCTCGCACGACAAGACGGTCAAGATCTGGGACGCGGCCACGGGCGCGTGCGTGCAGACGCTCGAGGGCCATGGCGGTTGGGTGAGGTCGGTGGTGTTCTCGGCGGATGGCCAGCGTCTCGCATCGGGCTCGGGCGACGAGACGGTCAAGATCTGGGACGCGGCCACGGGCGCGTGCGTGCAGACGCTCGAGGGCCATGGCGGTTGGGTGATGTCGGTGGTGTTCTCGGCGGATGGCCAGCGTCTCGCATCGGGCTCGGGCGACGAGACGGTCAAGATCTGGGACGCGGCCACGGGCAAGTGCGTGCATACACTGGACGTTGGGAGAATATTATATCGTTTTTCATTCGATCCAACGACAAACTCTCTCCTCTCTACGGACATTGGACTTCTAAACCTGGATCACCCGGCTCTACAGCCTGCCGTTGATGATCAGTCGACTGCAATAACCTTACGGGGTGTTCGCCATTCTGGCTGGGGTATAAGCACCGACGGTGTATGGATTGTTAAAGATGGAAAGGAGATGCTTTGGCTACCTCCGGACTATCGAGTGGGGGAATACGCTGTTGTCGGATCAACGGTCGCTATCGGGTGTCGTTCAGGTCGTGTACTAGTGATGAAGTTCTCTTAGAGTGGAGGCAGGCATAATTATCTTTTTGGTCACAAGCAGCCCTTTTTAGTTCTCAGTAGTGACCTACGAAATTGGTTCTGTTTGATTTGGAAGCAGGAATCCCGGCCAGCAACTATTTCCTACCTTGGCTGGCTAGCCCTGTATTTATCGAGCTTCAGATGTGCTATTAGAAAAGACCAGCATCATTTCTTTCTCTTTAATTCCCTTTTAACTTTGTTCTCGGAGGGTCGTAGGGGCCGAGCAAAATTTATAGTAGAGTGGACTGCGGCGTTCTTGCCTTCCAGACCTAACGAGAACTGTCTAGTACCAGGAATCATGTGATCCACGGCCCCTTCACATCGAAAAACACTGGCCAGTCTGTAGATGAAGTTTCTGTTTGCTTAATGCTTTCTTTTGAGATAGAGGCTGGTGGCTGCAGATAGATACATCTTGCATGTTGGATGGCCCTTGTTTTCTGGCTGTCCGGGGCTCCTCTTTCGGTCGCAAGTGGAGGCCGGCTCGGCCATCGAATGTACCCACAATTCCCGATGGCCGATTGTGACCTTCGAGTCCTTGTATGACATGCTTAGAGGACTTTTATCCACTATTACGTCGATAGACATTCCATTTAGTTAATTCTCTATTTTACACCAAGACTAAAGCGACAGCAGAAAGGCCTTCCTTGGCTCTTAGATAGTTCTGGTTGCTCAACCATGGCAAAAAGCTCAGAGTTCGTGGCCAGACCCACATGACCGCTATACGGGTTTCTGCCTCGGTGCGAGTTCCAAGGCGCCCGGCAGTCCCGGCTTTCGGTCCCGCTCCGGCTCGCTGTTGACCACAATCGACCCCTCACGTGCTGCACGATTAGCAAGCTACTCGTTAAGCAGCACCAACGGACTCTAACTGCGGACAAGCAAGTGCCATCCACCCGGGGTTAAATAAGCAGTGGATAACCCGCCGCGAAATGCTATCCCTAAGGAAGCGTTCCTACGCGAGCATTGGCAAATGTTCAAGCTGAACGACAAAACAAGGCTACTATTCATATCTTAACATTGAATTATCTAACTCTCTTCCCGAAAACTGTTGACTTGAGCTGCTATACTTGACCGGCTTAACCCCTGAGTCTGGTCGAGTACCGGACTTGGATCGTGCCCTGAGAACGGTGCGGAAGGGCGTGCTGGATAGTGGCCCAATAATCGCCATCTTGTTTCATCCTGCGCACAGTTTCATCCTCTTCTGGCGTCCATCTTGCGCCGGGCGATTTTGCAACTGAAGGCAAAGTCTTAGACGGCCTTCTGCGCTTCTTTGGGTTCGACACAGATCTGCCAGCATGCGGCTGACATAAATCGGAGTCCCAGTCAAGCTGTAATTGAAATGTCGCCTTGCCGCCCTCAGTGATGGGTTTGAGAAAAACGTCTCCGAGAGGCCATTCCTCGAACCGAGCAAGAATCATGTTAGCCTCGGACGGAGCTGGTGTTGCTTGTGGCGGTGTTGGGCTGTCAATGGCGCGTCCAGGCGTTCGGGTCACGCTCGGCAACTGTGCGGCATGTGTTGTCGACCGTCTTTGGCGAGAGCTCCGAGAGCCCCGAGAACTGGCGGCGGTACTGTGGACTGAGACTTTGCGGCGCTTGCGACCTTGGTGTACACCATCGGCATCATCGTCTTCCGAACCGGAATCCTCACTGTCCGCGAGTGAAGGAGAGTTCTCATCTTGGTAGTGAGATTCTGACCCATCAAGGCCGTCCTCACTCTCTGAAACCTCACTATCTGCGTAACCGTCCTTGGACTGCATCGCTTTATGTATTTGCAAGGATATACGACGGGAAGACGAGGAGACGGGGACGGGGACGATACTAGGGCTTCAGATGGCGATTCGAATCCAGCCTTCGCCGCTAAGCCGGAGGCAGCAGCAGCGAGTCCGCGATTACAAACAAAATGGGCATCGGTACAAGCAGCGCTTAAACTCCATTCAGAGCACCACCCATGACGACTTTTCCTGTCGCTTCCTTTTTCCATTTTCTGTCTCCTTTTCCTTGAACCTCTCTTCCGAAAGTCAGATAACACAACCCAACACCGCAACTCCATACTCCTCACAGACCGAACTCCTACACCAAACTCAAGATACCGTTCACACAGTCTTCAACAATCATCTTTGACTTAACAACAATCATCTTTCTCTTCGTCGATGAACTTGGCCGACAGAGACGGCGAAATGACGGCGCACATCTGGGTCTTGATGATCATCTCCCATGGCCGGTACCTTACCTTACGAGGCAGAATTGGGAGTCGGAGTGGGCTGCGCCACGGGGCCGCGACAGGTGGGGAATCTAGCCGCGGTGGAGGGTGATGACGGAGAGATGTTGGGGACATATGGGCCCGCGCCGTGGTTTGGCAAGTGCAGCGGTGGCAGACGGGTGGTGGACGCTTTGCTGGGAGTTGGTAAGGAATCATTGTCGATGGTCTTGACGCTGACTGTATCACCAACAGGTCCCGAACCAGGAGAATAGTAGCGGTATGGAGGGGAGACCGCGGAGGGGGCAATGGGAGCTGAACTTTTATAAGTCACGCTCGGGACAGATGACGCCGCCGATTGCTGGGGTGCCGGTGGTTCGAACCTCTTCCCGTCGGTGCTGAACAAACCCGGGCAGCGGATCTCGATGTTGCCGCCTGTATTGATGCGGAACTCGCACGAGAGGTAATCGTAGCCACCAACTCGATTAACGGGCAGGATGAAAGGGATCGGCGCGTCAACCTTGCTGCTCTTCCAAGTCCATTTCGTAGGCGTCTCTTCGACCATGTTGTACTTGTGTTGGCGGGCAATGGCCACAATGCAAGGGAACTCCTTCTTATTATCCCACTCGGTGTACTTTGTTTCCATGATGGGATGGCATTGCTCTGGCAGGTAGGTCCCGGGCACCCACAGTTGATAGCGCTGGATCACGGCGTGCATGAAGTCTCGCTTGTATATGAAATTGCGGTCGTTGGCTTCCTCATAAAACCAGTTTCTGAACTGGTTCCAGATTTCCAAGTCCTTCGTGAACCGGTCGTCAAGGTTCTTGTTTTTCACCATGCGAGCGGTCTCGCTTTTTTCCTCCTTAGCCCACCGAGCAACGGCCCAGTTCCAGACAGCTTGTTGATATCTCTGCGAGGATTTCACCCTGCTCGACTTGGCGGCCTCTTCAGCGCCCGGTGCGCTCGAGGCAGTCGAGGACGGGGGTGTAACGGATGGACTGCTGGGCTTGATAAATGCCATGGGCAAGTCCACTTGTATAAAACCGCTCACCAAATCGTGGTCGTACGTCCTGGTTGCCGGTTTGAACGGGGAAGGGAAAGGTATAACATGAGGTCCAAAAGGAATCGGCAATATGACGATTTTGTTCTTCTTCTTCTTCCTCCTCTCAAAAGGCACGAGTTCGCCATCCTTGTAGACTTGCTCGTTGATTCTTTCGCGTCGGGGGTTAGGTACCCTCTGAGGATATGGCGGCCCCGGGAGGACGGCGTCGCGTCTGCCGAGAACAGCCTGGAGGTTTACTTGATGCACTGGCTCAGGGGTCGGTACGGCTGCCGAGGACTTGCTCTCGTGGTGCGTGTGTCCCCAGAAGGGAACAAGTTGCCCTGTGATCGCAAAGAAACCAACCCAGCCCAAACAGAGAGCTGCGAGGCAGAGACAACACAATGTCCTACCGGCCCCGCGTCTCCTCTGTGCCCAAGGTGGGGGGTGTTGGGGGTCGTCGGTGTTCATCGCAAGGTCTGACTTTGTGAAGTCCCGTCAAACGATTGACGGAAAGTCGTGGGCAGGAAGAGAAAAGACATTTCCCACCGCAAGGGGGAAATGTTGTTCTTCAGTCCGCTTGCTATTGTAGCACGAGGGCAGTGTTATCATCAGGTCACGGCCCTATCAGCGTTGGTATGCCTCCGGAGTCCGGATTGTAAACCTACCGGATAGAGATCCATCATGGGACATGGTGCGGGGATGGGCGAGAGGGACTGGTTGAGGACATGGGGCTCAGTTCGTGTGGAGACAAAGTCTGGCCAACTGCTGACTGTTAGCTCCCAGCAGTTCAAGTCGTGGCGGCGCTCAACACTACCTAGCCGCTTCTCCTTGATATCAAAGGGGCCGGACCTCACGGTATCCACCGTTGTCAACTCCGGCGCCGGGCAACACGTCCAGCACAGATACGAAAAGCCACACAGATGGTAAATCTCTGGTAAATTTTCCCACAGTATGTACATCATAAAGTTTCAACGCCAAAACCCAACACACAAGCCCAACCAGACCGCTCCGCTGACCGACCTCGTAAAAAGATATGTGATGCAGAAGATATCCAACTTTCTCCAACACGAAAACAACCACATGCAACCTTAAACAACACCACCCAGTGATGCAATGGATTTCCCCCATTTGCCCCCCTCATTACCCCCTACACAGCCCGTATCCAGAGCCCCGTCGTCACAAACGATTATCCTTTCCTCGCTGCACCTCTCAAAGCCTATCCAGCCATTTACCAAGGCTTGACCTTGCGCATGCTGCCCTCCTCCAACAGGGCCTTGTGCATGTCGAAGCTGTTGAAGAGCAGGTGAGGCTCGTGGCCCATACCCTTACGCAGGCACTCAAACTCGGCCTTCTCGAAGTAAGCCTTGAGGATAGGCTTGTACACATCGTGGGCGCACTTGTCAATGATCACGCGGGCTCTCTCGCGGGGAGCCAGACCGCGAACGTCGGCAAGACCAGCTTCGGTAACCACAATGTCCAAGTCGTGCTCAGTCTGATCAATGTGAGTGCACATGGGGACAATGCACGAGACACCGTGGGGGTCCGTCTTGGAGGGACGAGTCGAGGGAGTGTGCATGATGGAGTACTTGGCGTTTCTCAAGAAATCAGCCGAGCCACCGAGACCGTTGAGCATGCGGGAGCCCATGACGCAGGTCGAGTTGGCGTGAGCGTAAATGTCAACCTCGACGGGGGTGTTCATGCCGATGACACCAAGGCGACGGATGATCTCGGGGGAGTTGGACACCTGTTGAGAGCGGAGGAGGAGCTTGTCCTTGTAGGACTCCCAGTTCTTGTAGAAGCGCTTGAAGCCGTCGGGGGAGAAGCGGACAGAGGTAGCGGTGGCGAAGTCGAGGCGGCCAGAGTCGAAAAGATCAAGGAAGGTATCCTGGATGACCTCGGTCCACACCTTGAGGTTGCGGAAGTTGGAGTTGTCCAGACCACCAATGACGGCATTGGCTATGTTGCCGATACCGGACTGGAGAGGAAGGAGGTTCTTGGGAAGACGGCCGTGCTTCACCTCGTGCTCAAAGAATTCAATCAAGTGGCTGGCAATCTGCTGCGAGCCCTCATCGGCAGGGGTGTTGGGGGAGGTCTGATCCTGGTAGTCGGATTCGACGATACCAACAACCTTCTCGGGGTCGATGGGGATCGAGTTGGTACCAATGCGGTCCTCGACCTGGGTGATCAGGTAGGGCTTGCGGCGGGGAGGAAGATCGGTCATGGTGATGTCGTGCAGGCCATCGAAGCTCGGGAGCGAGGTGTTGACCTCAATAATGATCTGAAACACAAGATGTCAGTTCGTTGCTAACCACGCCAGACCTTTACAGATGACTTACCTTGTCAGCCATCTGGATCAGCTCGGGAGTGGCACCGACGGAAGCACCGGGGACGATGCTGCCATCCTCCTTGATCTCAGAAGCCTCAACAACCGCCACATCGAGCTTGCCATTTGGCTTGTCCTTGGTGTAGTAGCCATATACAAGGTCGACGGGGAACATGGACAGATGCTTGTCGAAGAAGTTGATGCGGCCCTCGTTGATGCCCTTGGCGATATCCTTGCCGACCTGGTGAGGAGACCGTCTCTCAATCATGTCGAGGGCAGCCCAGCGGTTCTCGGTCTCGGCACCGGACGAGGCGCCGACGAAGAGGCTGTACTTGAGCTGTCCCTGGAGGTTGTTCTTCTCGACATGGTCGGCGAGGAAAACGGGAATCTTCCTGCGCAAGAGGGTCAGTATGGACGGCTAGTGCCCGGCAAAAGAAATTTGACAGAGACATACTTGGGGTAGCCGACACCGGTGAAGCCAGACCAGCCAATGTAGGAGCCATTGGGGAAGTGGTGCAAGAGGTCTTCGGGCTGGCACAGCTTGTTGAGCATCGACGGGCGATGGACGCGCGCCTTGAGCGCAGCCGAAGCTACTCTGGACGCCATTTTGAGCAGTTGGGCTGTGAGAGAGAGAAAAAAAGACTGAAAACGCCGGGAAAAGAGAGTGGGGCTGCTCAGAGCGACGAAGCTGTCCGCAATGGCTGGCCGGTCAGGGCAGTTCTGACGTGATGGTGATGAGGCGGGTTGTGGTGAAGGAGGTGGCAGTCGGACACAGAAAGACGACCGAAGGAAGAAAAGAGAACAGAGAAAAGCCGCAGGAAAATCACCAGAGATGCAGAGCAGAATTAGTTCCCTCGACACAAACTCGCGCAGACAGGAGGAGCGGCAGTCTGCCCACTTTAATTACTCTACATCATCAGTTGCCCAACAGGTTCATCCCGGTTCAGGGTCTCCATGCCGTGCTGTCTGGGCGGGCCGCCGGCGGGCGCGGAAGCCTTCAAAACTCGAGAGCCCCGCATCTCATCCCATTCACCTCTCTCACTTGCCACCTCTCCCCCATCCTTCCAAAACTGCCATTGATTTCGTGTTCTGATTGTTGGAAGCAGTGGAGCCGGCTCATTTCTCTCCAGTAATCGAATTGTTCTTTTTCCTCATCTGTTTGCTCAAGACTGCCACTTTTGCAAACAGCCCCCCATCTTTTCCTCTAGATCTGCTCGTCTGTGATGTCATCGGGGGAACGGAGGGGGATGACCAATCAGGAAGCAGCAAACGGGCGCGGCAGGCATTCAGCGCCCAGACACAGCAGCCCAGCACCGGTCTCTGCGGGCGCTTCCGTCTGTCCTTGGGATCCTAGAGCTCCGTTGAGCCGCAGCCAGGGTATTAAGCTCGGCTATGCCCCGGCTTGACTCAGCGAACAAGCAACCCCCAATGTATTATTCCAGAGGGAATATCCACGATGATATCCGAGACAACCGCCTGAATACTTCTCCGACCTCTGATTGACTGTCGAGTCCTCGCGCCCACGGCTATTTGCGTCGCCCTCAGCGGAAAGAAGGAGGCCGCTCCCGGCAGTGTGTTGCGCCAAGCTCAAACCGGCATCGAGCCACGCCATCGTCGAGAGAAGAGCTCCACCCTATGGTGCGGCCCACCGGCCCCCGTGGGCGCACCTGTCGATGTGTCCCCAGCGATAGGCGTTGTGCATGGTAGAGACGGTGCGAAGGTGGACAGAAAAGGCATCAAGATGGATCATTTTGATGATGAACAGGGCCACTTCCCCATGGGCAAGCAAATCTGAAAATCTGGGGTTGAAGACCATTTTATGAACGGTAACCCGGCTGTGCCTGACACCGCTGACCCCCACGACGGGAGCCATGGATGCGCTAATTCTGGAAGCTGCCGGAGTCGGGACACCGGGCTTCCAGACTAACTCTCGCCACGAGGGTAGTCGCCGGTCACCGGTGGTTTGGTCTACTTGGCGGGCCCGTCAACCGGCCATGACGTCTTGCCGGCTGCTCCGGAGCTTTGGGTTGTTCGGAGTGCCGAGAGGCCGGGTTGTACAAGGCGACACCGCCGTGTGACTGCTATGCTTTACGGCTGCAAAGATTACACATGGATATTGTTTCCCAAGCCTTGGGGCTGTCCTTGCTACATACAGCCATCAATCGAGGAAAGCATATTATGACGCTTACTATCGTGGTGCGCTGAAGGACCTTGCTCCAGTTTGCGATCTGGTCGAGATACCTTATATAGGCTGTTGGTGGTATGGACTTGTTGCACATGTTGGTCCATTTGCCCAGGACAATTATCGCTGTTGGGTGAGGGTTACGCCCGAGTCGACAGTATCACCGCGGTCTCTCGTCAAAACAGTGATACCAATCGCAGCCCTGCCACCCACCGCCCAACATTCCAGCTTGTCTACGAGGTGTAACATCGCATCCATGTATTCCGTATCGCACCTGGTGGTTGGATCCATCTATAGGGCGTTTGTATGCTCGTCTGTTTGGCTACTGTTCGAATCCGAAGTTCAGTGGACGGAGGGTCGATGTATCGCGGGGTAGGAATGGCTCGTTGTCGGGTTGCGGGCGCAGTGAGGTAGGTAGATCCGAGATAGGGATAGGGACCGGGAGCGATAACGATCATGATGGAGGCACTGGGAGGCTGGAGCGGTCGGAAGTCGGGAGTTGAGATAGCTCGTTTGGTGGGAGTCGGTGGACGGCACTTGGGCGTGTCAGTCGAGGGAACGTTACATAACGCGTGAAGCAACGCGTCTGATTGGTCAGACTCGAGGACGGCCTACCCCACACCACCCACAATTTGAACGGTTTTATGCGGCGGGGATTTGGCTCCCGCAATCTTGGCTTCAAAAGAGCGGGGAGGGACGCCTGAGCATCTGTGCTCTTGCGGCGCTTCCCCGCCACTTCTCGGCTCCTTCCTAAACAGAACGTCCTACCATCGATCAATCATCCAATTGTTCAACGTCTTTTGCTCAGCGTTCACAAGCCTTGCCATGTCCATTCGGTCCGGTCTGTGATCCTGCCCTGTCGCTCCCATCTGCGAGCACACGAGCATCATCTACCACCATGTGATGCTCTCAAGAGGGACTGATATCTATTCAATGGGGGAGAGATAGACAATCATGACATCCTGGAATGAACCACCTTGACGCCACGGTCTGCTCATGGCGCGTCGGTACTACCTAGCCTACACATCACAGACCTCTCAGCTCAACACCACAGCCCAGTCATACGTAGCAAGGATGGAAGCTGTTCGTTGCAGAGCATCTCAGCTGTCCATCAGGCAGTTGCTTCCAGGACTTGGGGATCTACCTACCAGACAGTCCAGAGCATCCTTCTGCAACCACACCGCAAACACAGGAGCAAAACAGTAGTAGTAGCTGCTCGCACAGAAACAAGCGCTCTTGCAGCGTCGTATCCATTGACACAGCTACACCTGACCTTGCCAACAAAAATTCCAAGTACCAGCCAGAACTTTTGGTCCCAATCTCAATCTACCTGTCATGGGCCTCTCCCACGGGCGTATTCAAGAATTACTTTAATTCCCTGCGTCCTCCCGGCCCCCGCCGTCTTGGTTAATCTTCTGCCGTGTAACACCCTACCTATCACCTACCATCTCCCTCCCTCCCTTGGATCGACAACAATTGTCGATCTTTTCCGACTTTTATTTCTTTTTCGCAACCTCTTCTTCCTGAAGATTCATCTTCACGTGTCGCCTCTCCCACGACTGGAACGACCGACCGACCCAAGATTGTGAACGATTACTTCTATCGACATTTCAGAACAGAACAAAGTTTGGTTTCCTCGAAATATTGACAACAAATGGCGGAGGAAAAGCAAGAAATCCGGCAGACCGTCGAGGCACCTGCCGTCCGACCAAGCACACCTACAGGCACCATCCACCGACCTTCGGGATGGATGTACAAAGGTTTCCGTCTGGGCAAGTCGGAAGTGTGGTTCGCGTCGCCCATCGTCCAGCTCCTGATGGTAGCCATGGTTTGCTTCCTGTGCCCCGGCATGTTCAACGCTCTCACCGGTCTCGGTGCCGCCGGGCAGGTTGATCCAGGCGCGCAAAACGACGCCAACACGGCCCTCTATTCCACCTTTGCCGTGGTCGCCTTCTTCTCGGGCACCGTCACCAACATCTTCGGAGTGAAACCAACACTGGCTTTTGGGACCCTCGGATACTGCATCTACGCTGCCAGCTTTTTGAGCTACAATCACAACCAGAACCGCGGATTCGTCGTCTTTGCGGGAGCGTTCCTCGGCATCTGCGCCGGTCTGCTGTGGACCGCCCAGGGAACCATCATGATGAGCTATCCGTCCGAAGACAAGAAGGGGCGGTACATATCCTGGTTCTGGATCATCTTCAATCTCGGAGCCGTCATCGGGTCGCTGGTGCCGCTCGGCCAAAATATCGATGCGATAGGCGCCACCGCGGTCAACGACGGGACCTACATCGGCTTCATTGTGCTCATGCTCATCGGCGCTGCTCTCGCCCTTTTGCTCTGCAATGCCAGGAGCGTCATCCGCCACGACGGCAGCAAGGTCATCTTGATGAAGAACCCCAGCTGGAAGACGGAGATCAAGGGATTGGTCGAGACTATCACCCTGGCACCCTGGGTCATCCTGCTGTTCCCCATGTTTTTCGCCTCCAACATCTTCTACACCTATCAGCTCAACGACATGAACCTCCAATTCAACACGCGTGCCCGGACGCTCAACGGTTTGCTGTACTGGACCAGTCAGATCATTGGAGCCTCCATTTTCGGCTACGCTCTTGATATCACCAGGTTCCGTCGGTCGGTGCGCGCCAAGGCGAGCTTGGTTGTGCTATTCAGCTTGACATTTGTCATTTGGGGCGGTGGCTGGGCCTGGCAAAAACAGCAAGTCCCTCGAGAAATTCTGGAGGATGAAAGCTTGGAGCATAGAAGAATTGACTGGCAAGATGGTGGAGAGAAGTACATCGGACCCATGTTTTTGTTCATGTTTTATGGGTTTTACGATGCCGCGTGGCAGACTTGCATTTACTGGTACGTTGATGGGCCCGAAGGACTGTCGAACATGATGTTGACATTTTGGAAACAGGTATATGGGTGCTCTCAGCAACTCTGGTCGCAAAGCTGCCAATCTCGCTGGTTTCTACAAGGGAATTCAGTCTGCCGGTGCGGCCGTCTTTTGGCGCTTGGACGGGCTGAAGACACCGTTCAATACCATCTTTGGAGTCACCGTGAGTTCCTCGGCTATCACTTTATCTTGTTAGTTGTGGCTTGCTGACACGTCGCCTTTAGTGGGGTCTGCTTGCTGCCGCGCTGCTGTTCGCCGCGCCTGTTATCTGGCTCAAGGTGAAAGACACCGTGACTGCCGAAGAAGACTTGAAGTTCAGCGATGAGACCATTGCGGACGTTAGGGCTACAACAGACGCCAGCAGGGAGGCTGCGTGAGTCGATGTCTTGATGAGGTGTTTTCTTGTTGATTTGGTGGAAGGGGCGTTGTACTTGGGTACTTCTGGTGTCACCTTTGTGTATGGCAAGGTTATGGCTATTGAAAGGGTGACTGGTTCCCTTGGCTATTGTGCACTAGAGATACCCATGGGTTTGTTGGGATATATCTTGTTGGCAATGATACCAATACATCTGGATGATTTACCCCTGTCCGTGGTGCGTGAGGAGAGAACCTTTCGGGCCTCTTCAACTCGAATGATTTCCTTGAAGAACCATCTGTTGATCCTCATTCTGGTCGAGAGCACTGTACTAAACAGCTTCAACAGTCAGCTGAGGCCCGAGGCACCTTGTTTTGCGACCGCCACGCGCCTTACTGATTATATATCTTCCTGTCATCGAGAAGGTTCAATGGGTGTGTGACGGAGATGCTCTGCCACACTGTCTCTTGCCGGCCAAGGCAGTCATGGGAAGGGCTGTCCCCAGTTTCGCCTGACACTTTGTCTGACGGGCAACTGCACACCGTATCTCGGGCCCGAGACATGCCTTCCGTGATTCGCAAGTTTCGCTCTATTGTTCCCGGCCAGCAAGCTTGTCATGGAAGGTGTTCGCCAGCCTCTGCGCACGATAAAACTTGGTTACGATTCCGCTGCCAGCTCTTCTCCCTCTTCTCTTCTCTTCTTCATTCACACACAGCATCAGTCAACAAGTTTTCCCAACAGAAGAATTCCACATCAAGCATCATTTCATTGTGTCTTTTTTTGTCTTTGGCATTCATTCCCACGACAACGTTGTCTATTTATCTCTGACCGACCACGATACTTACTTCGATCGCAATAGCTATCCACTCAGGGAGAATGTACACCAAAACCACAGTCCTCCTCGCGCTTTTGGCACCCCTTTGCCTCTCCTTTCCCGTGGACCCTCCAGCAGCAGCCCTCCCGGTCGATTCCACCACAGATTCCCAACCAGCCGCTGCTCCCGAAGCAGCTCCTGTTCCTGTTGTGGCCGTCCCCAATGCTGCCCCGCCCATTGAAGAGGTCTGGACCATCCAAGGCGCCCGCCGCGTGTGCGAACCTGACAACTCGGAATGCGTCTGGACGTTTACCATCAGCACCAACTCTGTCTACGCCCCTGTGCCGTGCATAGTCAAGATCCCCTCTGATCCCGAACGCAAGGTGCCTGCGAACCAGAACAATGCCGAGGGATTGGTTTGTGGGCCGTATGAAGTGTCGGCGGGGTGGAGTTCGGCGTTTGGGGTTGAGAATGGGTTTACGGTGTTGTATGTGGTGGACATGGAGAGGAAGATGGGGGTGTGGCCTGCGTATGAGGACAAGAAGGTGGAGAAGGGGGAGGTTGTAGTGCCTGATTTGCGGCTGCCGGTCAAGCATCTGGGGTGAGGGGTTTAAAGAAGTTGTATGGTAGATTATTTGGTTATGGTGTTGCTCGCCGGTCATTATTTGCTATGAGGAGGGATTGTTGGTATAAGACTAGGATGGGTAGACTCTCGTGAGAAATGAGGCCATGCGGTCCACATTACGGCATTGTGTTGCACTTGATGCTTGTGATACATTTGGAAAGACAAGCTGAATGGTTGTGTCTTGCATCTCATGGGTGACGGGAGAGAAACGTGCTTCATGCTGTCAATTCATTAGCCACAATTCAGACAATGGGGCTGTTGAGTGCCGATCCCTCTGTTGCAATTGCAAGCCCAAGCTACCGGAAGCGATGCCCTGGTTGTTGCACACTCCCTCCCAGGCATGCATGCAAGCAGCCCCACCAATGCAGGAAGATGGTGGCATCCATTCTTTTTGCCTGTCCTACCGCGACTCAACCTGAAGCTCCTACAATGCTCCTACTTCTCACCACTTCCATTTTGTCTCGGCCCTGATCTCCCGCGACTCCGCTGTGCGGTCTTTTCTCCCGTCGACATCACCATCCCTGCCACTGCCAAAGAGTAGACTGTAGCCTTGATGAGCACGAATAAAAAATACAGCATTTTAAAGACCACCATTGCTAAATATACAAACAATGACGTCGACCCCCACACCCACCTCGAGCTGGTTCAGCAAGGGCGCCGAGAGCCGTCAAGAACAGAGCAGAGACACCATGGGTAACAGCAAAAGCCCGCTGATGAGGCGGTCAAGATGGCGCAGGTCGAGCTCCAAGGTTTCAGGGGAGGATATCCTTGCGCTGCAGGATCTGGATCCGGCCCTGAACTCGAAGATGCATTTGGTCAATGACGTGGGTTCGAGTGGCAGAGGATGTCGGAAGGACGCTGATCAGGTGGGTAGGCTATCGATGATATTGGTTGGACGCCATACCATACGAAGCTGTTTTTCCTCAACGGGTTTGGGTACGTCATCTTTTGCCCTTGCTGAGGAGTCATGGGCAGAGTGTAGCTGACAATAACGGGCCAGATACGCAGTCGATTCCTTGGTCCTCCTCCTCCAGTCTGTCATTGCCGGCCCGGCCTACCGAGAATTTGGAAACCGAGGTTACCAAGAAGGCCTGACGGTCGCGGTGTACTCTGGCATGTTGATAGGGGCACTGTTCTGGGGTTTTGGCGCAGATATTGTTGGACGGCGATACGCATTCAACCTATCTCTCCTGATCTGCTCGCTTTCGGCCATCATTGCGGGAGGAATGCCAAGTTGGGCTTCGCTGGGATTTTTTGTGTCACTGATTGGGTTTGGTGGCGGAGGGAACTTGGTTTTGGACACCACTGTGTTTCTGGAGTATCTCCCTGGCAGTAAACAATGGGTGTTGACAATGATGGCGGCGTGGTGGGGACTGGGCCAGGCCATCACAGGTCTCATTGCTTGGGGCTTTCTGGGTACATATTCCTGCAATGATCGAAGACAATGATGCTAATCTTTTGCTATCAGTCCCGACGAGATGGAATTGCGCCTCGGTCGATACATGCACCATGGCCAACAATATGGGCTGGAGATATGTCATGTTCACAAGCGGCGCCCTAGTATTGGTGCTGTCGATTCTCCGATTGACAATTATTCGCCTGAAGGAGACACCAAAGTACCTCCTGGGCGCTGGGGAAGATGCCAAGGTCGTCGAGACATTGCAGTATCTTGCAGGGAAGTACAACCGGCCCTGCAGTCTGACACTGAACCAGCTAGGGGCCTGTGGTCTGGTCACTGGCACTCACAGCAAGAACCGCTTCTCAATCGGGGAAACCATGGTCCATCTCAGAGGCTTGTTTGCCACACACATGATTGCTGTCTCGACAGTGATGATATGGCTGTCCTGGGCAATGGTGGGTCTTGCATACCCCCTGTTTTACGTCTTTCTCCCAAGCTATCTCGAGGCTCGCGGAGCCAAGCTGGACCTGTCCCAGTTTGAGATTTGGCGCAACTATGCTCTCACCAACTTTAGCTCCATCTTTGGTCCCTTGCTCGCCGGCTGGCTGTGCAACCTTTCCTTTCTCGGTCGGCGATATACCATGCTCATCGGAGGGCTCATGACAGCGGGCTTTTTTGTTGGGTACACGCAGGTGCGAACGGCGGCCCAGGATGTCGGAATCTCCTGCGCCATTGCTTTCAGTCTCAATGTTTACTATGGGACGCTGTATGCATACACGCCAGAAGTGCTTCCCAGTGCACACAGGGCCACGGGCAACGGGATTGCGGTGGCATGCAACCGGATCATGGGCATACTGTCGGCCGTCATTGCCACCGTCGCGGATACTTCGACGGTTGTGCCCATTTATATCTGTGTCGGTCTCTTGGCGGTGATGGGTGTGGTGGCTGCTTTGTTTCCTTTTGAGCCTTATGGGCGGAGGAGTTCTTGACGCTACAAGCAAGCAAAAGATTTATTAGAATGAAGATTACATTAATCATGGAAATTATGGAGGTAGTTCCCGGTCCGTAGTTTTGTGATACGATCGTAGGCTGCTGTCGGTTAATAAAGGTTGGAACATACCGATCTATAGACTGAGCTCACAACATATGCATGAGAGTCGAAGACAAAGATAGGTACGACACACCAAGTATCGCTACAAAAACCCTGCAAAATAAGGTAATGTCTAAGCCGCTAATAACAGTGACATCACCCTAACAGTAGGCAGATTGCAGTCACTCTAACCATCCTTAGAGTAAAACCCCCCAGTTCAAACTGCTAGCCGCGTCCACAAGTCACCATTTCAAGTGGCTATGTGTAAAGAGATACCTAGTTGTGCATGCTCCCGTCATTGAACCTTTTAATTCAAGTCAACCAGGCTCTCGTTTGCCGATGATGGAGACTGTTGAAGCAACTGGACCACCTCGTGGTGGTTGTTCTGGGAAGCGAAGTGAAGAGATGTAGCCTCGCTGCTTTTACGTTTAGCCAGAATACTGGCGCCGTGTTGCAGCAGCAATCTCACTACACCCTGATGGCCGTTTTGGGAAGCTAGCATCAACGGTGTAATATCATCACTGCCCTTGGCGTCAACTCCAGCGCCATGTTCGAGAAGTATTTTCACACCTCTGGATGTCCTCTTTGTGAGGCAATGTGAAGGGATGTTGCCCCGTGGGGCCCACAGCTCGTTTGGGGACTGGCCCCGTGTTGTAGAAGTAGCTTTACCACACCAAAATGGCCCCTATCTGAAGCTGTAAACAGTTGTGTTTTTCCATCATCGCGTTTGGTGTCCAGCTTGGCACCTTGCTCCAAGAGCGACCGGACCACTTCTTGATGACCATTTGCGGAGGCTAGACAAAGCGGTGTAAAGCCTTTGGATCCGGAAGGTTCGAGCTGTGCTCCACGTTCCAAAAGAGCCTGGACGATCTGAGAGTGTTCGTTCTGTGCAGCTTGGTGCAGTGGTCGCCTGTCCTGACATTTGGCTTCAATATCGATGGGCGTTTTGGTATCTAGAAGTAGCTTGACGATTTCGTAATGTCCCTGATGCGCAGCCAACCACAAGGGGGTCCGTCCATCAACAGTGCAGGCATCGGGTTCTGCTACCCTTTTTAATAACAGGTCTATCACCTCGGTATGACCTTTGAACGCTGCTATATGGATGGGATACCATCTGACCCGTGGAATGGTGAGGTTAAGGTCCACCTTGTACCAAATCATAAATTCAAGAATGTCGAGATGGCCAAATTCCGCAGCGAGATAAACGCAACTTTTCCCGCTTCTCGTGACCGCGCACACACATTGTGGGTTGTCGTCCACCATTAGCTTGATGGTAGGAAGGGAGCCGGTTCGGATAGGGTAGTGGACAGGGTCATAATCAGGAGTCGTTGCGCTCGACGACCCGGTATTGCGACTCACAAATGCGGTGGCATACAGTTCAAGATCGTGGATTCCTTGATCGAAGCTCCGTCGTGATAAGAGCTCATGATTTGTGGCAGTTATGGCGTCATTTCCGGTGACTGGACTATGTGTGACTGTGCCATTCTGTGGAGCTTTGGATCGCATGAGTACTGGCGCATTGACTTGAAATGAAGCTTCTAGAGGCTGGATGGGTTGTACGTGGCCAATCGGCGCTGCCCATGTTGCTGTAGGTATTTTCTGTTGCAGCGGTGCAGATGGTGACTGTTGTGCTTCAGGCGGTCCAAGTGGCAATGAGGGCGTATTCAAGGGTGGTGATGTTTGCGATGATGGTGAGGGTTCATGTAGGGCTGGTAAGCAAGCTATTGACGGTGATGGTAATGATGCTGGCATATGCCCTTACTGAGGCCTTGGTCTTTTTCGGTTCTTGTTGAAAGCCCATTTCGCAAACTGAATCTTGTACTGTTGTTTGCTAGACTCAAGTTAGGTAACTCTTCTTGCTCTCCATACGTCCATGGTTGCAAGCATGGGATCCCGCAAGGAATACACACCTTGCATCAAAACCGTGTTCAGATGTCATAGTTGCCATCACCGTTTTGAGGTCAGTCCTTGCGTAGAGATCCTCAATTATTCGCCTGAACTTTGTCCATTCTGCATCGGGAACTTTGCAGGCCCGAGGAAGGCGAGAGCCTGGCTTTTCGAGCTTTCTTGGCTTCTGGCACGGCTTTGCCATGGTGTTTATCTGAAGCATGTCTGCCTCCATCGTTATCCCAAACTAATCGTTGCCCAGGCAGTTAAAATTTTTTCCAGATCTCAGGACTCCATCAACTGTTGGAACGGGTATTCAAACGGTCAAAAGTTGGCTGTTGATCGACGTGAGCTTTTGAGTGGCAGTTCCAGTCAGCGATCGGAAGTGAAGAGCATCTCTTTCTTTGGACCTGGCAATATCCCCCGAAAAGTTTTATGTGGCTTAAGACGCCCGCGGAAGCTGCATCGGATTATTAACATGCAAACACCGCCAAGCTGCTCGTCACGGGTCACTGCGCCTTTTCGGCGGCGGATACGATCTGGTCGGGTGGTCGCCCCCCTCAAGGATGCCAGGACAAAAGTTCTACCTGGGACAGAAGTTTTATGTATCCAGGAAGTATTCCTCGTCACATATTTTAAACTTTGTCGTTTTGACAATGGGTAAGGCCACTGTTCCTTTCTCTTGCGTTGCACTCCGACGCTTTTTTTTTGTTCTTCTTTTTTAAATTTTTTATTTATTTATCATGCCTCCTAAGCTGCAAATCTCTTCTTTTGGCATAGCTATTCTGACCTCGAATACCAAGCAACCGTGGGGGGTTTGCAGGATAATCTTATTTGGGTAGGGGTTGTGGGGGTGAGTTCTAGAGGATGAACTTGGCGCGACGAAATAACATCCTGGGTACGAAATGCAGTAGGTGTAGCATGGGTATGCAATCCTCCCATGCCCTCAAGGTTTCAAACCTGAGGTCGTTGCTATGTTGCTTTAGTATCAATCATTATAGTCAGCTCCTAATATTATACATGTACTGATACCTGTAATGATGACCGGAGTTCTGAAGCATTGTGGTATGTAATTGAGACTGAAGATGTCTCTACCTACGCCTTATGCATAAATGACAAGTTTATTCTCATACCTATTCGGACAGGATATCAGATTTACTTTATCTGAGCTCAGTGAGTAGGTACCTACCTACCTTTCTGTTAATGTCGGGGCAATAGGAAAACACAAAGTGTGCAGTGTCCAAGGCGAACCGACCTTCGACATCCATGTTGGTAGGCTCTCAGCTTTGACTTATCTATCTGTGTAAGCTGAGGATTCTTTTGCCGGAAGCTTTGCTCAGTGGGTCGTAGATATGTTAACTGAAAGCAGGGCGTTACGTGAGCCCGACCAAAACAAAGCGATGGTTTAGGATTTAGTGATACCTTAGCCAGGAACGAGGGATGTTGCATTGTACTGAGATAACGTGTCGCTCTTTCTGATGAAACAGATTTCTATCTAAGCTGCATTCCAAGGCAATAGGAAAGAATAGAGGCCTGATGTAAATCGATAGTCACCACGGCCTTCAGTTAGGCCTGGATGTAGACCTTTGTCTAAGGTATGCTTCAACATCCATTCCTTAGCCATAATGATGGCTTGCACCTTGCAAACATGTGCGTCAAGTAAACCTAGGCATGTAAGGCAGACTGTGCCATACTGGTAAAAAATGTTAGCGTCTGTCAGTCGGTATATTACAATGCTATAACAAAGAGGTCCACGTCAAGGCGGAATGAAATTCATGAAAGTGTAAGGTACGTACGGAAGGCAAGAAGATTCATTGTTGAAAATTCAAAACTAATTGGCTCTCATTGAACCTCCCCGGTGCTTGTATGTCATACTGAGCTGAATAATAGCGACACCCAGAGTGAGAATGCCCACCACAATGACGACGATGTTTAAGATGACCTGAAAGTCGACTGGGGCACCGTGGTGGATGTCTGATCCCGAGGCTGGATTTGTTGTAGTATAGCTTGACTGTTGGATATCCAATGGCTGAGCCGTAGGCATTGTGATTACTGACCCAGATGATGTTGAAACGCGTTGATGTTTAGCAGTGACCAAGTGTTGCCCGGTCACGAACAATTGGAAGGAAAGATCGCGAGGTCTGGGGGTCAAAGTAGTAGGGAGTCGATGCTAAAGAAGACTAGTTCCGGGTGCCAGTACGAGAGGCTTAGGACAAGCGAGACCAAGGGATGAAATACTGGGGACGGACAATGAGAGAGGAAGGGACCCTATATAAGGTAGAGCCTGGTGAAAAAAGGGTACGACAAAACCTTAGGGTTCTGATATGCTTGAGCAGAGGGATGGTGAAAATTCATACTCAAGTGGTTGTAAAACTTTCTGCCCAACATGTTGGCTGCAGCATGTTTGTTCTGTCACTCGAATGAGGGATGTAGTTGCTGGGGCAGTGTTGGAGCATGGAAAGCTTTCTCTGCAATTGACATCGCGTCGAGGTCAAGTGTTCAAGCTTCAAGCCCGATTTATCCTAGAATTGTGATCATTCAAGAGTCGGTGGGTGACTGCGGATCGATGCGCACATGAAATAATGGCGTAAAACTTCTCAAAAACTTCTGAGCCCTGTTGTGACGGTCGCAGCGTCTTCAGCTGCATCCATGCCCCACTTGCGACTTGGAAAGCTGGATCTCAACATCAATATCAAGTTGTCAAGTTGTCAGCATCAGGTTAGATCCATGCCCCCAAGCCTCCCTTTTTTTGTTAGCGAGTGAAATACGTTTGGCTTCCAGGTCGGCAATGATGTTCGACTCAACTTTCTGTGTAGGTAGGCGGTTTGCCCAGCTGTCGGATACAAAACGCTACTAAAACCGCTTGTAATGAGCCCAACGGTACAATCTCAGACAAGCGTGAAATTTTTGGCAAGTGTTAGCAATGCTATTCACGGGTAACAACCCGTTCTTTGTCATTTCACAATTGTATTGTTACTCAAGAAGTTGTCTTGAGAAAATTGGGAATAGGTATAAATACATTATTCCAAGGACTACTAAATTTAGCTATGGGCTGTTGACAGTGCATCTGCTTTCTCTTCAGAAACAGGCTACAGGCGGTAAGGTACGTAGGTAGGTTACATGATTGGTATGTACATAAGGGACTTCGACTCCGTGTAAGCCCAAACTTCTAAACATCTGAAAGTCGCAGGACCAGTCATCTGAGCCACTTGGTCACTCCGCGCTATTTCCCTTCAAGGAGACTGGGTATCCCAGGCTAAGCATCGACATCCTGCTGCAACATCATCGCCATCTCCACGTAAAACAGTAAGTCCTATGACTTGATCCACGACACGCTACCTGCTAACCGGATCCCTTCTGATAGCCCATTCCTTACCTGGCCCGTTGCCAAGGTCCACCACGACGTCTACAATCTGGGTCCAATCTTTGAAGATGATGGCTCCGTCAACGGATCAAAAAAACATTGGGTTATGATATTGGAATGCCCTTCAGCAAATGGACAAGTGAAAGTCAGCATGGACAGCAAAATGAACGTGCGAACTGGGCACATAAGTACGTACATTGCCAAAGTGACCCGTTACACCGGTAAAGGAAGTAGTGTCATATTCAGACAGACCAGAACTGTGAAGTCCAGCTTTACAGTGGAATATTCTGGGTGCAATTATTGGTTCAGGTTGGCACCGCTACAAGATGACTTGCGATGCAAGAGGTGGATTTAAAGGGTGCCAACATCACTTGAGGACCGTAACCCAGTGCCTCATCCAGCTTGTCTGGGTCACGGAGAAGTCTGATACAGGTCTCACCATGAATCAATATCTTGGTTATGTTTACTTTATAAACGACACGAATATGATGTCGATGATCGTCGGTATCTACAACGTTACCGCCAAACAGCCGTAGAAGGTGAGTTGCTTGACTTTGATGGCCGGGCAATCGGAAACTGTGGAGAATGAGTGAAAAGTTGTAGCTAGGTATCTAGTCTGATAACGGTTCCCATTGTTAGAATGCAGGTAAGGAATAACCAACCTGGAAGACTTCCTGGCTTAGCTTTTCTCTAGATGCTGAAACTTGAACTTCGCACATACGGGGTTGGGCTTGTAAGTTGTAAAACATCGCGTGGGTAGATCGACAGGGGCACCGTTCATACAGAAAACGGTAAAGACAAGAGCTCATGTTTCCCGTCCACTTTTATCCGTATATTTAGACTCCCATTGCATTGATTTGGCACTGGAATTAAACAGCCAACTTCTCTCTTATTTACGATGACCTATTATCGCACACCTTGTGACAAGAACTGGGACCCGCAAACCATCACTCAACCGGCACCAGATATCTCAACGTCGTCCGGCTCCACAGCTCATTCCCGGCCATCTGATACTCCAACCCTTGCAAATACTTTCTCAGCTCTGGCGTATCCCGGCGTGCGAGAACCGCTTGGACCAAATCAAAATGTTGCGCCTCCCATTCCCGGCAGAGGCTATAGAGCACCCTTTTGGCAGCAGCAGTTGATATCTCAGCGTCTGCTGCGATCGTGGCCACACCTGTGCACAGGGACCCGCCCTCTTCATGTGCCGTCTGTGAGGTGAGAAGTTCCTTTTCGAAGCTCCAGATGTCGTTGATGATTGATAGATGCTTCGAGCAGTTCATGTCGACGGGGCGGGCGAGGTCAAGGTCCGGTGAGGGGATAGACAAGCCCATTGTGAAGCGTATCAGTGCCGCGAGGAGTCTGATGATGCCAATGCGATGTCAATATCAGTATAAACGTTAGCTCATGCTCGGAAAGCAAACATACCCTTTCCCGACATCGCGTTCCCGGTATTCGAGGTACTCCTTCAGACCCATCGGCTTGGTGCGTGCCTTGTTTGTCTGCGCACGCATAAAGATAAAGACGGGCTCGAGGATGTCGTTGGCCATCCAACGGTCATGCGCCCGCATGCCTTCCCACAGGTCGTATGTGATGTACTCAACCGGGACGGAGCGGTCAGGCGGTATGTCCCCTCCGCGCATCAGAGGCATGAGACGAGCGTTGTAGGCCTCCCTTTCGGCGAGGGACATGTGCTCGAGCAGATCTGAGTTAATCCAAGGTAATCTTTAGCTAGGTAATGCCCAATGGCCTGGAAAAGGAGAACCTGCCATCAACGAGAAACAAAACTGTCAACAACCGACAGGCAAAATGGATCCGGTCGTCCAGCGCCATGGGGAAATAGAGGCACGTCACGCGCGAGAAACCGGCGCCGACAAATCTTTTTCGGCTTCGCGCGTCGGGAAACGGCCAGTGCTTGAGGAAGTAGTCGTCTACCTCTCTGGCTACTACGTCCACTAAGGGGTGACATAGGGCCTTGAAGTTGGAGGTTGGGATGCCACTGTCGACAAAGGAATCGATTTCAAGTTTGTTCACGTGCTCCTGTTCATTTGAAGCCGGGACTGGCAGTTGCGCCTGGGCTGTGATGGTGAGGATTCCGGTGGTTTTCATGATGCTTGTTGGACGTCGAAGATAGGTAGGTAGGTAAGCAGGAGAGCAAGCGTAATGGTTGAAAGTTTGGGAGACAATAAGGTAGCTTCCCGTGAACTTCAGGTCAGACGTCTGTTTTATTACTACCTACCTATAAATGGGAGCATAATTCATTACTAAACATTCTGCAGCCAAAAGAAAAGATCTGACTACCTGGTATTTCGGCAAACTACCTTACCGTTTGACTTGTTGTTGCACTAACTTCCAAGTGAATAAGCTGGGCTTGCATTATCTTGAGTCCGAATCAATAAATGTCAGGCATGTAAGATCAGATAGCTGGAGCCACGCAATCAAGAACAATACATGGGTCGCACAGAGCAATTCCTGGGAACGATATCATCGCGCCCTCTTGTGATTGTACCGAGCTGTCCAGTTATAATCAAAAACAAGTCCGAGTAGAATGCCAAACATGGTCAGGTTGCCAATCTTTGCGGGATCTTTTGATGTAATGCGATGCAGCTACTATTTTGGTGTTGCACAAAAATAGTGCAACTTCACCACGCCAATGCTGTGGACTCAAAGTATGATCCCAAGATTTGGGAGCCCATATTAAGGTACCTAGGTAGATAGCTATCTCCCCAAGTTCTGCGATATCATCCAACTCATGCCCGATTTGTATACAGTCACAGACCGCTTTGTGCGCTCCAAATCTTTGTATCACAACACCCTCCGCTTACCTATAGGCACCTTACTCAACCCTCAGAATGGAGTCCATCATTCTCATCGGCGCGGGCACGTTGGTGGAGCGCCTGCCATCCCAGCTTTTATCGGGTCTGGCCAGCATCTTCATCCTTGGTGTTAGTATTCCTTGCTCCCCATAACGGGAGGTGCTTAAAGTTCTGACAATACAAACACAGGTCCTAACACTCATCGTAACCAGGGCAATCTACAATGTCTACTTCCATCCCCTTTCCAAGTTCCCTGGTCCCTTGTACTGCGCCATTAGTGACGTGTGTCACCCAGTAACCTTCTTCAATGTCCCTGGGAAATGAACTGATACAGCCAGCAGATTCCCCATTGCTTGTGGTTTCTAGGAGGACGCCAACCATACAAAATTCTTGAACTTCATAATCGTTACGGTACAGTGAGATCAATCCTCGTTCTACACCCAGCATCTAACCCCAAAGACCCTAGGCCCGGTGGTGCGAACAGCCCCAAATGACCTGTCTTTTAATACGGCCCAATCATGGAAAGACATATACGGTTCCAGACAGGGCCACCAGGCTTTCGTCAAAAGCGCCTTCTACGACGGGGGAAGTTTTGCCAGCCGGGGCGTCGGTTCCATTGTCAGCGAACGCAATGTCGACGCCCACGCGCAGATGCGCCGCTATCTGTCGCATGCGTTTTCCGATCGGTCGCTCGCGGAGCAAGAAGACATTATTGCGCGAACCATGGATATATGGGTCGAAAGCTTGCTCAAAAAGGGGTCGCGCAAAGAGGGGATTGAGATGGGAAAGAGTTTCAGGATTATGACGTTCGACATTATTGGCGAACTGGCGTTTGGGGAGAACTTCAAAGGTGTTGAGACTGGTAAGTCAGGCTTTTTTTTGTCTTTTTTTTTCTCTTTTTTTTTCCTTTTTTCGGCTGATCAAATGTTGCTGTTTCTGCTCATGACACGGTATGTAACTAGATGTTGAACATCCCTGGATCGCCACCCATCTCGGAGCTCTGAATCAAGGAGCCCTGGCCGACACCTTGAAGCGCTTCCCGACACTCGCCTGGCTTGCTCAGGGGCTGCTGCAGAAGAAAATCTGGGAACTCACCGAGGACACAAAGAAAAATGAGAATTTTGCCATTGATATGATCAACAGGTGAGTCATGCTCCGTGAAAGAAAACACAAAGCTGCGGCGCCTGTGAGGACTGATGTTCAAGACAGACGAATCCACCGCGATGAGCTTTCGCGCAAAGACTTCATGACGCACATTCTACAGAGGCGGGGTTCTGCCCAGGTGTCGGACCTACAGCTAGCAGCGCACGCTTCTGACTTTGCCCTGGCTGGAAGCGAGACCACGGGCACTGCCTTGTCAGCCATCATGTACTACTTGCTGCGAACTCCCCAGGTCATGCTCAAGCTTCAAAAGGAGATCCGAGGCAGTTTCAAGACATATAGTGAGATATGTTTCAGGTCAACGATTGGCTTGCCATATCTGGACGCTGTTATTCTCGAGGGGCTCAGAATGTACCCCCCAGTACCGCTTGGTCTGCCCCGTGTGGTGCCGGATGGAGGCGACACGGTCGACGGACATTTTCTGCCAGCTGGGTCAGTGTATCCTGTAGTTGAGGGGAAAAGCACTAAGCATAATAATATCAGGTCGTTGTTTACACACATCCAGTTGCGGCAAGCTTGAGCTCGGCAAACTTCAAGGATCCTCAGGCTTTTAAACCTGACAGGTGGCTTGACGAGCACCAAGGAGATATACGAGAAGCGTCTCAAGTGAGCTAGCTACCTACCTTGGTGATTGAAACCCGAAGACAAAAGAAATTGACTGACGACTTATCTTCCATCCAGCCATTCTCACTAGGCACTCGTGCTTGCATGGGAAGAAAGTACGCAACAACCTCACATACCTTAGGTACCTATTATGCTGACAATGCTAACAAACCTCTTTTAGCCTTAGGCACATGGTGTTGGGCTGGCGACCTAGGAAAGTCACCGGCGGCGAAAATGAGGCCAAAAAATGGCCAAAATTGGTAAGCAAATTAGTATTACAGTAGTTGGTTGTTGGTTGAAAAGAAAACAGTAAGAAAATCCAGCCCCAAGAGCAAACCGGTGTGGGTCTGGGAAAACCTGGGCCCTTTTGGTGCCCCACACATGGAGATGCGAACAGCGTTGGCCAAAGTTCTCTGGAAGTATGATCTGGAATTGGTGAATACGTCGCTGGACTGGCATCGCGACTCAGAGATGCATACTCTCTGGTGCAAACCGGCACTCTGGGTCAGGTTACGAGTGCTTAAAGAGTAGGCAAGCACCTGAGCAAGCAACAAGCGTGCGATACCCAAGATATATAATAGAGACCGACCCCTTTCCAATCGAGGTTGTTGGACATGAACCCTTCAAAGAGCTTCATGAAACTGGGACGAAATAGTAGAGCAGGTGAAACTATGCCTATATCTCCGAGGATGTCAACTCTTAGCGTCTCTGAAGTGTGGTTTTTTTTTTTCGTTCTCATAGGTGGAATAAATTTGCCTCTGCGTTTCTTGATCCCTCGACCGTCCCATGAATCTTGTCTCTCTCTGCCCCTCACCCTTGATTCGGGGTTTTGCTGAACAGAAGGTAATGATCTTGTCGAAAACTTGTGTTTGCGACCCTGAAGAACATGGTAGCATTCTTGTTCTGGTGATACATCAAGAAATGGCAAGACAAAGCCTAGTTCTTTTCCATGTACACATCAAGTTTGGCAATCTGTGTCCTAAAATCCTCCAGTTCTCTTACCCGTATCCGCCCCTCCCATTTCCCTGCTAATAAGAACACATGGACTTCTTTTTGAATCACAATGTCCCCAACGAGCTCGATCATCTTAGGGCCAAGAACAGGATCACCCGCTGCCCAAAATGCGCTACCGAGTCAGCCATATGGCAAGCCTTCTTGCCCGGCTTTGGACCTGCTACCATCCTGACAGCTTGGGAAGACTTTGGTAGGCCCGGCCGCACGGGTAGAGGGATTCTCAAGAAGTGGAGGTGGATCTCGCATCTCACAACCGTCCACGGTATTTGCATTTGCCAGATAAGGCACCAGCGCACTGCCTTTGTTGAGGCGCTTGCAGTTGCCAGCGCTAGGTGCCTAGGCGCAACCTTGAAGCGCTTGGAGCTGCCAGCTGCAGGTGCGTGATCGAAACTGTGTTTGGTTCCCGAACGCCTCGTTCCACTTGCAAATGAGGAGCTACTGCGGTGGCTGGCGATTTGAGCCGTGTGCCAGCCCTATTTCTTTTTATGAATCTCCTTCCTTCACAACATACTCTACCATCACCGACGCCATGGTATCCTATATTTGCCCTGTCTCGATAGCCCCTTCGCAGATCACCCCAGCTAGGGAGCGCTATGCAAGCGGAACCAAGCTCAGTATTCAAACTCACATTCCTCCGGAACCGTTCGGGCCCAACCACCAGGAGGCGAGCCCTGAAGTCAATGTCGAACATCGACATCACCGACTTCAATTTGCAGTGGATAACCCGCCATTTGACCCTAGTCCTTGGGAAACACTGGAAGATATCGATCGTGACGAGGAGATGCTCGTCATCGAGAGATACGTTGAACAGAAGGAAGACGGCGGCTCGACCGTTGTAGAGTGTCATCTTCAAAAAGATCCATCAGTGCAATACATTGCTAAGATCTACGACGCGGTTGATTACCCAGACCCAACTCAAGAAGATGAAGAAGATGAAGGCATGGATGCTGGAACTGGGGTGGACAACAAAGATGGACAGGCTGGGGATGGAGATTCAAAAAGTGGTGACCAAGAGAGTGGAACGGGCGTCATCGGTGTGGGAATGGGTGTCATATTTCTGTCCGCTTTGGTCTCGCTGTTGAACTTGTAACCTCTAATACACATATCGGAATGTAATGGCCTTGTCGCCCTTCTCAGACAGTTCCTGTTGCGTATAATGACCCAAATCCCCATCCTCCATCTTCTTTGCCCTCTTCTTGTTGGCGGTGCTATACCCAACTAGCAGGATGAGCGAAGCGACGATACCGGCGCCAATGAACCCAAGTTCCAAACCATGACCGAGTCGATATCTGGGAGCATCCTTTGCCCGATAAAAGTTGGATGCCATTGCCTTGATATCGTGTTAGTCCTGTTCCCGTAATCAACTTGTTTACTTACACCTCCCAGGTTTCCGACACCTATTTGGACCGCCATCCCGACTGAACGCTTCAACGACCCTGCCAAGTTGTTGGAGAGCCAAGCAATGACGCCTGGAAAAGCTGGGTAGATGGCACAAGCTGCGATAAACACTCCGCCATACACCACACGCGGGTTTCCAGACGCGATGCACCTAATCTGGTCAGTTACCTTGTTGTCTCCCAAAGCAGATGGAAACTCACATGGAAAACCCAACAACCATAATAAGTAATGGAACAATGATGAACGGGCTTCTTCGCCCCACCCGATCGGAAAAGTAAGCCACAATGACGGCGAGAATGGCGGCAGTGATGTAGATGGGAACCGTCATGAGCTGCGCGGTGCTGCTCTCATACCCCAACGTGCGAATGATGGTTGGCAAGAATAAGCTGATGCCATAGAGCGGGCAGACAATCTTGGAAGTGTTAGCACCGGAGAAATCCAGGGGTTCAGGGGCAACATACCCCCCAGTAAACAAAGATGTTGACCCAAATCTGCCAATCCAAAAATGCCTGTCTGACATATTTCCACTTGAAATCATCGGCCTGGGCCACCATAGCGTGATCGTTCCTCTTGCTCTGCCCTTGATACTTGAGACGGAACACGACAAATGCTCGTTCTTCCTCGGTCAAAAAATTCGCTGTCTCGGGAAAGTCGTGCAGAGTGAAAAAAGCCAAGACGGCGACCAGGACGGTTGCGATGCCTGGGTTGTTAGCTCGCACTCCAAAAAAGCAGGGGTTGACTTACCCTCAAGAATAAAAATCCACTGCCAGCCATGCAGCCCCCCAACACCATCCATCTTCCCAATGGCAAATGCCAAAAGTCCACTGAATGCGCCGGCGATGGAAGCTGCACTGAAGAACATGGCTTGTCTCAACTGCATCTCCTCACGCTTGTACCAGTTTGTGAGGTAGTAAGCAACGCCAGGAAACAGACCAGCCTCGGTAACGCCCAGAAAGATGCGAGCTGTCAAGAGTCCGGTAAAGTTGTGCACGATGCCCATCAAGGTCATCACCACGCCCCACGCAACCATGATGGCTGGCAACCAGATAGAAGGCCTGATCTTTTTGAGCATCAGGTTGCTGGGAACCTCGAATGCGGCATAGGTGAAAAAAAAGGCTGTGAGACACCAGTTGTATTGGTCATCCGTCAAGCCAAGATCTTCCTGAAGGCCTTCAATTTTGGCATTGCCAATGTTACCACCTAAAACAGATCAGAATTGGACACTTGGGGAAACAAGAGATACTGACGATCCAGAAAAGAGAGTAGGTACAGCAGGGCAAGCATCGGAATCAAGCGAATGTCCATCTGTCGATAGTCAGCATGCAGGGTCTTCCAATGGTCGGGCATACCTTAGGTATGTTCGGTACCTACCTTGCGGAGAATTGCCTTCTCGTTCAAATGAGCAAACGACTCTCCCGTCCTCTCGATCTCGCTGCGTTCTGCTTCCTCAGACTGTGAACCGCCATCGTGTTTTTCGGACAGAGCAGCTCCGGGAACACTCATTTTGACAGGTGGGAGAGGTGACATGTAGGCAATTGAATGAGTACACCAAGGAGGCAAACCACCCTTCTTTTAATCCCACATGCCAACATAGGCTTATTTCCTGGCATTCCTCAGATGATGATGCAAATCCCGGGCCACCTCGGTTTGCACGTCCCGCTCCCCCGCATCACGTTCCCCCGCATACTCAGCTTATTCCCCGCGATCTTGCCTAGACCGGGCGAGATCGTCAACCTTATTCCCTGAAATCCTACAACTGTGGTGGTGGTTGCCACGTCGTCAGTGGCGCGGGGTATCACCAACCATGACGGAGAAACAGAACTGAGCAGCTGGAAACCTAAAGCCCGATTTAGTTTCTGAAAAAGGAAGCTCAAAATGCTAGATCCACTACAATGGCAGACGTTCGGCTTTGAGGAAAGGCAGATTGATTGAGAGGGGGTTTTCTTTGAGGTTAAGCATAACCGGTTCTCAATTCAACATGATTGCTGTGACAAGGTCAGCACATTCTTTGATTTGGGGCGTACAGGTAATTGAGATGAGAATGGAGGGCCTGGAAGAGAGGTTTTGCATGAGGAATAAACCAAATAAATCGGCGGGTCCTGCAATTTTGTAGGTGGCATAGAAGAAAGTATTTCGTCAGGAGAGAGATGGGTCGTTGAGAGCTACCAGATTTGCGATTTTGGGAGCAGATGATTTATGCAAAGGTTTTACACAAGACTCAACCGTCAGGGGGAAGCTGCCAATAGTGGCATGCAGGTTACGGTTAAAGCAAGACTCTGGTGACTCTATGCTTGCTCGCCAAAAGCAAAAGTCTTCTGAATTTTTGGGATGTGTAGGGATAAAGAAGTGCACTTATCGCTGCTGTGGACAGTGCCAAGTATAAAAAAATAAAATAAAAAATAACAAAGGTTTAGTCAGCCGTGTCTTTAGCCTTCCGGCATGGCATACCTTGATCGAGATAGGAATAAACGAAAAAAAAGTCAAGATTTGCCTAGCAAACTAACACGGGCAAATATTGCATGCCTGGAGACGAGACAGACCATGCTGACATGTGAAAGGGGTTCGTCATCGAAGCGTTGCATCCATCCGCTGACCCTGAATGACAGATAAACATCAAAAATGTTGCCAGGAAGGCAGCCGGCAGCTCGCTTCTCCGAAAGACGGGGCAGAGAGGGACCGACAGTCTCTCGAGATAACAGCATCGGTTTGATCCCGAAGTCAAGCCCCACATATTCCAGTCGATAACGCATCGCTGAGGCTCTGCTTGTGGATCCCCGGGTTGACTCCGCCAACATTCGGCATCGCAATACCAATGGCGTGACATGGAAACGGAAGGATGCCGAGATGACGTCTCCACCGTCAGACGGAATACACACGGCCAAAAGAGTAATAAACAAAATGTAAAGAACAGTCGTCAGGAGCATCATCGAGCAAAGCCGGTCAAGCCAAAGGCCCAAGAAACGACACCATGGCGGGAGGACCACCGAGCGGTGCCGCGAGCACGATCGGGACAGGCGACACACTGGCTGACCAGCATCCTTACCAGGACAGGCGTCGTTCCTTCATGGTTGATGCTGATGCCTCGGAACTCCAAAGAATCGCATCTGTTCTCTCTCGACATCAATCTCATGTGCGTCAACCCACTGCAAAGGACGACCCTACACTGGATCCCGAATCAGACCATTTCGATGTGACGCGATGGGTACGCCATTTTGTCGGACAACTCAACAAGCAAGGCCACAAGGCAACCAACCTGGGTGTTGTTTTTCGGGACCTGGATGTCTTTGGGTCGGGTTCAGCTCTGCAGCTTCAAGAGACGGTCGATTCAGTTCTTCTCGCCCCCTTTCGACTCGGAGAACTATTCGGCAGTCACAAAAAGGAGCGGAAGCAAATTCTGCATGGTTTCAACGGCTTGCTCAAGAGTGGCGAGCTTCTAGCTGTTCTGGGCCGTCCTGGATCAGGATGCAGCACCTTTCTCAAGAGCCTCTGCGGAGAGCTGTACGGCTTGGACGTCGGCAAGCGGTCCGTCATTCATTATAATGGCGCCTCTCAGGCTCAGATGAAGAAGGAGTTTAAGGGCGAGGTTGTGTATAACCAAGAGGTCGACAAGCACTTTCCCCATCTCACAGTCGGTCAAACCCTTGAACACGCCGCTGCAATGCGCACCCCCTCCAACCGGGCCGAGGGCATGTCGAGATCTGAATACTGCCAGTACATCGCCCGCGTCGTCATGGCTGTTTTTGGCCTCAGTCACACCTATCACACCAAGGTGGGAAATGACTACGTACGAGGTGTCTCCGGTGGCGAACGAAAGAGGGTCAGTATTGCCGAGATGATGGTGGCCGGCTCTCCCATCTCGGCTTGGGACAACAGCACACGAGGTCTTGACTCGACTTCAGCCCTCAAATTTGTCCAGGCCCTTCGACTCTATTCCAACATTGCTGGCTCGGCAAATGCCGTGGCCATGTACCAAGCCAGTCAAGCCATTTACGACGAATTCGACAAGACAACAGTCCTTTATGCCGGCCGTCAAATCTACTTTGGCCCTGCCAATGCGGCAAAAGCTTTCTTTGAGCGTCAGGGCTGGTTCTGCCCTCCTCGTCAAACCACTGGTGACTTTTTGACATCAGTTACTAACCCCGAAGAACGCATCCCTCGACCTGGCATGGAACAAAAGGTGCCACGGACGCCCGAGGACTTTGAGCAGTACTGGCTTGCTTCGCCCGAGTTCAAGGCCCTCCAAGAAGAAATGGCCGCGTATGACCAAGAGTTTCAGGGAGAGCGTCAGATCCAAAGTCTGAGCCATCTGCGAGAGACCAAGAATCACAAGCAGGCCAAACACGTCCGCCAAGGTTCCCCATACATCATCAGCATCCCCATGCAGATCAAGCACAACACTGTTCGCGCCTACCAGAGGGTTTGGAACGATATCTCGGCCACTCTGGTCAATGTCGGTGCTAATCTGATCCTGGCCCTCATTATCGGTTCCATTTTTTACGGCAACCCCGATGCCACTGTCGGTTTTGAAGGCAAGGGATCTGTCTTGTTCATGGCCATCCTGTTGAACGCCCTCACCGCCATCTCGGAAATCGATAGTCTTTACGATCAGCGACCCATTGTCGAAAAACATCACTCCTACGCGTTTTACCATCCCGCCACCGAAGCAGCAGCTGGCATTGTGGCCGACTTGCCCATCAAGTTTGCTGCGGCTGTCGTGTTCAATCTCATTGCCTACTTTCTAGCCGGCCTTGGCCGGACACCCTCTCAATTCTTTCTCTACTTTTTGATCTCGTACATTTCGACTTTTGTCATGAGCGCCATTTTCCGGACTCTGGCGGCCATCACCAGAACCGTCTCTCAGGCCATGGCGTTGGCTGGTGTGTTGGCCTTGGCACTGGTCATGTACACTGGCTACATTATTCCTGTGCCGCAGATGCACCCCTGGTTTGGCTGGATTCGGTGGATCAACCCCATCTACTACGCTTTCGAGATCCTGGTCGCCAACGAGTTCCACGGGAGGGAATTCACTTGCTCGGACATTATCCCGCCATACTCTCCTCCGCAAGGCTCGAGTTGGATCTGTGCCAGTGCTGGAGCGGTCGCTGGAAGGCCAACCGTCAACGGAGATGCATACATCTCTGTGGCCTACCAGTACACGTACGATCACGTCTGGAGAAACTTTGGCATCCTCATTGGCTTCTTGATCTTTTTCATGGGCGTGTATTTTGCCGCCGTGGAGCTCAACTCATCCGTGACAAGCACAGCCGAAGCCTTGGTCTTTCAGCGTGGCCATGTCCCCTCTCACTTGCAAAAGGGTAGAGATGAAGAGCGCGGGGGAGAGGGCGGTGCTGCGGCGGAAAGGGGAGCTCAAAACCCCGAGAATAGTGCCATTGAGCCTCAGAAGGACATTTTCACTTGGAAAGATGTGGTGTACGATATTGATGTCAAGGAGGGCAAGCGTCGGCTGTTGGACCATGTCTCTGGATGGGTGAAACCAGGTACGCTTACGGCTCTGATGGGCGCTTCTGGTGCCGGCAAGACGACATTATTGGACGTTCTCGCCCAGCGCACCAGCATCGGCGTTGTCACCGGGGACATGCTTGTCAACGGCAGGCCATTCGGGGCCGACTTTCAACGTCAAACCGGTTATGTGCAACAACAAGGTATGTTTTCTATTTCCCGCCCTTGCCAACTATTTCTAATCCTGATCAGATCTCCATCTGGATACGGCGACTGTGAGAGAAAGTCTCCGTTTCAGCGCCATGCTTCGCCGCCCCAAGACGGTTTCCAAAGCAGAAAAGTTTGCGTTTGTCGAAGAAGTCATCAAGATGCTCGGCATGGAGGAATATGCCAACGCTGTTGTTGGTATTCCAGGCGAGGGCCTCAACGTCGAACAACGAAAACTTCTCACGATTGGCGTTGAACTGGTGGCCAAACCCAAACTGTTGCTGTTCTTGGATGAGCCCACCAGCGGCCTTGACTCGCAGAGCGCCTGGGCCATTTGCGTCTTTCTGCGTAAGCTCGCCGATGCTGGCCAGGCTGTGTTGTGCACTATTCATCAACCCAACGCCATCTTGTTTCAACAGTTTGACCGGCTCCTGTTCCTGGCCAAGGGGGGAAAGACAGTCTACTTTGGAAACATTGGACAAAACTCCAAGTCCCTGTTGGAATACTTTGAGCACCATGGAGCCAGGCACTGCGGCGACGATGAGAATCCTGCCGAGTACATGCTCGAGATTGTGGCCGAAGGCGCCAACAATAAGGGCCAGGACTGGCATTCGGTCTGGAAGAACAGCGACGAGTTCAGGGATGTTCTCGCCGAGATTGACAGGATCCATTCTTCTTCCCAACAAGACACCGTCGCCGCTCCTGCTGCGGGAGAGCCAAACTCGGAGTTTGCCATGCCGTTCCATGCGCAGGTTTGGGAGGTGACACGGCGCATCTTTCAGCAGTACTGGAGAATGCCGGGATATGTCCTGGCCAAGTTCGCACTGGGAATCATGTCCGGCCTCTTTATTGGTTTCACCTTTTACCAAGCCGACGGGACTCAGGGTGGTATGAGAAATATTGTTTTTGCCGTGTTCATGGTCACCACCATCTTTACCACACTTGTGCAGCAGGTTCGTTCACCTATCAACTGTTTGAAGTGTCCACCAGCTTACTGACTGTTAAAAGATCCAACCCCTCTTCATCACCCAACGATCTCTCTACGAAGTTCGTGAGCGCCCTTCCAAGGCGTATTCCTGGAAGGCGTTCCTCATCGCCAATATCGTCGTCGAGATTCCCTATCAGATCCTCACGGGCATACTCACATATGCGTGCTTTTACTATCCCGTTGTCGGCACAGGCCAGACATCTTCCCGCCAGGGCCTCATCCTGCTCTTCATCATCCAGCTGTTCATATACGCCAGCGCCTTTGCGCACATGACCATCGTCGCCATGCCGGATGCCCACGCCGCAGCTGGCATCGTCATCCTCCTGACAATGATGAGCACCATCTTTAGCGGTGTGCTCCAGACGAGAATCGCATTGCCCGGGTTTTGGGTGTTTATGTACTACGTCAGCCCGTTCACATACTGGATCAGCGGAATCGTGTCGACTGTGCTGCACGAGAGGCCAGTCGAGTGCTCCGTGTCGGAGACCTTGATCTTTGACCCGCCCCAGGGAATGAACTGCGCGCAGTATCTCTCTCCCCTGGCCGGACAGGGTTCAGGCTCGCTTCAAAACCCCTTCGACACTGAAGGGTGCAGGTATTGCGGGTTTGGCGTTGCGGACCAATATCTCGCCGGGGTCGACATCTTTTGGGAGGACAGGTGGAGGAATTTTGGAATCATGTGGGCGTATATCGCGTTCAACATTGCGGTTGCCATTGGAGTTTATTACATCTTCAGGGTGAGAAAGATGACAAAGAAGTAAATCGTAGAGATAAGAGATAGACGTAATCTAGAGCTTAATTCCTAATAGTACCCTTTATGCCTACTCCCGCACATCCCTAACCCCCGGGTTCTCATGGTCTAGATTGTCGTCGCTGTTGGCACAGCTATGGTGCTGATGCCGCTGGGGCCGCCAGGGCCTACACCAGGATATCGCAGCCCGGCATATCTCGCCACAGCAGCATCGCTCATGTTGGAGATGACGAGCGTTCCATCTCCAATGAGGTGGAGATTGCCCTGCGTCCTGGTCCAGTTGTTGTTTTTGCGTCCAGCAGCTTCGCGAGCCAGCTCCTCCTCAATCTCGCCAACGCAACTGCTGCTCAGCTCGTGGATAACGGCCATTTTGTAATTGGCGATGAGTGTCATTGGATTCTTGAGCTGGGGCTGGCAGGCGGGGTCAAAGGTCTGCCAGCAGGGAGCAGGAGGGAGGTATCCGAGTGCCAGTTCGGGGTCGTACATTGGCGAGCATCTCTTGGTGAGATGCGAGCTGGCAGCCGCCGTGGCTGTGGCGGCCAAGGAGAGGAAAGTGATGAGTTGCATGGTGAAGATGTTTGAAGTTGCGTGGCTGGTTCAGTTGACACGGCCGATGATGGACGCTCCCAAGGTGGTCTTTATATCATGATTTCAAAGAGACAATCTAAAAAAAGAAAGATGCATTCCAATGGCTTGGCTGGCTCATTTCCCGCATGGAGAAACACGAGCTTTACGCTGAACGGGGCGCCGGGTAAATCGGCCTATCTTTTCGAGCGAGGGATTCAGGCATACACGATGTTCAGAACGCAGTCAGATGCTGTCGGACATGGTTCTTGCCCGCCAATGTCACGTCAAATGTCAAAAACACCGACGGAGAAGAGTGAAAAACGGCTGTCCTCCTCCGATGCCTGTTCTAGTATTGCTCGGCATGCTTGTAGTGTCGTAGCGAATCCTCCATGCAACTGTTTCACGTCTAAATACGAACTAAAAACGCATGTATGGCTCTTGTTCGCTGCTGCCTACGTAAAAGGATTTTGACAAGTATTATTATGCTATTACATCTATCACCTAATGATATCATACATTCAGGCAACCCATTTCTTGCCCATACCCTTCTTGCTCCACTGGTGGCTGCCGCCGGTGCCGGTTCTCTTCTTCTCCTCAAACAACTTCTTGCTCAGTTGCTTGTACACAAACGTGCCTTGCGAGTTGTAGCGGATGCTGTGGTCAGAGTCGGTAAACCAGGTCACCTCGAGCTTCTCTGGGCTGACGCGGTCTCCCATCAGCAGATCAGCGAGGGCGGCAGCGTTCTGAAAGTGAACATTGTCATCGCCGGTTCCGTGCTGAATCAGGAAGCCACCGGCAATCTTCTTGAAGCCGTCCGTGTTGTGCACCGCCGACTTGTTGTATCCAGCAGCGTTGAGCGCGGGTGTCTTCATATATCTCTCGGTGTACATGGTGTCGTAGAAGCGCCAGTCCGAGACGGGAGCGGTGGCGATACCCAGAGAGATGATGGGATCGCCAATTTCGACCACCTTAGCCGTGAGATACCCACCATACGACCAGCCCCAGATACCAATCTTGGAGGCATCAACCCACGGATTTTTGGCCAGCCACTTGGCGGCCCAGATCTGGTCCTGGGCCTCAAGATCACCCAGGTTGGAGGCAACCGCGGAACGGAAAGCGCGGCCCTTGAGACCGGTGCCACGGTTGTCAACAGTAAAAGTGATGTACTCGAGCTCGGGATCGGAAGCAATATAGGCGTTCCAGCCAAAAGATTGCATTCCCTTGTTGACCTGCTGAGCACCGGGGCCGCCATAGGGAGTCAACAAGACGGGGTACTTCTTGTCGGGAGAAAAGTTGGCGGGGAGACGGAGCATGGCGTTGAGCTTGAAGCCGGAAGGGTGGTCAAGTTCGTGATACGTAATGTTGGGAAGCTTGTACTCCTTGAGGTTGTTGAGGAGACGGTCATTGTTGTTGATGACGCGGAGGGGGGTCTTGGAGTCGATCTTGTAAAGTTCTTGGTAGGGGACGTTGGGGCCGGCATATCTCAGGATGTAATAGCCACCGCCGGTGGAAAATGAAGCGGACCAGACGGCAGAAACCTTGTCGTCGACCAATGGAGTCTTCTTCTTGGTGATGTAGGAAACCGAGTAAATGTGACGCTCTGTGCTGTGGCGCTCTGTGGACGTGTAGTAAATCAGTCCTCTGGAGGTGTCGATCTTGTTGATACCGGTAACCTCCCAGCTGCCCGATGTAAGAGCAATCTTGTCCTTGCCGTCCACCGAGAAGAGGTAGATGTGGTTCCACCCCGACTCGTCCGACAAGTCAAGGTAGTACTCCTTTTCGTCGTCTTTGCCCTTGCCCTTGCCCTTGCCCTTTGCCTTGCCTTTTCCTTTGCCCTTTTGCTCCGTGATGGAGCCGATGAAGCTGATGGCCGCGTTGTTGTCGAGCCAGCCGTCGGATCCATCACGCTGGCGGGTGAGGGTGGAGGTCTTGGTGGTGGTGTCAACAACCACGAGCTTTTCGTGGTCCTGAACACGGTTGAAAGCGCGGTAGATGACCTTGTCGTGCTCCTCGGTCAACCAAGCAACCTCGCCAATGATCAAGTCATCGGCTGCCCACGCAGTAACAGGAATCTCGGTCGTCTTCTTGTCCTTGACGCTCAAGAGGTGGAAGGCCACGGTGGGGTTGGTGGTGCCGACCTTGGGATACCTCAGCTCCAGCTCACGGGGATAGGCCGGGGCGACCTTTTGGTTGTCCATAAAGTAAGGGATCGTGAAGGTGTCGACTCCGGTCTCGTTGAAGCTCAGGTAAGCAATATACTCGCCGTCGGGAGAATACCAGAGCGCATGGTCGGTGCCAAAGATTTCCTCCTCGTAGACCCAGTCGGGAACAGCGTTGAAAAGATCAGGGCCGCCGTTGGTGGTGATCTGGCTGATGGTGCCATTGTCCCAGAGGAAGAGGTTGTTGCCCTGGACAAAGGCAATCTGGGAGGACGACGCAGGGTTCCAGGTAGCATACTGGATATCACCCTTGGAACCAGGCACGAGCTGCTGGGTCTGCCCGGTGGTCACATCCTGGACCAGGTAGTTGGCAAAGTACGAGTGACGATACTGCTTAGTATAGTCGACAGCCCACAAGACCTTGGTCTGGTCGTGGGAGATGGAGTAGTCCCAATAGTCGGCGGGGATCTTGCTGGAGGCGAGGAATGTGGTCTTGTTGCCGCTGGCGACGTTTTCAAAGACAAGCGATCCGTCGGAGGCGAGGGTGATGAAGTCGCCGTCGTTGTCGGTCTGGGCCCAGGTGATTCCGGTGGTGGACACAGAGAGAGCGCCGGGGCTGCCCGTGGTGACATTGTACGTGAGCAGCTTGGAGCCGCCTCCGACGGGCTGGTGGGGGGGGCGAGGTGGGTCGATGGCTGAGACGGCGCCCAACAGGGCGGCGGCAGCGCCGACGAGAGCTGCGACGCGCTGCATGGTGTTGACGTGGGAGGAGGGGAAACTGGGAGCGCCTGCCGAGAGCAAGAAACGAAAGCGACAGCATCTCTTGGTTTTAAGGTTCGGATCGACAATCTCCTGCCCGGAAGGGAAAGCCGGGTCTAGCATCCGAGGACGGCAGGTATGTTGTTCAACGTCCCATTCAGATGACATAATCAAGGCCCGATCCAGAAGGTGGTTTATAAGTGGGCGCGCCAAGCAATGGGAAGCATAATTTGTCAATTAATTAATCTCTGAGCCAGCCCTTGGGACCGCCCCAGGTGCCTTTAACCATATATTTGTAGTATACCCAAGGAAAAAAGTCCTTCTTCAAGTGATAAAATGCCCGTCTCGGCACCGCCTGGTCAATCCTCAGCGCCTTTCCAAACGTCTCCTTGGGTACGCCGCCGTACTTGAACTCGGCCAGCAGCACCTTGCCGTACTCTGTCAACAGCGGGCACGATGTGTAGCCGTCATACTCCTCGTCCGCCTCCTTGCCCCTCATTGACCTCAGCACATTCTTGACCAGAACCGGCGCTTGCGCCGTGATGGCTGCGGCCGTCTTGGACGTGGGCAAACTGGAAGCATCTCCGGCACTCCACACATTCTTCCACTTTTTGTGCCGGAGCGTCTCTTCGTCGACATCGACAAACCCAGCCTCGTTGGCAAGAGGACTGGATTTGACAAAGGCGTGAGCGCCCATCTTGGGAGTGACGTGCATCAGGTCAAACTTGCGGGTGAGCTTCTGGTTCTCGCCATGGCTAAACACGGCATCGTTGCCGTTGATTTCGACCAGATCATGCGCAAACAGTCCCTCTACTCCTCTCTCTTTCCGCAGCTTTTCCAGCACGGCAGAGTACTTGGGAACGCCAAACATGACGGGAAGACCGGTCGCGAATGTGATGTGGATGGGCGATGACGAGGGGTTTGCTGGGTCGTAAAGACCGGATTTCTTCCAGTGATCAAGGGCAAGCCACATGATCTTTTGAGGAGCGCCGGCGCACTTGACAATACCCATCGGCTGGGTGAAAATGGCCTGGCCGCCCTTGAGAGCCTTGATGGTGCGATCCGCCTTGTCGCACGTGTCGTAGCCGTAGATGGAGGAGACGCCCGAATCTGGGTTGGAGAGGGCATCATGAAGCCCCTTGATGCTGTTGAAGTCGACCTTGATTCCGGGCACCACGACGAGATGCTCATAGGTGAGCTTGTCACCGTTGTCGAGAGTGACAGTGTTGGAATCTGGCGAGAAGGATGACAACTCTGTATTGTAGAATCGCAGCTTGGGATCGATCAAACTCTTGAGTGGTTTCCTGAGCTGCTCCTTATTCTTGAGACCGCCGCCCACCAGGGTCCATCCGGGCTGGTAGTGATGCCATTCTGCCGGGTCGACAATCGCAATGTCGTCTTGGGAGAATTTCCCCTTGCGCAGGAGCTGGTGGCTGATGGTCAGACCAGCTGAACCACCGCCGACAACGACGACCTTGTGATTTCTGGTGGTGGGGGTGACATTGGCGACACTCGCAAAAGTGCGCACGGCAGCCGGGGCCAGTTGCGTGATGACTGAGCGGCGGGCAGCACAGGCTGCTGTGGTGACTAATAGTTGACTGCTGGACATGTTGGGATGGTGATGACGGGATGTCTGTCAAACGGAGGTCTGAGATCTCAGATCCAGGAACAGGAGAGGTGCGTGCTGAATGAGATGGAGGACAAAGAGCTGAAATGGTGTGCTCGAGCGTGAGCGAATTACCCAGCGGAGACGGCCAAATGTGGAGCAAGTCGCCGAGTCCCGGAGCTGTGAAACTTTTCTTGTCGCCGATCGAGTTGACTGCACTTGTGATGACTCGGCCACCGGGTGAGCAAGTTTCTCTTCCTCCCATGGTACTCGGTCGGCGAAAACAGACATTCCACACATCCGATGAAATTTTTCTCCCGGGCCGAGCCACCCGGTTAGTCACAGCGTTGCAATAATCGCCGTCTCTACGGCTGTCGGTGGCAGTCGGCGGCGTCGGAACTCGGCGGATGATGGGCATCGTGGTGCTGAAAAACGGTTTCTAAGGAGAAAAAGCTGAATATGGCGAGATCAATCAGTGAGTGAAGTGGCTTCTCTTTTCTTCATCATATCAACAAGCTGGCGTCGACGACGATGATTTCTTGATGTCGCCGTTGACGATGGCCGATAGACAGCGACGCCGGCAGCACAGACCACCAGTTGCCGGGCCGCTGTAAGTCACCCGGAGGTGGTGCCACGATGGACTGACGGCGATATCACGGGCCAGGATTCCCAGCTTAACCCCCATGTTTCTTGCCTCCCGGTAATGCCCAGTAGGCCGGCGTCTGCAACATCCCTGCAACACTTGTCATACACAAAGCTTAAACAGACCGACTCCCATCCCCACTGATCAGTGTGTTGTCCTTGCCCTCACCCACGCTCACCGAGACCACCATGAACACCCTTCAGGTACAGCAATGCGTTGAAAACGCCATCAGATGCCAGGCGACCAGCCGCCTGCTCCTCACCCCCCTGGTCATTTCTTCGCTTCGACTTCCACGCACCCAACTTTTCTACCACTCTCAACGTCGGTCTTTCCACCGAGCGGCGGCAGGGAGACCCTGTTGTCGACAATCTCAAAATCCACCTCGACTGTCTCAATGTCTACTACGCAAGACCTACTCTTCAGCTACTCCCCCTGCTCCGTCAGAACCTACCATTCATCCAGTCTTTGAACAGAGAACTGGCACTTTTCAATATCTAGTCGTCGATCCAGTGACCAAGGACGCAGTCATTATCGACCCTGTTTTGGACTACGACAAGTGCAGCACCACCATTACCACCACCACGGCTGACGGCCTCCTGTCTTTGGTCCGTGAAAAGGGATACAGGATCGTGCGCATTCTAGAGACCCACGCCCATGCCGATCACTTGACTGCTTCCTTTTACCTCCAACGGCAGCTGGTCAAGCAGCAGGACCTGAAACCCCCCGTGGGCATCGGCAAGCGGATTGGACAGGTACAGACCTTGTTTGGGCAGAGATATGGGATCGACGCCAAAGAGTATGAAGGTGTTTTCGACAAACTGTTCGAGGACGATGAAGAGTTTTCTATTGGAACGTTAAAGGCAAAAGCCCTGCATCTTCCCGGCCACACCCCAGATCATTTGGGATACAAGATCGGAGGTCTGTCTCCTTTTCCCTTTCGACGTAAAGAACCCTGCTAACTTGGATGCCCAGACAATATTTTTTGCGGAGACTCCATCTTCCACACTGACATTGGCACGGCAAGGTGTGATTTTCCCGGCGGATCGGCCCACGCCTTGTATCAGTCAGCCCGTAAGATCTTGTCTCTGCCTGATAATGTCAAGATCTGGACCGGGCATGACTATCCACCCGATGGTTTGAGAGAGCCTGTGCCATTTGTCACCGTTGGCGAGCACCGCCAGAAGAACAAGCACCTGAGAGATGGCGTAACTGAAGAGGAATTTGTCAAGATGAGAAAGGAAAGAGACGAGCATCTGGCTGCCCCAAGACTGCTGCATGAGAGTCTACAGGTGAATGTGAGAGCTGGAAGATTGCCAAGTCAAAACGACTCCGGCATGAGGTTGTTAAAGGTGCCTGTCAAAGTCAAGGGAGCTGGAGCATGGCAGTAGGTGGGTGGAAATTGCAAAAGCATGACCAGGCCGACGACTTGTGTAACTCGTACTGCTACGGTCCTTTCACAGCCGTGATTGTCACTATCGGCAAGACCTCACCGTGGAGGCAGGAGAAGGTGGCGGCGTACGTGACTGCGTCCGTGGGGTTTTTGGCTCTTCTCCATGCTTGCCCATGTCTGTCTCTATCAAGAGCTTTGTTTTCTGTTCCCGGGCATGGATCATTCAGAAGATGGCATGCTGTCCCAGTCACTGGTTGAAGATGGAGGGAATATACGATTCGTAGCTTGGCTAATGGACAATTCTTTTATGGGCAATATGCTATCTAAATGTGGTATAAAACCACCTGCAATGATGCATATTGAGTGCGCTGCGTCCTTGTGACTTTTATAAGCCGCTGATTGGAATGTTGACATGAGGACAGGTACCATCCACCTCAAGCCTACGCTGAATTCTAAATTCCTAGAGACGTAGAGATCTAAATCTGGTCCTGAAAACTATCAGCCGCCGGTTGCTCGGTAGCCTTCATTGCAGCATCATGAGCATCCACGTTCCACTCTTTCGGGATCTTCCGAAATTGAACAGCCATGTTCCTCTCCTTGGCTTTCTCAATCTCACCCAACAAAGCCTCCCATAAATCCCTGTTCGCGACGTCCCCCCCCTTGCTCGTTTTTCTATTGCTTTTCGATCCAAGTTTCGGCCCATGTGGTAGAGCCCTCAACCACATACTTGGAATTGATAGCGATGACAAGTGTGCGGAAACCTTCTTCGTTGGGTCCGAATTCAAAACGCAGGGTGGCAAGGGCAGCGCGAAGCTCCGCCCGGTTGCTGGTCTGGGAGCCATCGTCGCCAAAAGGCCACTTCCTTTCCAGGCGAGCAGAAACGATTTTTGGGTAATCCTGGTCGGGCGCGCGGGCATGTACAAGGGCCCAGCCTGCCTTTGGGTCCGGTGTGCGACGGTCGAGACATGTCCCAGCGATGAAGATCAGGGCGGTGAAGGCATCAGTCCGGTGAACGTATCTGCGAGATTGCATTTTAGCCAGCATAATATCACCCTGTTCAGGGGGGAACTTACTTGAGGAGACCATTTTTCGGCCGAAAAACCTTAAATAAGTCGGTAGGGGTTGCTGAAGCAGACGGGTGGGTAAACTCGGTAGGGAAGACAAGACCGGCGCCTTTTCTCCACTCCAATTCATTGAGTCTGGTAGCTGGATCCAACGTTCTGGGTTGTTGTTGTTGATGTTTGTCTCTGGGAAATGCTGCGGAGTTTTGGAAAAGAGGAATGTCAGGTCTTGCGGGTTGTTCAAGTGGAAATGGGTTTCTGAACAACAACCAGAGATATGGAAGCTGGGGGCAGACCTGTGGCATGCCTGCCATACGCTCAACATTGAGTGCCAGGTGTGACTGCGGTCTGATGATATGTTGTCGTAAGTAAGGTAAGAACGAGGCATTCGGATCTAGCACACCAGACAGGGTCCAGTCCCACCTCTCTGGACAGATTCTCATTCAGCCATGGGTGGGTCTTTCGTTGCAAATCTTTTAGGATTACCTGCCCGGTTCTGAATGTCAAAGTATTATCATCGATTCGGGGCTTCAGCAAGGTGTCAGGGTTACCACGCGCTTTGGGCAAGCGGGAATCCACAAAGGTGTTTTCATGCTTTAACGTCTGACTGCGATTCGTTGAGACTTCTTGACTATACTTTCCGTGTCTCTTCTACTGGTCTTGTCCTGGAAACCTGGTCCCTCAACAATTATTGCACACTGAGATTCACATTCTTTTTCCATACGAGGAACAAAATCCTTGATTTTTCTACTTCTCATCTCGTAGTTGATTTTGTACCTCTCCAGCATCCCAGCTTCCACCGTTATGCCAGTATACTGCCCAGCCCAACGTCGACTCCGATCCACCTGCATGCCCTGTTTCGCGTCCATTTCACCGCCAGCTGAGATGCCAGGGAAACAAATGCTATCCAACCAGAACGTCGACGTCCCTGTAGCCAATGACAGGCTGGCAGCCTGCATGTTTGCAGTTGAAAGTGCAGGTTTGAGTTGGAATCCTGGTGACAACAGGAAGGAATCAGCCACAGAAGAGGCATAGGCTGCCGAAGGGATTGACGGAAATGCAGCCGTGTTGGAACAGGCGGGGCGTTGATTGCGGTGGCTTGGTTGTTGCTGGAAAGTTGAGCCTTGTTTCAACCATTGTTCAAAGTCATCCAGCACATCTTGAAAACAGTTGAAAATGGCGGTGAAATAGGTATGGTTTGGATCACACGGGCTTGACACCTGAAGAGCCTCATCGATTTTCCCCTGAATAAACCTTTGCTGAGAAAAGAGCGTGCGTTACTCCGACACACGTTCAGCAAATTCGGATGCTTTGTCGTAATGAATACAGGGCGGCCGCTGGTGTCCTGGAAAGAGGACATCCCAGATGTGATACCACCCCCTTGTTGCATCAAGACGGCCCTGTCCTTTCTCCTTGAGGACTGCCCATTGTTGTGGTGTTACTCGTAGAAGATCAACATCTAGGGTCAGCTGACAGTTGGCGTGGCATACATGGTCAGGACTCGGAACAGTTTTGCAACCCAGGCTGCAAGTGGGCGCGTTGGAGGTGAGTTTGAACATCAGATACATTTCGAAGCTTTTTGTCTCGGCAGGCTTTGTGGGTGACGTGGCCAAAGTTTCACGGGTCTAGCCTAACAGACAGCCCGCTCATGGAAACCAATACAGTTTGATGATCAAAACGGACTGACCGAAACGTGCCTCACCACCAGGCCAAATCTGGAATCTAATAAACAAGGACGCAGAACAGTTGCTTCCCAAGTAAACAAGCATCAATGTTTATCCAGACACGGAAGGCTGCGGTATTACTCTCCCACGATATCCAACATTCACCCCTCCATCTCGACATCCGGATCCACCTCTGTCCCCAAATCTCTATCCTCCAGAAACCTCCTCCCCCTCAATTCCTCAGGCAGATACTCTTGCCTCACCTTTCCATCTTTGTAATTAGGAGGATACTTGTACTCGGCACCATACCCCAAATCCTTCATCAGCCTGGTGGGTGCGTTTCTCAAGTGCAGCGGAACCGGAAGACTGGCCACACCGGGCTCCCTGAGAGCCGAAAATGCATTGTTCAGTGCCCTATACGCTCGCGTGCTCTTGGGGGCCAAGCACAGCGCCACGGTGCAGTGTGCCAGAGGAATCCTGGCCTCGGGCATACCAATCTGTTGCGTGGCCGTGTAAGTCGCCGTGGCCAATGGCAGGAGTGAGTTGTCTGCCAGGCCGACATCTTCCGATGCAATCACCACCATTCTTCGCGCAATAAACAACGGATCCTCTCCCGACTGCAGCATCCTCGCCAGATAATACAATGCCGCATCGGAATCTGACCCTCGGACAGCCTTGTGAAAAGCAGAAATGGTATCGTAGTGCTGATCACCCGCCCGATCGTACACCAACGTCTTGGTCAGCGCAGCCTTGATGTCATCTTTTGTCAATGGAGCCTCCCCTCCCCCTTGCGGTCTCGTCGTCAGAGACAGGGCCAGTTCCAACAAATTCAGCGCGGTCCTGGCATCTCCATCCGCAAAGGCCGACAGGTACGTCAACAGCTCCTCATCAATCAGGGGGCTGAGCTCTATCCCCTCCTCCACAATCTCGGCCTGTATTGCCCTGACCAATATCCTCTGCAGATCCTCCCTCGTAAGCGATGCCAGTGTAAATGTCCTGCACCGACTCAACAACGCCGCCTGGACCTTGAAACTCGGGTTTTCCGTTGTGGCCCCGATCAATGTGATTGTCCCCGCTTCCACCGGCTTCAAAAACACATCCTGCTGAGACTTGCTGAACCTGTGAATCTCGTCGCAAAATATGATGGTTTTTCTCCCCGTCAAGTTAAGCTCGTTGGCTGCTTCGGCAAAGAACTTTTTGACCTCGGCGACGCCGGTGCTGGTGGCATTGAGCTCAATAAACCTGCTGCCCACTCGCCGGGCGATGCACCTTGCTATCGTCGTCTTTCCTGTCCCCGAACCTCCCCATAATATCATGGATGGCACTCTGTCTGTTTCGATTAGAGACCTCAGCACCCCGTTGGGCCCAACCAAGTCTTGCCCAAACACATCGTCGAGGGAGTCGGGCCGCATTCGCTCGGCCAAGGGGGCGGCTCGATGGGTCTTGGATCGCTTGGAGAGAGGGGCAGCACCGGGATCTCGCTCAGCCGTGCCGTTTGTCGAGAGTGTGCTCGTCTCGGGCCCTACCAGTCTGTTGTCCGCAGTTGGTGAGCTATTAGCTTCATCCCACGTCCTCTTTTGTCCGCCCTTGTTGCCATTGTTGGTTTTTATCCCAAAACCGTTGACGGGCCGTGGTGTCGAGGCGGCTGATCCATTGGTGGTGGCCTGCCGTTTCGCAGCTGGGGTTGCAAAAAAGTCGGCGGCGGTTCGCTTCTTTTGCTGGGTTGATGGCGGCTGGGATTGAGTGTGGCTTGGTGGAGAAGATGGCCGGTCGGTGGCTTGGTCGTCGAGAAGGAAGGTCTGGCAGCCCGAGTCGATGTGGCTATTGATTTCGAGCGTCTTGACGCCCCGTTGGCAAATGGGGCAAACTACCATCCTGTCGTTCTCGAGAGGCAGAATGCAGTGACTACCTTGATAGAAAAGAGTGGCGAAAACAATCACTATACGATTGTGACAAGTTGAGTCTTGCGCTGTACTGCGATCGAGGGTGAGGCAAACCACCAAAAGAGGGCGTACAGAATGGGGATGGCGGCGCGTCTTGGGGCAAGAAGGTTTAATGAATCTGGGAGACGCGATCTGGGGGCTCAGTGCGGGACGGTCCAGAGAGGCCCCTGCAAAACGTGTTTCTGGAAGTTCCGCCGCTTTGGTTCGGCGGTGTGGGGCAGATTACCCGTTTTATGCCGCGGCCGATGATGATATCTTTTTCAAAAGAAACATCCGCGCAATTGATGAACGATGGTAGACAAAGAAATTAATACAGCTGATGCTCTACAAGAAGTATGCACAAAAGAAACCGCTCAGGGCGTGCCTTGTCATTATGCTGTATTCCAGATGCCAATAGTCTTGAAAAGACTGTTCATGTTACAGTTCGAATTTTAAACAGAGTCCCAGGAAACACCAAACGCCTAGCCAAACGCCCAATCTGATGCAACAGTCTTGTACATGTCTGCCATGACTCCCGGGGTCTAATGGTGTATGTAAAAGCAAATCGGAGATCCACCCCAGGTAGCCTTCCATGTCTCTTGACCACCAGCATTATACCATGAACGACTCGCCACATCCACACTGCTCCTCTGCTTGCTGTTAGCATGTGCGCTCAGGTCGACTAAAAGTGCAGGCAAAAAAGACTCACTGATGTTGGGGTTCCGGAAAACAAAACGTTGGCTAAGCTTGTCCTCTATCCAGTCCATCTCGCTCCCGATAATGCTGAAGAGTGCTTTGCTGTCAATCAACACCTTGACTCCGTCTTGCTCAACCGTCTCGTCAAAAGCCCCAGGCTTCTCCACGAACTCGAGATGATACGCCAATCCAGAGCACCCCCTGTTGCGCACACCGACCTTGATGAGCTTCGGGTCCGGCTGGTCGAGAAGCGCGCGTAGGTGGTCTACGGCGGCGGGAGTGAGCTTCATTGCCGCCTTTCGGGGAGCGCGCAACTTGGACCGCGGCCTTGGCGATGGCGCTGATAGCTGTGTACTTGACTTGGACTGCTGGGCTTCTCTCTCGGGGAGCGACGAGGCTGGGTCTAGAGGCGCCTGCGGCTCTTTCGGCGGCCGGGTCTCGTGTACTCTCGGCAACGCGGGGGACTGAACATTGTGTGTGATGGAGGTATCAGGAGCCGTGGCATTGCGCGGCGCCGGGGGTGGGTGAGAAGGTAACGAGTAGGACTGAAAAGCAGCGGCGAGCTGGGCCGGCGTCGACGAGAACTGACGTTGTTGGTTGCTGCTTCGAAAGAAGCTGCGGCGGCAAGCTAGACACGCCGCTCTCCTGGCTAGTAAACTAGACGCGTTCATTCTGAAGTTGGGAAAACGATATCTCGAGGGTATTCGCAGGTTTGGTGAGGGTGAGGTTATGGCAGCATGGGAATTGCGTCGCAGAGATGGGCATTTGTCAACTTTGGTGAAGCGGCAAATGCGAAGCAGCAACCGACAACTTCTGATCAATCAGCCGGAGTGATGACATGACGCCAAGAGCCCAGCCGACACTGATTCTGCCCAGCCAATCAACGATCGTGCATTTGGAATGCATTCAAGACGCACGGGCCCTGTCGACAACAACAAGTGAATTGAATATTCTCAAAGACTCGACCAGATCAAAACAGTAGACAGTATGGTATACTCAGCTCCCACAACCGTAACGCCATCCAATTGACCCATTCTTCAATCTCGGTTACGCCATGGTCACCTTGAAATCAGCGCCCCCACGTCTCCTACCGCCTGCCTTCCCATCTTCTTCAGCAGCGTCCGCTCATCCGCCTCTCTGTACTTTTCCCAGCTATCCAACCCCTCCTTTGCCTGGATGCTGAGCGTCTCGTAGCCCTGCTTGATCACCTCGGCCACTTGCAGACTGGTCAACTGCCCCCCGGTTCTCTTGCCCTTGACCGCTTTGGATCCATCAGTTCCCAGCATCTCCTTGTAGTGGACACTGACGCTGACAAGCGTATCGATGGAGTTGCTCGCCCTGTTGGCCAGCCCGTAGGTATCTCTAAACTTCACCAGCACCTCCCCCGTTTCGACAACCTTGTAAAACAGATCGTCGTACGCTGCCGGTGTGGGTAAGAATGTCTCACCGGCCGACAGTCCCAAGGCGAGCAAATTGACCACATGATCCAACAGCGTGTTGATGTGACTCAGCCCCTTGAGATCAGAGGCATATGTTGTCAGGAATCGGATCAGGCTGAGTAGAGACCGAAACAGGTCAGCCCAGTGGTACTGCAGCCGTGTTCGCGACCGGGACATGTAGCTAATGATTCGCAGCAGAATGCCGACACACAGCGTGTAGAGGCCGACGTCCAGTCTGCGTCGCAGATTGTGGTTGATGGCGTCAATCATGGTGTCCATGACAGCTGTGGCAATCACTCTCTCGGACCGCACCAGCGGCAAATAAGGGGATCGTTGCCGGCAAAGCCTCACCGGCACTTTGCTTTCGTCTGAACACATCCTTTTGCATAGGACAGGGTCCTCAATCAGTAACCGGAACACCATCAGGTTGAGGTGACAATACAAGGTTGTTCTCTGGGAGAGGTGGGCGTGCTGGAGGAGGTAGGACGTGAGAGAAATGAAGTTTGCAAACGGGGAGTCTTCCCCCTTTTCCGACCTTGGGGCACCGGTCACCAGCTCCAGACTGAACAGCTTGTTGGCGTGAGAAAAATCATATGTGGCAAGCAAGACGGCAGCTTCCTCTCCCGGCCTACAAGATCATTAGCAATATTTTCCCACAACTAGAAACAGACGTGCACTCACAGCTCGGCAAACATTCTTTTGGCAGTGTCTGCGTCGTAGACCGGTTTGGGCGGGGGCTTTCCCCCTGGCGCAATAGCCCCTAGCCCAATCTTGTTGAGCGTGTTGGCCAGCGTCCATCCTTCTGGTAGGTCTTCTTGGACATCGATATACTGATCCCGGAGCTTCTGGCACGTCTTGCCCACGCCCTTGACGATATCCTTGATGACCCGCTCGTTGACAAAATCGTTCAAGCGCATTTGATAAGGGTTTTGAAACTCAAACTTGTTGTAGTTGGCCAGCAGTCCAAGCAGCATGAACGGCCTCGTTATCCTCGTCTCGTCGCCAGAAGTTTCCAGTGAAGATTGTGATTGAATACACTGTCTCGGTCAGCACCACGGCCCTTTCACATCAGGAGTTTAGTAACATACGCTTATTATCGCTGGGAACAGATCCCTCTGAATAAAGTACGTGAGCAAGCTCGTTTGATACGCCCCCGAGGACACGGCGAGCGCCAGTTCCACCGCCCGTTGCTGCAAATCGGCTGTATAAGTGCAGTTGGATTTCCCCTTTCGCTGCTGCTGCTGCTGCTGTGGTTCCTGTCCATCCGCCGGCTGCCTTTTGTCCTGCGCATGACCAACCCCATGTGGGCAACACTCTACCCCTGGGCCCCTTCCATTGCGTATGAGGCCCTCCAGCGCTGCGACAAAGTCCCCAAACACGGTATCGATCTGATCCAGCCCGGCCAAAACCTCAATGATATCCGAGCTCGGGTTTGTGTACCGTTTTGCAAGCACGCAAGTCATGAACGTGGACAAGGTGTCGAGTGCATGCAGATCCCCGACTCCATATGGCCGTCGCAACGCCTGTACCGCCTTGATGAATAGTTGCCTTGTCTGGGTCGACAGATGGAGTAAATCGCCGACTGGGGTCTCGTCGAGCATGCGCCTCAAGCTGGCGCGGTCGGGCCGCAGGAGAAAGAACTCCTTCCAGAAGCCTTCGGGCTTTTCGGCCGGTGCATCTTCATCGTCCTTTTGGCACACAGTCTGTCAACCTCTGCGTCTGATAATTCGGTCACTCGGGGCTAACCTGTGAACCGGGACAAGTATCAGCTGTTGTTCCTCACCAGGCACCCACCGCTGGGGACGAACCTTGAATAGGGCTTCATAGAGCCGGACGATTTTGGGCTGGAAAACCTCGGGCCGGGGCTGGTGTGTTAGGGGAGAAGGCTCCATGGGTTTACATATAACTTCCCGCAGTCAACTCGGCTGTGGTCGGTCGAGAATTGGGGTACGAGCGGTCGTGGTTGGGGTCGGGATTCGGGACAGCGTCGCGTTCGGTCGGGAACCCGCCAATCTGGCTCCCTGTCTCCGTCATCAAAGAAACGGAGAACACAGTGCGCGTCAGTTAGGTGGGGCTGCTATTTTTGGGCGCTTCTTGGCGGTGACGGGACAGTGCGGGCGAAACAACCGACAACCGCCTCATTCTCATAGGGCTGAAGACAAGCCGGTGAAGAATTAGACTCAATACATGACCATGTTTACCAGAACTGTCAAACTTATCAGGTGCGCCCCTTCTCAATAACCAACATGATCCGACCATGTCCGATCAGTCTCCTTGTTCTTTTCTCCGCCACCTCCACGCCCGTTTGGATACATACACGCACCTTTTTTTGTTTCTACAGTACGTCTATCCCCGTAGAGTTCTTGTGTATACCAATGCCCAGTGGCAACAAGCCGCCATTGCTGTTTCTGTTTAATCCACATCTCAGTTTGTGCCGAACCTCTACCACCACAAAAGGCCCAAAAATGTTGAAAGGACAGATCGTAGCCGCCACCGACCCATTTCCCCCGGCAAAGAGATAACAGCAAGCTCAAAACAAAAGTGTCGCTAGTGAATATTCCAAAATGCCTAGGCTATGAGAAAGACAGTAAAGGATTGTAAACTCGAAATGTGAGTGTTGGGTTAGATGTAGAAAAAAACAGCCCGCTATTAAACGCCCCAGGGAAAGCAAAGAAAAAAAGTCAAATCCCCCAGCTTCCCCTCCGCTCGCGCACACCCCAGGCCAAGGGGCTGATGGCGTTCAGGTCCGGATGTTGCCGGGCCCACTCATAGATGTAGAGCTTCAGCGCCTTCCATCTTGGACACCTGTCCTCCTCCTTGACATTGTCCTGCTCTTCGCTATCGAGCATGATATGTCCGGTGGCCTTGATCCTCTTCCCGTCCGCCCTTCTCGGACCAGAGTCCTCACTGTTCTGGGACTGCGAGCCAGAGGATTGAGAATTGCCGTGGGCTTCTGCGCCCCACAGATCCTCCATGATGGCGTCGTCGTCCCTTTCCAGTTCCTGCACGGGAATCCGGCTGATCTTGCTCAGCTCCTCATCGTAGAGCCTAGCCGTGGCCGGGTATCCAAGAGACAAGTAATTGTACACCTGCGTCACAAACTTGTCATCAAACTCGGCGGCAATCTTCTCCTCGAGGTCAGCCACAGCCTTCTCTTGCTTCAGTTTCTCGTCCAGGTTGTGCAGGTTGTGGAGCATGTGAAGGCCCTTGGGTGCGTTGTTCTTGGTTCGGTGCTCGGGAACGACCAGACCCCCATTCGCCGACTGTGGTTTCTTTTGGAGCTGAATAGAGCCTCCTCCTGGGATATGCAGACTGTCGGCCCTCGAACCAACCGGCGTCGGCTCCTCGCTCAGTTCGACTGGAGCAGTTCCAAAAGCCTGGTCAAATGGATCTGTGTTGCTTGCGTCGGGCATGGGCGTCGTGATCATCAGCGGCCTGTCCACATGAGCAATCTTTTCGTTTTGGTTGCTCGTGTAGCAGTAACCGCGCCAGAGGCCATGCTGTTCTGTCGGGTCACGGTGCTGGTCCTCCAGCGTCGTTCCCGTCTCCAGATCCCACAAATGATCCGGCTCCAGCTTGGTCTGCTTCGGGGACGGGCACTTTCTAAACGTTAGATCCTGGCCGAGCATGGGAGGTGATTTTTTCAGTCGCAACCGATGGGCGGCCCTCGCCCTCTCCAGGGACATGTCTCTCTCCTGGCCGTAGGGGTTGAAAGGTGCATGGTGCCCAAAAGATGTTTCCGGAGGTATACGCGAGGCCGGGGCATAAGGCATGTCGCCAGCCTTGCCAGCAGGCGCCGAGGGTATGTACGGCATGAAGCTCTCGCCGATGGGTCGGACCGGGGGAGAGTCTGGCTCCATGTTGGGCATGCGACTCTCTCCAGTGGGCGGCAGAGGCGACTCGGCACGGAGCAAGGGCATATGAGTCTCTCCAATGGCCACCAGCGAGCCTGATGACGGCCGTGGCCTCCACAGGGGAGAGTTGGCTATGGACGACCTCTGTCTGCTCGTCAAATCTATGGCATCGCTAGGGACATCAATGCTCATCTTGTCCAGGTCCAACGTGTCTATCCGACTCATGTCACGCTGCCTGTGGGCATTCACCATTTGTGCATGCTCTTGCATCTCCTTGAAGGCCCAGCTAATGTCCTCCTCGGACGAGTTGCGTCTCGAGTGCATGGGATTCCATGGGCCCCTCGTCAAAGGTCTCCCGCGGGGCCCGTCGTCTTCTGACCCTTCCCTGACATAGAAATGTTCGGCACCGCCTATGCGCTGGCCGCTGTTGGGGAACGCGCTCATGGCAATGTCCTGGAGCTTCCTTTGAGCATCGCGGGCCACGAGATCAAACAAGGGGCCGGCAATCTCATCATCACACGATTCGCGCCGGGCATGAGCCCTCTGTCTCTCGGGGCTTGCTGGGATGGATCCATGGCTTCGTTTCCTTCGGGGTTTGGGGGCGTAAATGTGATTTGTGTAGGGTGTGATATCTGTCCTGTCTGTCGGACGGGTGGCTGGGCCTTCGTCTCCGACTCGCCTAGATCTTCGGACCGAGGACTCTACCAGTTGCGGCGCAAACTTGCGTCGCTCTCGCGGAGGTGGTGATGGCGACCTCGGGGATGGACTCGGGGTCAGCTCGTTGGGCGGTATGGACTTTCGATAGCGTTCAAAGGTGGTCTCTATCAATTTGGGTGCGAACTTTGGCCCCGGCCGATCTTTGGTGTTGGCCATTACAGGTTCTGATTGGAACCACCGGGTGGAGTTACACCATGCGTTCAGTACTCTACTGGGCTGTCGAGTTAGTCTTGACGGTCAAGGGAAACAGGAGGGCAGGAGGGCGCACCCACCAACCACGTTTTGGAATGTTGGATGACTTCAGGTCCCGTCGTGAATCATGAAGCTCTGGCACAAGAACAGGCCAGCGGCGCGGCACACCCAGACGGCTTCCAACTTGATTTGTATGCCGTGAGCGGGGGCGAGTCGGCAGAGGGATGCGAGGATTCGGAGGAGGCGGTCACAGAAGCTGAGGCGGGTATTGCAACATTGCTGGAGCGATGTCCGTGGTGCGTGGGCCACGATAGCAGCAGCCACGCAGCCAACACCAGCGCTTACCGCAGCTGGCAGAAAGTGGGCGGGAGACCCCAGAGTGGGATGAATGGTGGGGCATTGCCCATGTCGCTGCACTGTGCGAAGAAGCCACTGCGGAACACAGTCGGACCCGCGTGATCCATTGGCCGGGCGTATTTCAAGCCACAGCTGCCACACACTTGGCCATCCGCACCGTATGCTTATCGTTCGCACACCGTCACTGTACAGATGCACCCCAAATCCAGCACCTGAGATCAAGCAAACAGCGGGGTGCGAGCTGCAGTCTCTATCCATGTCGTCCTGCCTTGCGAGCTTGAAGCCTGACATCATTCACCAGTAATCGCATCTTTTCTGACTGCTGTTGGCTCATCAACCTGGGAACTGGAGAGCAATAACGATCACAAGCCCTGGCGCACTCAAAGGGACTGACTATCAGGGTCCACAAAGAACCAAGGAGATCTCCTTTGACATCTAACAAAGTACAAAGTAGACTCACCGTCTGTCTCCCTAGGTAGGCGGTGTCGGCTCAGCTCCCCTACGGGCCAGCGCATGTTTTGACTTTTTAGGTCAAGTGACGCTCAAGTGCCCGTCCGGTGCCCGTCGCAGTCTTTACGGAATGGAAATGGTCAATTTCAGGGTCCAAGTCGGTGAGGGTGCGCTGGCTTCACCCAGCCTTGGCTCGCCCGTCCTTTATCCTTCGGCGAGTCTCGAGGACTTCCCCGTCCTCTGTTCGGTACCATGCTGGTGGCTTCAGGGACCAAGCCGCTAGAGAAACCCGCCTCCATTTCAACGGGCACTATCGGGTGACGCTCCACTATCAAAACCCGAGCCCGTGAGCGGTGGGCAACTCTGGTTGTCAAGAAACTCGAAATCACGCAACACAGCCCAGAAGTCGGCTTGGAAAAAGTTACTGCCAGTTTCGACGTGAGAGGAGACAGTCTTCCGCCCGTCCATCACCCTTGGTCTCTAGGCTCGTGACATCTGAGGTGAGATAAACCCGCGCGGGGGTGCAACCCCCACACAGAGTCGCCCGTTTCTTGACCACACCGCCCACCCTCGCCAACCTTAATACCCCTGTCCGGTTGGAAGGGTGGAAGGGTCCTCAACCGCCACCAGCCAAGAGAGCTTACCTTCACCAAGTCCCGATCGCCGATAGCCGACTAACACTACAAAACGACAGCTCACACACTTCAAGTAGTGTACCTACCTACCCAAGCCCCCAAGAACAATATGTTCATCTCATGTTTGCCAATGTCACGATGCCGCCAGAAAACACTGCCATTCGGTCAGCCACACGCAGTGAAAGACCTTCCCGTGACTGGGCCAGATTTTCTTGTGGCTGTCTCTTATTGGAGATGATGCAAAGGAACTTATGCAGCATCCCCTGCCGGGCATATAGACACTGCACACCTCCCTCCTTAGGTCACCAACAACAGTTTGACCCCACAGGCCACTTTTCGCAGTTCCTCCAATACACTCCGGCCGGCCCAATCGGCAGGATGGCGTCCCCGGGGTCGGGTGTCCTGATATACTCCGGTTATCCCCTTGGATCTCCATACGGAGCACTGGGACGCAGACACTTTCTCGCCTCTGAGTAAGCAACATATCCAATGTAGAAGCAGCGAGCGGCCAGTAGTATATGTAGTATCCCCAAACCAATGACCTCAGCCCAGAAAACCCGCTTTTTACCCCAGACTCTTGGCCGCTACGAGATCGTTTTTTGGCATTTTGCGGGGAAGTGGCAAATGGCGTTAAACAGTTGGTTGTATCTCACGTCCCTTGTCGTTTATGATGGCGCCTGGCCGGGAAGACGGCATACCCGACACGGATTATGGCCGACACGAGACGTGCTAGTGCTATGCGGATATCCGATATTCACATTCCACCATCAAGGCCCGATGGCTTGGTCTCTCTGGAGCGAGTGTCATTGAGAAGACAAGTACACAGAAATATAGAGACCCCAGCGTGTAATCGCCTCTCAGGACATGATATCTGACTCCCTAAAGCTGCCTCACTCGGGGACTTTCGTTATCTTCAGAAGTCTATCAACTCTGTTTACTATCTATGTAGATGGCATCATTGAGCGTTCTCCTCCCAAATAGCAGTCTCGGTTATTCGGGTGTTAATATAACATGATAGGAAAGGTATTCGAGATGCATAGAATAATCATGGCTGACTCACATGCTGTGAGCCTAGCTTCTCGTAACGGTGCCCATCAACGTGTTACGTCGCATGGCTCTCCGTTTTTTTTGCGTATTACAAGAGACTCCAATCTAGGTACATAGGTAGGTATGATGTCTTGGAGTGAGAAGAGTGTTGTTGACGATGTGCGATCAATACTATGAACAAAACGGGAAATAGTATCTCGAGACTTTTCGAATATATCGTTATCGATGTGCTGTTCAGGGCACTTGGCAATGTCATCCTGTCTTGAACTCCTCTCGAGTCGTTCGTGATACTTCAAGACCAATCACCAAGGCAGGTTGACTCGACTGCCTAGAGGCTGCTACTCTGGAGTGGTTTCACTTTTCAAGTATGGATTAGCTAGATATGTGATGATCCTCCGCATTTACTGCCACCCAGACAGAGTGCCACAAAGACACGGATGTCGGTTTGAAGATGCGACCACAGTGCGCAATGAACTATTCAGCCACAACCACCACTTCCTATCAGATCTGAAATACAAGAGAAGCCTGTCCCCTTCCCATGCAGAAGGTCTTCGGCCTATACACATCTACGCGGCGTAGTGATAAGTGCGCTGGTTAGAATTCTTATCACAGTTTTAAACGATTATGACTTGTTCAGACCTGGCGAGCATTCCCTCTACTCAACCTGAATTCAGTGTCCGGCATTACAATGGTTCATCAAGACGATATCACAGACGCCACAGTCATACTGCGTCAGACACATATGGGTTGGAAATGAGGATGGAAAGATGGCGTCGACGGGAAAGGAGATTAGATGAACTTTGTGGACCAGGAGGACTCAGGAGGCGTGCTTCCCGGCGTCGGATAGATAGAATTGTCAAATGCGGTGACACCATCACGCAAAGGATAGTATGTACAGCATGAATTTGTGTATCATGAAGGCTACGAAAGTGTGTTCTCATGACCTCACTCCTTTTCCAAAGTTACAACGAGCGGACTGTCAGGTTAAGCCATGCTACCGTTGTTTCAATACAGGTAGTGACAACACAGTCACCTCTAGTAGAAGACTAGTAGAAGAGTTGAAGATTTGACGTCAGAAAGGAGGAATGATCATGACCACATTGGCTGATGCAATCACGCGTGGAAGAACCACCCTTCATCTACAGCTGTCTTGCAAGCAATATGAGTACTGGGAGCAGCAGTCTTGTGCGCCTGAGGCTGAATCATGGGTGGTCAACCAAAAGATAAGCCAACTTGGATTCGTTGAGAGTGCTCAACCGCTATCGAAAATGGGCCGGGTTGGGCGTTAATGTCTCAAGCGGTTGAGAGATTGCAATGTAACGGATGATTGAATGGTTGGTCCAAGGCTTGCTATCTACCGACGTTGACGCCACCACGTTCAACGCGCGCGATCTCTCAAGGGTCCGTGGGGGCACCGTCCAAGGCCTTGTGACAGCTGCAACCCTACCACCCGGAAACGTCTCTGAAAAACCACAGAAAGAGATGCTGGTCCTGGTTGTCGATTGAAACGCGGCTCCAGACACGCTCGGATGCGTCTTCGATCACGAGCACGATTCCGGGAACGCCTGGCAGCTTCCCAGACTCTGGGAACCTAGGAATGGGGGTCAGCCCCTGGCTGTGCCAAGAGAATCTCTCCCGAATGTCGCGTGGCAGCGGATGACGGCGAGGCTTTTCAACCTGCTGGCTGATGCCAAGAGTAGAGATGTTGGTTCGGCTGGATAAAGCTGCAAGTCCTCGCATTGCTGCTGTGTTTTTGTCGACGAGAAAGACAGCGTGGAAAATGCTGTGACACGGCTGCAAAGATGTCAGGGGGTGGGTCACGATAAGCGGATGGCATATGATATGGACTATGAGTGGAGGATCTCGAGATGTCCATGGCCAGGGTCTTGAGCTTTGACGGGCCAAGACAGTTATCTACTACACAAAACTTTGCTGTCGAGAGACGGGAGCATGTCGTGCCAGTGCAGTCTGGCCGTCATGTCGCGTGTCTGGTTCGGCCAATGCAAGACGGCGGCGAATGCCCGTTACCTATCTCTCCTCATGCCCCTGGCCAACCACGGATCGCGAGCCCGACAAAAGAACATCTCGGCAGCCAAGTTTCTCCCCGTCGTCTCCTGGATGCCAGGCGGGGCCAGCAAGATGGGCAAATGAGCTGAACGGTGGGCACCAGTGGCACCGTATTCAGGGGAGTCCCCGGCGGCGGAACAACGGGAAAAAGCTAAAATTGGGAGTGATGGAAATGCAATAAAGAACAGCCCCATTTTGCATGTTCGAGAACACGAAGGGGTCTCCTGATGACGGGTACCTGAAAGTCTTTGGAACTCTCTCGGGTCAGCATCACGGACCGCTGGTCGATACAGCTTGCCGAGCGCCCGTCTCGGCGAGGGTCGTGGTGCAACTCTGGGCCGATAAGCTTGGATCTGGCAGAGACAATGGTGGTTGCGATGGTTGTGGTGATGCAGGTCAAAAAACAGGATCGCTGATTCGCGGCCCACAGTGACACAAGCCCAAGACTTCAACGCTCCGCCAAACTGGATTCGCGAACCAGGATCCCTTTGATAGATGAAATTAAAATGAAATAAGCCCAGGAACCGACGACGGGCTGCTTAGTTTAGAAACACCAGATCCCGCCCTGGCCTTTTTCTTTCCTGCTGCATCATCTTATACCTACCTAGAACCCAGGACATGATAGACTGCTTGCCGTTCCATCAGTCGGCCTCGAGGACGTTTCTGCCGACGAGGACACACGACACAAGCGCACGAAAAGCGACCGACACCGAATCCTACATTGCACTAGGCGGCCCCTTTGCAGAACGGCGACCAACCGTGGCACACTAAGGGTAGCCCAGAGCGACGGGAGCAGAGCAGTACGCGGCCGTTCTGTCCATGCTCGTCCTCGTCCACTATGGCGGCGTCAAGATATAACACTCTGCCGGCCGGCCAGGCTGATGACGACACGCCTGATCAACACGGCCAGCGCCCGCCGTTTTCCCCAGATTCCTTCGCCTCGCGCCTCTCGCCAACGTCGCAGTCCACCTCGACCAGCCTGGCCTCGCCCACCCAGTCGCCCAATCCCATGGCTCATGCGAGCTTGGCCGAAAAGACGTTTACTCCCCTCTCCATGAACGAAAGCGATTACCTGTCGGACCACTCGGCCACCGACCGCCTGCTGAGAAAAAAGTCGTCCTTCTCCCTCGAACACGAATCGATGCTGAGCACCTCCAACACTTCCAGAGGCGAAACGTTTCTGCAGGTGGGCAGTGCCATTGGCAGAAGCAACAGTGTCAGCAGCACGTCCAGTGCCACGGCAGCTGGCCGGGGCGTGACGGTTGTCAGCTCCATGGTCCAATCGTTTGAAGCCCTGCACGCAGCAGTGGTTGAGAAAGAACGAGAACTGGCGGCCAAAAAGAGCAGTGCCAGTCTTCGCCCGTCTCTCGGTCCGGTGTCAAGGACAACATCGCCGGCTCCAAATGCAGACCTGACAGACGCAAGCCAGCACCAGCACCAGCACCAGCACCAGCAACACCTGGGGTCCAGTCTTGGCGGAGCTGTTGGCGCCACCGATACGACCATCGTGCCGCAGACAACCGACCCCCCAGCGCAAAATGCGAAGGCCGCCCCTGAGTCCCCGATCCGCTCCCCGATTTCAGTGACGGCCCAGACGCCCCTGATCCGACCGACTCCCACGACAATTCCTTCTCCCACCACCTCGATTGAATCGCCATTGCCCCGAACCTCTTCCACCGCGAGCATCAGCCTGACACACCCCACCCCAGACCTCAACAAGCGATCGCAGTCGGGCGCCTACCTCGGCAACATTGCCGCCCTCGAAGCCACGGCCGAGCGCCTGTCCATGACCAGTTCCATCGAAGTCGCCATTCGCGAAGAGCACAACGAGCTCAAGCGGTCCGAGAGTCGGAAGTCGTCGATTCTTCAACGTGCGAGGGGTACCTCAGCCGGCTCCGATTCTGGTTCGGCATTGCATCTCGGAAGCAGAAAGAACTCGGTGGTGGAAACGAACAACGCAGCCCGTTTTGGCGGTTATGTCATGAGTCCCCAACATTCCTTGTCTGGCGCGTCGGCCCGTCTCCGCTCTGGCAGCAAGGCCAGCTCCAGTGGCTTGCCAGCTCCGGAGTCCGTTGCGCTTTCGTCTAGCCTGGAGAACGGCGAAGACTTTCCATTCATGTCTCGGAGTGGACCAGGAAAAGCGTCAACGAGAAGTGCGGCCAGCAAGCTGTCCCTTGCCGAGATTGCCGAACTGGAACACCCAACAGCCCTGACGCGGGATGCCATGGACCGAGCCGACCTGGGAGTGCCGGACAACGACGAGGAGGAGGAGAGGCGCATACTAGCGAGTGCCCACCAATATATTGAGCCAGAGTTCGCCGATGAGGGGGAAGGGGCGCGCACACCTCAGAATGAGAACCAAACCTTTCTGGATGATCCCGCCCCGCGGCTGCAGCTCCACCATCCCGACCAGTACTCGCAGTATTGGGACCAGAATAATGACCAGGCGAGAAGACCAACGACGGCCGCTTCCGTTACCACGTTTGATCAAGCTCAGACAGCGTTTGGTGACTTTGACGGCGTCCACTGTGACCCCGAAGCCGACCAGTTTGTGCCTCACCAGGAGCCTGAGCTGCCTCCGCCTCGGTCACAACAGCAACCGCAGCACCATGGCATCAACAATTCGTTGGGGCCCCGCCCGACATCATACTTTGACCCATCTACCGGGCAGCAAATGCTCTACTACCCAGCTCCGGTCCCCGCCATGCTCAATCTGCCACCAAAGTTGTCCAAAAAGCCCAAGGCGGGACCCAGAACCGCGAGGCGGTCCCAGGTCATGAGTGCGATGCCGATGGTGACAACGCGGGAATCACGGGTGTGGCTTCCTGATCCGACTCATACTGTGGGCGGAGGTAGCCAGCACAACGTGCCCCTCATGCCGGAGCTCCTCGGCGGAGATTACGCTCCCCAGACATCAAATGCCGACGAGCTGGCGCCACCACAAGCGCCCGCCCTTGCTTCGGGCCACTCCAGGCACGCGTCCGAGGCGAGCACCATCCATCCGGCTGCTCCTGTTGTGGAAGAGCAACGAGAATTCCGTCGTCCTCAACGTTTGACCGACAACCGCAAATCCCGGGCGACTGTATTGGACGGCTTGCCACCGCAGCTCCGTGCAAGTGCCTTTTTCGAGCTGCCCTCTACCCATCTCCCCAAGATTGAGGTCAAGGACGGATCTGCCATGGCGACGCTCGACAGCATCCTCGACGCCTCGGCCGCTGCGCCCGTCAGCGCTTTTACCGACCACGCCTTTGCCGGGGCCTTGGGTGATGAGGTGTATGGGACTGAGAAGAAGCGCAAATCAAAGAAGCCGCCCAAGAAGTCCGACGCAGAGCCTGTGGAGGAGGAGGTGGTGGCCAAGCCAAAACGAAAGACGCTTGTCAAGAGGAACTCGAGCTCGGCTCTACTTGACTACGACAACGAACCGAAGAAGAGATCTAGTCGGTTTTCCCTTTTCCCGAGCAGAGGCGATGACGACGACAGCGATGACGATGACGAGCGGATCAGACGAAATGGTGATCGTTCACCCGGCGATGGCCCTCTGCAGTCTCCCAACCCCCTCGCCCCGGGTGCCGACGAAGAGTCCAGTGAACAATCCAGCGACGAGTCTAGTGAGAACGAAAGGTCTGTCTACAGAGGCCCGCCCACGACGCTGCTCGCAGAGTTGCAGATCCGGAAGCGCCAGAATCAGCAGCGAGTCAAGGACGGCACCCGGCTTCCCCGCGGCCAGCACGGCACCACTCTTCTTGAACTGGACGCTGTTGCTCAGGTGGAACAGAAGACCAGGAAGGGCAAGCGTGTTAATCTCGCCTGGGAAGACCCAAGCGCCAACCCGTATCAAGGCTCCGACATGGACGACGAGGACGTGCCGCTGGGCATGCTGGCGCTTGCCAAGGCCACTGGTGACGGAACCAACAGGTCAACCATGGACATTGGCGCTCTCATGAGCGAGGTGAATCGTCCCCTTGGCTTGATGGAGCGCCGGGAAATCGAAGACAACGAGCCCCTCAGTCGCCGCCGCGAGAGGTTGCAGGGCAGAGACAGCGGCCATGTTCCGTTGTCTCTGGACCTTATTCAGAAGCGAATGAGCCACATGCCGCTCACACAAACAAACGGCGCTCCCATTGGGTTGATGGGTATGCGATCCCAGTCGAGACTCAATCTTCAGCTTCCCCAAGAAGAACGACCAGTCTCCATGATGGGCGCCAACGCAGACGAGAGTGATCCCGAGGTGGAGGGGGAGACGCTGGCTGCCCGCAAAGCACGACTGGCAGCCGAAAACCCCTTGCCGCGCACCCGTCCTGTCAGCGGCATGTTCTCGGCCGAGCTTCTCAGCCAGTTTGGCGGCGCCGACGAGGAGGCTGCCGACGCCAAGAGCAAAGAAGTGAGCAATGAGGCTGCCGCGGTGGTGGATGTGCCCGAGGAAGAAGAGACGTTGGGCCAGCGAAGACGCAGACTACAAGCCGAGAGGGAGGCACGGGAGCGCGAGATGGCTGCTGGAGGCGGCATATATCCACCTCGTGCTGCTACGCCCGTTGGACTTTTCCCAGGCGTGAGCGGCCTGCAAGCCAACCCTCAAGCCCGCCCGCTCTCCATGGCCAACATGCTTGGTGCTCATCCCATCGATACCCCCATGGGTCACATGAACCCCCTCGAGCAAGCGCGCCTGAACCGGGAGGCCGAAGTAATGAGGGTGCAGCAGGAGCAAGAACTCCGAATGGCAGCGCTCCGAGCTCAGATGCCCACAAGTCTGGTTGCCGTCTCGTCCGGGGGCAGGAGTGGCGGATACATGAATGGCATGTTCAACAACGGAATGGGGGGGCACGCTGTGGGCCAGGCCGGCGCTGCTGGGATGAGCCTAGGCTACGGCAACGGCAGCAACCTGAGCTTGCTGACGCCGCAACAACCAATGATGCATGGTGGTGGCATTCCGATGAATGGTGTTTATGGTGGTGGATACGGGATGCAAGTACCTGGCCAAGTGGGCCAAGTGGGACAGGTTGATATGGTGGAGCGCTGGCGGCAGAGCGTGTTGCCGTGAACAGGTCTTAGGTCTTTGGATAGAATTTTGGATCAAGGAGAATTTTGTTGGTACAAGCAAAAAGCTGGTATTGCTACTTGATTAGAGCATAGCATAGCATTTGGGGGGGCTGGGCTTCTGTTTGGGTATAAGTATACACTGTTGTATTGTTGTACGAGGCTGGCGGGTTTATCATTCGAGCTACCTTGAGCAATCAAAGCGAGATTTTGTTTTCATCATTCTTCACAGACCACCCAAACAATCACGCCGCGTAAAAGATCAGCCTGACCTGTATGCCTTTTATCGCCCTCGTGGGTTTTCTACGGAGAGATGAGAGGCAGCTCCGAAAAAGACAATCCCAAGATAAAGATTAAATGTTTGCACAAAACATGTAGATACAAAGTTGAGAGCTCTCATCCCAAGCGCCAAAGACAAAAGAGGTCACTCACTGCTCCCCATCTCCACCAGCATGTCCCCAGTTCAGCCACGTCTCAGCTGCGGTCTGGAGATGCCCCTGGTGCGGAAACGACACGGCATGCGGGTGATTGGCCGCGGCCGGGACTTGATGAAGCCAGTATCCCTGTGGCGTAAACATGTTGTTGCCCGCGTGGAAGAAATAGGGGCTTGCCGTCATGGCTGTGGCTGTCCCGTCGTCTGCCATTCCCGTAAATGCCGCCGGGGACACGGCAGGCATGAATTGGGAGTGAGCCATCCCATACGCAGCCCCCGGCGGAAGATAGGTGGCCGCGGGGCTTTGTTGCTGCTGCTGAGGAGTTCCGCTGGTGACTGAAGTTGGCGCGGTGGAAGGTAATGGCGGCTGGAGAAGTGACGCGCTGAGACTGCCCGTGCCGGCTGACCGGTAGGTTGATGAGGGCTGGCGGTTGTGGCCGTGACTGAGGCTCTGGCTTTGACTGGACGATGTCTCTGGGGACAGGTTCTCGCGTATCGAGACGTACATCCGAAAGGTGTTTTGGACGACGGTCTTGAGGCGGTCCCGGAGGAGATCCAGGTTGCGATTGTTGGACGAATTGGGGTCGGCAGGGTCAGAGCCGGGTAGGGGGATGTCACCTTGTTGGATCTTGTGGTCGAGGATGTTGAAAAAGAGATCGACAAAGTAATCCTCGCCGTCCTTTGGGGTTCCCGAGGTGAACGAAGAGGGTATCTCGTGCCATGGGCTTTCTGGCCGGGCAACCTCTGGGAACAAAACGTCCCAAATCTCAAACCACTTCTCCACCCGGTGCACCTCTTGGTTCTTCTTTCGGTTCTGCTTGTCCAGCATGGCCCATTGAACTTCGTCAACCCCTTCTTTGAGAGAGGCGTCCCGAAGAGGACAGGGGACCTCGCTCTTGCGGTGCTCGGCTAGCTTGTTGAGGGATTCTGCACGGTCTCCCCCCTTTCCTGGGTTGAATGTTTCTTTGCATCTTTCGCATTGGACGGGAGAATGTGTTCGTTTGAGATGTTCCCTGTCACAACAAGTCAGCAGGTTGTCCCAAGAGACCGACCCCGGCGACTTACTTTAGTCGCTGGATAGATTTGAACCCTGGCCCTGTACAAGGTCTGTACCGATGCTTCTTGCCAGACCCGGAATCGCCGTGGACATTGTATTTGATTGGATCCCGTTTGTGAAACGGACAAGCCAGCAGCGGCTCGCGAGTGTTTCCGCTGAGAGGGGTGGAAGGAGGTCCCATTTTGCCGCCTCCAGGGTCCTTTTGGTCTTCTTCGTCTTGATCCTTGTCTCGGCCGTCCCTCGCCCCTTCGTCCGAGTCTGTACGCCTCCTTTTGCGAGACGGACCCGAACCCGAACCCTGGGACGGCGAAGTATTGGCCGGGGAGGACTCGTGTTTGGCTCCATCCCCTGCTCCGGCATGAGATGCTGCACATCGCCAGTTTTCCACTTTACTCTTGAGAGCCAAGTTGAAGTCGCGGTGAAGCAGCGGAATCAAAAAGGCTGCCAGAGAATAGTCCTTGTCCACAGCCGAGATCACAAGAGACTCTAGATTCCCGTTTTCACCACTCCATTCGTCATCGTCATCATCCTGGTCGGAATTATCCTCCTGTTCATCGTCCTCTTCATCGAGCCGGGCTGTCTCACACCCGCTCTCATCGGCATCGAAATCCGACTCGACATCTTCGTCGATCTCGTCTGCCTCGTCGCCTTCTCTGTCAGCAGCCGAGAATGATTTTCGTAAAGAGCTGGGAAGACTCGGTGAGTGACTTCGACCAAGGGATCGGTTTAACCGGTCAGCTGGTGTTTCTGGACGTTGGGGTGGAATCTTGGGCAATCTTGCTTGTGTAAGTCACGTCACTTTGCCGCACGGTTTACACTGAATCGGACACCTACTCGTTGGCCCCAGCCTTGACCTCCTCTTCCTCATGAAACCCATATTCCGTCCCTGGTCCGGCTGAGGTCGCCCAGCTGCTTGTTGTGGAGGCGGCGTACTCGCAAAAGTTGGTCGAGCTGCCTTCTGACGGAGTGACGCTGCTTGGACTGGGGGATCTTGATGAGTGCTCCTGTGAGCTCAATTTGTTCACCCAGTTTGCGCGCAGTTTGAACTCATCATCGAAGGTCATTACGGACAGCAGAGGGTGAACGTATGATTCGGCTCCGTCCATTTTGCCACTTTGCTCGACAGAGGCTCGTGACAGCGAAGATCGAGAACTGGGTTTGGGAAGAAAACAACCTGGAACTGGGAATAAATGTTTTTGGTCTTTGGCCCGCCAAACCCCTCAACATTTCCAAATACCTTACCGAACCAGCCCGATTAGGGCTTCTTACCCCCTTAGCCTCCGTCACCGTCATCCTGTGGTTTTGTGTCGATGGAGACGATAGCAGGGGAAAAAACGACCCAATTGCGAGCTGGCGCAATTGCGTAGAAAACCATGTCACTCATTGGATCGAAAAGTCGCCAGGCTCACAGAGATTGGCTGACTTTGCATGCCACTAACTGCAGGGCAAACGGATACCTACCCGAATGACACGCTGGACTGGCTGTACTTGTGCTTGGTCCGCTGCTTTTGTTGTTTCTGTGTAAGGTTTTGCGAATGCGCGCAAATGCGTTTTCTCACCATCAGGCGTGGACGTCTAGAATCGCAGAGTACGGGTATGTACTTGGCACACAGATGCATATGCGCACGTTTCTCCCGGGATGCATGCAGGGTAAGAAGTTGCCACGCTCATGCGTGCTAATAGATACTTGACACTTTATCCCGGAGGGCCTCATACCTCAGGATCCAGAGATGTAAGCCCGGTCTCAATATGGCTCATTAACACAGTCCAACTTACACCCGCGATTAGCCTGAGTCAGGCCTATGTGCACCTGATCTATTTACCCGACAACGATGTCGGATAACAAAATGGGATCCTCAGCTTCAGGTAGAGCGAGAAACTTATCATGATGGCGCATACCAGACCAACGCAGGCAGCTTGTTCAAGATGCTGTTTCAAGCACTGATTCTTGGCATCGCTGCCCTCGAACACATCCGCGGCCTTCCAACCTCAGCCAGCCAACCTGTGGGAGCCCGTCAGTACTATCCGGATCCCGACGACCCATCTCTTCCCCCGTCTCCTGAAGATTGCCTCAGGCTATCCTTCAGCGAGCCAGCGTGGTCCATCTACGATCCCGCACTGCTGTCGGTGAATGTCTCAGATGGAGGCACTCAAGGCGATATTCGCTTCTACACCAGAAACGTCGCTACTGGCCAACATGCAGATTGCAGAGTGACCAATATCGAACTCAACCCAAAGGGCGCCCAGTTGGAAACTTGGCACAACTGCAATGTCACAGACTTGCAATTTCAGTTTCTTCTCGATGACTTTCAGGTGAGACTGAGGGGTGGTTGGAAGTGCGCTGACTCTGAGTGAGTGCTGTACTCATAACCCCCAAGAGCATCCAAACTGATACTTATCGTGTGACAAAGCCTGAGTTTCCACGGACATGGTGTCTGGGAAGAACCTGTCGTTCAAGGTTGTCTGGAAGAGTGGAATACACCTCGTGGTCAAGAGACGCTTTGCATCATGGGAGGATCATATGTCGCTGCCACGCTGACTAGTCCGATGGATCTACAACCTCAATGGCCCCTGCTTCCCTACACACCTTTTGAGAGGGCGTGGAGATGCGTCGATCGCTCATGGGATCCCGAGTTTACTGTCCACAGCTTGGAATACCAGCATCACGAGGGTTCATACGAATTTACTCTGGATCTTGAGAATCATTCCAGCGGCGAAAGGACAGTCTGCAAATCCGAGACACTTGACGAGAAGGGCCTACCTACCGATGGCTCAACACCGTGGGTAAAGTGTTTGGCTGAGAATGCCACGTTCGACGTTCTGCTGGACAGGACGTATGATATCCTGGGGATTCGCCAGGAGTGGAAGTGTAGTGACAATGTCAAGGATATTGAGCCGTAGGTCTTGTCTCTTCTACTTTGTGCCATGTGAGGGCCGGCTAACGCATTTGAAACAGAGAAGACTATCGTGCCACGGGATTGATTCAGGCACGCCTTGATTGTGCCAAACCGACAGACAAAATACACAAAGACTATACTTGCACCCTACCTGCCGCGTCACCATTGACATTTACTGGATATCCTGCCATCGACAAAACCGTGCTCCCGCCTTTCCCTCACACTTTCTACAACAGAAGTTGCACAATCAACTCCATCAGCAACACCCATACTCTTACCTTGAACGAGTACAAGATTGAAACGGCCGATGACGGAAAACTCGAGGGGACTTTCAGTTTCTATAATCCTGGGCCCGGAGAAACGTGGAGCCTGTCCAAGATTCCTGTGCTCAACGATGCAACTTGGCATGAGTGCACCCCTGGGAAGGGAACAGAACTGCCTTGGCAATTGGCCAGATGCAGTTATGCACTTTCTTTGCACGAAAAGTCGCCCGAAATCCGGTTTGATCTGGCATGGTACTGTGATGATCGCGATCCAAGTAATGCGTAGGTTTTAACCCCTGTTTAACCCCTGAGTGGTTGCCCATGGCAACAAGAAGTTTTGAATGAAAGCTGACAGAGATATAGCATCTTGTTCGAAGCCAGCGCTCAAGCAGACTTAACTGGCAAAACTGCCTGCCAGGGCGGAATTTGCCAGTTCCCCTCAGGGATAACAGAGGTGGCACTCCAGGTTACAAATTTGACGTGGGAAACCGGGCATGGAGTCATGCAGAAGGGCCCAATCTTACCCTGGGTATAGCGCGGATCGTCCGCGATTGCAAAAGATAGGAGACCTTGACAGAAAAGGAGAAGCGGCTGTGGCCTATTTCCATATTTGAGCAACAATAGAACCAAGCTTCGACGTGATTGGGACTCCTTCCCACTTGGAAAAGCAGCTGGGTCCAGACAGACTGATGGTAGGACCGGGTGAGCCAACTGCCGAAGCTGACAGAGCTCGACAAGATTTTCTCCAAATCCCCACATGTTTGATTGGCGAACCAAGGGGCGGGCTCATCGTGGGTATGCAGCCGGGTTATTCTTGAGAGACCACTGAACCAAATCTTTATGCGTATCAGTTGGGGGGGTTGGGGTCACACGGCTAGGTAGGTACCTATCATTGCAAAAATTGGGTGATTTCCATCACTGCGACCTACCTGCCTGAATGATTCATCATGGTAAGAAAAGTCAATAGTTCAATATTGAATGCAATATCATCCCTGATGCAAGGTTCAAAGATAACCGTAAGAGGTCATATGCATTAAAGTTGGGCTCGTGTGTTCATTACGACGAATAGAACATCTCCCCGTGAGACGGGTGAGAGGTCTGTTGGTTCTGATGGTGTAACACTTTTACACCAACGGGCCATCCACACAAGAAATTTACCCGGTCGGAGTGATGTACAATACCTACAATCGCCATGTACGTGTAACATCAAGACCCAGAGATGCATGTCTTGAACTTGTGTGTTGGAAGGACTATACATACTTACCTATAATTAATGCCCGCCGGGATGCACCGGTAGTTGCAGGGTCCCTTCAATCGGTAAGATATATAATGTGCCGTCACTGTCTTGCAAATAATCTGCAATTTGCTCCCCCTCAACCCCCCACTTGTTCCCTATCCTCATAATGACCGACAAACCCACCCCTTCGACAGTGGTCGAGCCCCAACAAGGAACCAAGGATAGCAACGAAAAGAGAGACAGAAAAGGCCGCATTCATGAGTTCCAGGAAACCGAGGGCTACATTATTGACATCGCCGAGGATGATTCCGCGCCAGCAGGGCTCAAACTTGCCAAGGATGGCCACACCGTCTTGATCCCCCAGCCCAGTGATGATAAGCATGATCCTCTGAACTGGACGTGGAACAAGAAGCACCTCATGCTTTTTATCGTGTCTTGGGTGTCCTTTCTGCCTGACTATGGGAGCGCAACCGGGGCTGTCACTCTGATCCCGCAAGCCGCGGAGTGGGGGACCACCCCAGACACTGTGAATCACTCACAAGCCGGCAATGTGTTCATGTTGGGCGCAGGTGGCGTGGTTGGTATGTACCTACCGACTTTCTCAGCAACTTGAACACAAGAAAACTTGTCTGACCCCGAAGCAGTCGTGATTCTTTCGGCCTACTTTGGCCGTCTCCCTGTCGTCTTTTGGTTCCTCCTCATCTCCGTCGCAACAGCAGCCTGGTGTGCCGAACCAGATACGTTCGAATCATTCATGGCGGCCCGTATTCTCAACGGCTTCTTCTCGACAGTCAGCCAGGCAGGGGGGTTGATGTTTATCAAAGACATGTTTTTCTTTCATGAACAGGCGAGGAAGATCAACATTTGGGCGTGAGCTTTTCTGTTCATGGATGGATTCTGTCCAGACTTGTTGACAAGTTTTTGCAAACAGATCATTTATTGTCATGTCCCCCTACGTCGGTCCTCTCTTTGCCGCTTTCATGACAGAAACACTACACTGGTCAGTGCCATTTTGGGTGTACTTTGGCATGAATGTGCTGGGAATGGCACTGGTCGTTGCATTTCTGGAAGAGACATACTATGACAGGACCATACCATCGGACCAACAGCCTGCTCGAGGCAACCGTTTTGCCAGACTGATCGGCACCGCCCAATGGAAGTGTCGACATCTCCGCAACACCTTTGGCCAAGCTTGTTGGAGAACCGTCAGTGTGCTTCTCAAGCCAATCGTAGCTCTCTCGTGCGTTTTTTACGCCTTGGTATGTTTGTTTTAATTCTGTTTCGTGTCAGCAACTGGCCTCAAATGAGCTGACACGATCGTAGACGTTTGCATGGGCGGTGGGCATCAACACCACGCTGGCCATATTTGTCACCCCACTGTACGGCTTCGGACCAAAACAAGTGGGATTCTTCTACTTCACCCCGGTGGTTGCTGTGGCACTGGGGGAGGCAACAGGGCACTGGCTGCATGACGCTCTTGCCAAGCAGTATATCCGCTCTCACAAGGGACATTTCGAGCCCGAGGTGCGCCTGCGAGCCGTAGTTCTGGCAATGCCGGTTGTCATTGTCGGCCTAGTTCTCATCGGGCAGTGTTTTGAGAACCAGTGGCACTTCATGGCCACCAGCGTCTGCTGGGGCCTTTATGTTTTCGGCATGATGATCACCACAGTAGCACTGAGTAGTTACTGCCTTGATAGCTACCCGGAGGCATCTGGCGAGGTTTCGGCGTGGCTCAACATGGCCCGGACTGTCGGAGGGTTTATCGTCAGCTATTTTCAGGTCAGATGGGCCGAAGCGCAGGGAACGAAGCAGAGCTTTGGGATTCAGGCTGGGATCTGCGGCGGTGCTATTTTGTTCATTGTCGCTTTGATAGTGTGGGGGAAGAGGCTGAGAATTTGGGCGGGACCACTAAACTTTGCAACGACGTAATGTCAGGGTTAGGGTATGTAGCTTGACATGACGTCTTTGCACCACCTGTCCCCCAACCAGTCATGGTGCCGGATTCACTCGGCCACAAAAGCACCTAATAAACTTTTAATCCGCGCAGCCATAAATACCTTAATATCGTCCACCTTCTTTGCCCTTTTCCCAAAACACCAAACACAGTCAAAATGCCCAGAGTCGCAGACCGAAAATCCTGGCGAAAGCCAGCAGCTCCTCCAGTGGAAGCTCCCCAAACCCCGCCAGAAGCAGCGCCAAGATCCCACTATCACACCTCGCAACACCACGGCCACCATCAAGACCCGGACCCGGCACTCGATGTGGAACTCGTTGATCACACCGAGAGGCTGCCACTTCGCTCGAAGCGCACTCGGCGTCTGGAGGAGAAGCTTGCCAGAAAAAAACGGACCGCGACCACCCCACTATGCTTGGAGGATATGCCGTTTGAGATCCTCGACGCCATCCTTTTGTGCTGTCAACCTCGCGATCTTTTCGCCATGTCACGTGTCTCAAAGGGCTACCGAGATTTCATCAAACAAGAAGGATCCCGAATCGCCAAATCCATCATCGAGCGGCGATATCCCTGTTTGGCAGCTTGTTTTCTTCGGCCTGTCCTTTTGGAAAACATTCAAGACTTGGGAGTCCGCAGGCACATGGGACATCCGAAAGTGACGAGCAGAGTCAGAGGTCACATGTTTCACCACATACCCACAATCCGAGGCGAGCTTGTCTGCAGCTGTCCGACATGCTATCATCGTTGGAACGCTCTCGGGCTGCTGGTCGACTTTGCACACTGGCAGGACTTTCTAGATAAAGGCGAAGCAATTCCACGCATACCATTCGGGCGGCGTCCGATGTGGAACAAGGTATTGCTAAACCGAAACATGCAGGTTGTTCTGAAGGGCATCCGCGATCCTCTTTGGTATGCTCGCATCCTCGAAAAGCACCTGGAGTCGACTACGCGCGCCATCCGACGCCAGGTGCTCAACAAGAGCAACAAGCGCCAGCATTATCGCCTCACTGACCAAGACCTACAAGAAGGAACCGACCACTTTCTCGAAGCCGAGGGGCCGCCTACCATCGACTATCCCTTCCATAGAGACAGTTACTACATGCTCGAAGCCTACCTGCCCAATCGCTCCTGGATTGATGGGAAATGGGTCTATCTACCAGCCAGCCTTCACGAGAGAGACGTCGCTGGTCTGATCAACAGTCTATTTCCTGTACCTGGCAAAGAAGAAGCAGAAGGATAGATGTCTGTGCAATAAATGACCAATACGCCTACCAGGTAGTTTTAGCTGAAGCTGCGCAGGGGCCTCCCCGCACAATCTCCACAAATCACATCACAGCCTTGTGGCTTGCACAGCCCCTACTTCAGGACTTTTCCAAGAACTCATTGCTCCCGGTGGCCTCTATGAGCGATAGACCATAACCTCAAGTTGACCCAACTTGAATTTGAAAAAAAAAACCATCAACATCTCCTCGAACCAGCCAACAACAGCCAACATCATCAGCATGGAGGACGTCTACCAACACTTTGGACGGCACAGTCTTTGGGACAAGCACGATGTCTTCAAATCCCCCACTTTTGATGTGACTGAAATATGGGTCGACTCGGAGGGCAAAAATAAGAGTCTTATTCAAAATCGAAAGATCTCTTCGCCTGACGTCGACAACTGGCTCGACGAACCTTTTTGTCAGTCGCTCCCCTCCCTTTGCGGGACAGGCACCCGGGCGGTCCGCATGGTGTGGGTTGGTCAAGATGTGGTGGTGGGAGGGGGTCGTTCTGGTCCATCAACCAGAATTCTGGATCAGCTGGCGGAGAGGTGGGGACTGCGGTCTGCAATGAACTATGCTCGCAGCTCCTTTGCTGGTGTCTCCGCATGCCCCGGCCGGGATAACTCCACCGTCTTCACCGTCACCTATCACCCAAAGTTGGCAGTCTCATGGTCCTACAACATCACCTCCATCGGAGTCCCTCGAACTCATGCTGTCATCTTTGCTGAGGGGGAAGAGAGAGCCGAGTTGTCCCGTATTCTCAAGTCAACCTGGGGGCCGGCACTGGCCACCGATGCCATGTTCCCGGCTCTTATCTGCAACTTACTACTGGCCCACGAGCTAGACAGCACCTTGGACGACATCAAAAAGGTGGTTCGTGAGGTGGAGGCTCGTACGGGACACCACAGATTCACTAGTCGAAGAGAAACACAGCCTGCGGCGGGGGAACTCGGTCAGCTGTCAGCTCAGATGAGCGGGTGCGCTGCCAAGCTGGCAAATGGTGCTCGCAAGCTGAATCTAGTCGAGGAAATCAACCATCTCATCAGTCACCACTCTTCCTCTCCTCCGCTACCTGCAGCAACGCAACGTAATCAGACGCAACCACCGAATGCGGCCTCTTATCGCTTCTATCAAACCCTGCCCCTCCAAACGGAGACGGCACAACAGCCGGCTGGCGCGCCAACAGCATGGGTTTCCCTGCTCTCCCACCGTGCCACCATGCAGCAGACTGAGTTGACGTACACACAATCCCGCATCGACATCCAGATCCGGGCCCTCTTCCACCTGATTGCACAGCAAGACAACGCCATCGCTTTCGACACAGCCTCGGCGACTCGGAGCATCGCTGCTTCCAGCCTTCAGGACTCGAGCAGCATGAAGATGCTGGCTTTGGTAGCTATGTTCTTCCTGCCTGGTAGCTTCATCGCGGCACTATTCAGCACCCCGCTTTTCAAGTGGGATGAAGCGGCAGCGGCAGAGTCAGGGTCTACCATGAGGGTGGGGACAAGACCACAGTTTGCGCTCTTTTGGGCCGTTACTGTTCCCATCACGGTTGCGGTATTCATCATGTACGGGGTATGGATGTGGGTGGTCAAGAAGAAAGACAAGAGGAGAAGGAAGAAGGGTCTGCAGGTACTTGTGTGAGTGGCCAACTGCCGGTGGTGGGTTGTTGTCCCGGGTGCCAGGTGCCGGAGAAACCGACATGCATGGTGATATTCCCACGTGGGCATCGGGGATAAGGTGCAGCCAGGGTGTGTACATCTGCGTAGCTTGTACTGCGTAAGCGGGGACCATTTGGAGTAGGGCGAGCGAGTATGGAGACCAGCTGCATGAGACGGCGAGACAGGCTGAAAATATTTACAATCGCGGTGGACACGGTGCGGGGACATCCCATATCTGTATATAGCGGTGAAGAAGAAGAGTGTGCAGAGACTGAGGAACATAATCATAGCATGTTTGCAACGTTTTGTGACGGCTCTCTGCAGCAGATGGACTACGTTATTTTAGTTCGCTTAGGACATAGAGAGAAACTAACTGATGATGCATGTTTACGGTATCAATCAGCAGGGAGATTTGACATGCATAGGAAGCAATGCCGGGGGTGCCATTGATACCACGGTGAACCAAATTGAAGAGTTGCATCAATGTACACTGCCACGCGATGTTTCTTTCCAGATTCGTGGGCGACTGCATGATGCCACGAGCCATGATACCATGCATCATGGTCTAGATGTGCATGTCCCCTCCTCATCACCCAAATCTATAGACACACTATTCTTTCTAGCTCTGCGGATGGTCGATAGTCGCCGAACAAGCCGGATCGCCAGGCACCCAGGCTAACAAGCCAAAAAGAAACTCCTCGGTTCCCGGCGCAGGGTTGCAATCCCACCCTTGGCGGTATCCCTAGCCCATAAGAGGGTTAGTCGATACCAGCACCCCCCGGTTGCCATGCCGAATCCGAGGGGATTCCCGAGTGTTTGACTTGCATTAGACTCGCTCGTATTGCCGGTTCGGGATGTTCCCGGTGGAGCCTCTCCATGGCGTTTTGCAGAAGCCCCTCGGAAGAATCGCGAGTTGGAGTCGTTTCTGGCTGGGGGTGGACGCTTCAACCTTTCCAGCGGCAGCTTGCTTTGCCACTCCCTGCTCGGTGAGGGGAGAATGAGGGGGTACATACACAGAGGAGGCAATGATTGGGGGGGTGGGGGGGGGGATGGAAAATGTACTATTTATGACGGTGCCTCCCAACCAACAACAATCCCGTCGATTCTTCTCTGCACCTCTTTTTTGCCCTTCATCAAAAAGAGTCAACCGCAGTTAAGATGGTCCACCTTCCTTCTGTTGGGCTGGCCGTTGCTGCCGCCTCTGGCCTTCTCCAGACCGTTACTGCCGCCCCTCAGGCCTCGACCGACAGCACCTCCACCGCGTCGACCACGTCCTTCCTCGGCGGTCTCTTTGACTTCTTGGACGTTGCCAACCTCACCGTCACCCACCACAACGGCAAGCTCTATGGCTGCAAGTGCTCGCCCGGTCAGCTCTGCTGGCCCCAGCAATGGAAGTGGAATCAGTTGAACACCACCGTGGGTGGCAACTTGAAACTTCACATACCCCCTGCTGCGTCGTGCTATAACACCTTCACCGGTCCCTTGGGCACTGTCAACACCTACGATGCTGCCGCCTGCGCTGACGTGCATGCCAACTGGGAGGATGAGATGTGGACGTGAGTTGTGGCCTTTTTGAGCCAAAGCCTGACCGTGACTGACATTAGATGATATTAGTGTTGAGAAGCCGGGTGCCGCCCTCTGGACATACTTCACCAACGAGACCTGCCGGCCCACTCTCAATCCCACCGACAGCTGCACGCTGGGCTACTATGGCGTTTATGTCATCTCTGCCACCACCCGCAACCACATCAAGGCCGGCATTGACTTTGCTCGTCGCAACAACATCCGCCTGGTCATCCGCAACACCGGCCACGACTTTATCGGCCGCAGCACCGGTGCCGGTTCCCTGATCATCAACACCCACAGCTTCCAGGATGTCAACTGGATTTCGTCGTATGCCGGTCCCGGCTCGTACTCTGGTCCTGCCGTGACCATTGCTGCCGGTGTCCAGGGCCGCTCCATCTTGGAGCAGGGCCATGCTCAGGTTCCTCCCAAGGTGATTGTTACTGGCGAATGCCCAACCGTTGGTGTTGCTGGTGGCTTCATCCAGGGCGGTGGCCACGGTCCATGGACTACGCTCAAGGGTCTTTCTGCCGACAATGTTCTCGCCTTTGAGGCCATCACAGCGTCTGGCCACTTTGTCACTGCCAATGAGGCCCAAAACTCTGATCTTTTCTGGGCTCTCAAGGGCGGTGGTCCTTCGGCTTTTGCCGTCATCCTGTCCGTTACCATGAAGACGTTTGACGATGTCTCGTCTGCCGGTGCCACCTTCTATGTCAACAACACCCACATTGGTTTTGACAATGACGCTTACTGGAACGCCACCAGCATCTTCCACAAGTGGTCCAACCACTTTGTCGACAATGGGCTCTATGTCTACTATGAGCTCTTCCCCTTCACCCTCCGCGCTCAGCCTTTTGTCGCCATTGGAAAGACGGTCGCCGAGCTCAATGCCATTGTTGCCCCCATGCTTGCTGAGCTCACCGCCAACGGAATTCCCTATGAGTGGAACCCCAAGTCCTTCCCGACCTTCTTCGACCTCTATGTTGATCTTTTCGAGGCCGAGGCTGCCGGTGGTTCTGCCCTGACGGGTGGCTGGCTGTTTGACCACAATGACGTTGCCACCAACAACGACGGCATCATTGAGGCTTTCAAGACGGTCTTCTCGCCCCGCCCCGACATCTTCTCCTTCATTGTCGGTCACTTGTTCAACCCCGGCTACGGCGCTCCTGTCAGCAACAGTGCCACCCACCCTTCGTGGCGCAATGCCACCGACTTTGTCATCACTGTCCTGCCCGTCCCTCTGGGTGCCAGCAAGGCGGTCAAGGCCGACCTCCAGAACGTCTTGACCAACACCATTGACCAGGCGCTCCGCGACGCCTCAGGCTCTGGGGCCACCTATGTCAACGAGGCTGACCCTTACCAGCCCAACTGGCAGGGCCACTTCTGGGGCTCCGAGTACCCCCGCCTCAAGCAGATCCGCAAGAAGTGGGATCCCTTGGGAGTGTTTTACTCAATTGCCACCCCCGGCACCGAGGACTGGGAGGTTATCCAGGACACCAGACTCTGCAAGAAGCTTTAAGAGACGCTTGTTGTGAGCCTGGGAGGGGGGGGACTGTAAATAACTTACTTTAATGACGACGACGGTGTATATAATGCGAGTATATGACTGCATGAATCCATAATGTTGAACCTTCGAACAATCTTTTTTGCGATTGTATTGTGAAACTGAAAATCAGTGTTGTGAAATGTCTGGCATGTAATTGGCCCTCGTCCAGCAGACATGTGGGGTGGCGATATCGGCTGCAGGTTCGGATTCGAGGTTGAAAAGTCAACAAACCCCATCGGCAAGTTCGTTTTCCCACTTGAAAAAAACTGCCAGAGCCTGATCCATCCATACCAGCCGAGTCAGCTGAAATAACCTGCCCTGCGCATTCACTCCACCGTCATCGTCTCTGGCCTCCACATGCTATCCACAGTTTCCCGCCGCTAGGGATCCGCACTACCCATCCGCCGATAACGAGGACGCTCCACAGGGAAACAAAGCAGGGGAACCTTTCACCGTAACCAAACAACTCCTAGGTTGGGCTTCGCGCCATGTCCATGTCCCTGGCACCCACCTTCCCGTCCCGCGTGTTTCTTTGAGATTGTGACTTTGCGGCTCTCAGAGCCTCAATTTGACGAGTCTTGCCAAGGAACGCCATTGGCACCAGCAGCGGCACCAAAACCCCCCATGGACCGCTCTGAGGTTGGCCGCCAAACAGCCCTGCCAAACGGGTGTACCATGGCTGAAGCAGCTGATGAGAGAACCCCCCTACTGTCGTCCACCAGCGTCTCTCACACCACTGTTTCTCACTCAGGTGCTTCCCCTGACGGCCCTGGTATTCCCAGAGACCACCAAGGCGAAGACGATGATGATGTCATCCAGCCCAGAAAAAATCGCAGGCGGTTGAAAAAGATCTGGACCTCACTCAAACCTTCGACCGAGAGTCAGATTCTTCTTGCTGGCTTTCTCATCACCCTGTCTTTCAGCTTCACCCAAGTCCCGTGAGTGCCCCAGCTCTGATGATCAAGTTCCCGGTGAAGCTAAGTGAGTGGGCGAAATCACGTTGGCAGCATCCTCTATGCCTTCCACCTCATGCAATGCGATCACTACTACTCCACTCACCCACCCTATACCGGCCCCGGTGACCGCTGCAACTTAGACGAGATCGCCGCCGGCATGGCCACGCAGTTTTCCATCTTGGGAATGTCTACCACGTTCTGCGGAACCATCAACCTGTTTGTTGCTGGCTGGACAGCCAAAAAAATTGGCCCAAAGTATGCCTTGATGATTCAGACCCTGGTCCCTGGCATACGAGTGTCGACGCAGATTCTGGGGCTCATGGCTGGAGGAGCAAAGGGAATGTTGATGATCCAGTGCACGCAGATTATCACGGTCATTGGCGGACCTGCTGGGTATCTGTTGATTGTAAACATCATCGCTGGCGAAGTGGTGCCCCCACTGAGAAGGACAGCCGTGTTTGGCATGCTGCAGGGCTGTATCATGCTTGGCCAAGGCCTGGGTTACTTGAGCGAGTTACCTTTACTCAGTTGTATTCTCCATGACGCTAACTGTGTGACTTAGCCGGCGGCATGATGGGTGATATTTGGGGCATCAGCCGGCCTTTCGAAGTAGCCTTTTGCGCGTTTCTCTTGTCAGCGCTTTATGTGGCCATGGTGGTGCCATACATTGATGCAAGCACCATCAGCAGTGCAAAGAAAGCTCGAGGCCAGGGCATCTCCCAGTTGTTTACACCCCTGAGAGTGTTGCTGCCGCAGCGAATCTTGTCTCGGAACGGGACCGTGACGAAACATTACGGACTGATGGTTCTTTGCGCTGGCATCTTTCTCGGTGTGGTATGCCTGCTCCCGTCTCCTCCTGTGGGTGTTTCTAAGACTGACAAAACGACAACAGCTGGCAACAGGATATGCGCCGCTGCTTATGCAGCTCTATGCCACAGCCAAGTTTGACTTCAAACAGACCGAGAATGGCTGGTTGACGTCAGGTTTTGCCTTTATGCGCGGTATGTTTTTAATATTTGCTTTCCCCCGCATCATCAACAGGGGACGATGTTGGTACATGACACAGCATCCAGAGGCGCAACAGCACCATGACCACGGCAATGGCCATGAAGAAACGGCTCACCTGGCAACCACCCCAGAAGAGTTTGAAGCACCTATCGGATCTTTTGCCGAGCAAGAGCCAGTGGACGCGGAGCCGGTCAAGGAGGACGAGGGGACCGAATTCGACCTGTATTTCTTGCGAATCAGCCTTGTGGTGGACGGGGTACTGACAATGTGCACGGCCTTTGCAACCGAGAGGTGGCATATATTTCTTGCTGCGTTTCTGCTCCCGCTGGCGTCTGGGTCAGCACCGGCGGCCAAGGGAGTCATGACTGAAATGTGCTCCCTATCTCAACGTGCGGACGCACTAAATGCACTGGGTCTGGTGGAAAACATTGCTCGCCTGTCAACACAGGGCTTGTTCGGCTTTGTATTTGCGGCTCTGGCTGAGGTCGGGAAGCCGCATCTTACCTTTTTTGTCAATGCTGTGAGTGTGCCGAAAGTGATCAAGACTGTTGTGGCCCAAGAGCTGATGTGACATAGGCGATTGCCATTCTCGCGTACGGCATGCTGCTGTTTTCCCGCTTCCCTCCAGAGGGGAGCAAGATCGTCGAAGATGACGCGGATGAAGATGAAAGCTCATAGGGCTGATGAGGGGTACCCGGCAGAATGGGGGAGGGTGGGGCAATGCGTCGTCCTCACACCTAGTTTCCGTCCTCATGTGGAGCTATCGATTGTGTGCCTGCAGCTTCCAACCAGCAGCCAACAATTAATCTTCAATTCAAAGAAGCTCTTCGGCGGTGAGTCAAGTCGGTGCTGCCAGAAGCTGTCCTCGCTGTCTTTTTCTTCATCAACACTTCAGTCTTTCCCACTCTTTCACCATCTCGTCGTCGACCAACAGTCATTCCATCACAACAATCGAAATGGCAGACCAGAGCAACAATAAGCAGCAAGACGAGACCTGGTTTCTCAAGTCCAAGTGTCCAGTTCTCCTCCCCCAGCTTGACGCCCTGCGACTGTCACAGGAGGATTTTTCCACCTATCTCGAACAGACGCTTCAGCGCAACACCAAACCCGACGTCAAGGTCGAAAACAAGAAGAGCTATGCAGCTGCCGCGGCTCAGCCAACAACAAACGCCTTTATGGATGGCCTTCTAGCCCATATTACTGGCGTCAATGACTTTCACCTGAGCGACGACAAAATGCTTACCGAGAATGGCGATGTCACCTTCCGGTCTTCAAATAGTGTTCTTGTCGATCTGTTCAGCGAGCTCGAGGAAGTCATCGATAGCAATCGTCTCGACAGCATTCTCACCGCTGCCTGGGCTGAGGACCCCCTCGCCACCCTCAAGATCATCTTCAACGCCCGGTCGATACATCTCGGCAAGAGCTCGCGCATCTCCTTTTACCGGTGCGCCGGATGGCTGGCTGAGCACCACCCCCTCACCTTGGTCAGCAACATCCACTTGCTCAGCAGCCCCGTGATTCCAAAGCCGACGTCGGCCAAGAAGCAAGAGAGCGAAGCGGTCAAAGAGGATCTCGTCATGGTGGAAGCCGAAACGACAGAAGAGGACGCCCCCGGCCTTGATGTCGTCACCGGCATGTCTCATGGCTATTGGAAGGATCTTTTGAACCTCCTCGCTCTTGCCGCCAACGGAAAGCTCAACGTCCTCGCCAGTCCCCGCGACGTTCTCAATATCAAGTGCGAAACGAAACCATCGGTGCGATACGACCAGGAAAAGGCCAAAGAACAGCGCGCCAAAATCCGCGATGCCCGTCACCATCAAGCCTGTACACTCTTGGAATCGGATGCCACGTACCGCGCACTTCACTTGACTGTCTCGCGTCTCTTTGCCGAGCAGCTCAAGAAGGACATCGCCCTCCTGAGAGACGGCGACAACAAGGCCAAGAAGCAAATCTCGCTCTGCGGCAAGTGGGCTCCGTCAACAGACCGCTTTCACGACAAGCACACGTTTGTCGTCTCGACCATCGCTGAGCTGATGTATCCTGCACTCATGTTTAGCTCTGACATTGCGGGCAATCGTGAGCTGTACCTTCGTCATGCACGTGAGGCCTATCGAAAGGATATCTCCGCCCTCCGCAAGCACTTGGACATTGTCGAACGCAAGCTGTCGGCCAAAACCCTCGACAAGATAAAGTACGACCGCGTCCCGTCTGTGGCCATGAACAATTACACCCCAATATTTGCAGCCAAGGACGAGACTCGGTTCATGAAGTACCTCGACGACGTTTCAACTGGCAAGACCCAGATCAGTGGTGCCACTCTCCTTCCCAGCACTCTCATCAAGGCCGCACGTGAGGCATCAGACCGTTCAACATACTCATTCGGCTCGCAAACCAAGAAGAAGCGGACGCTCAAGGAAATGAAGGCTGATGTCGTGGGTGCTGCCACCTCCAAGGTGATTGACGGCCAGTGGAAGACACTTGTCCAGCGCATCAAAGACTCTGGCACTCTGGAATCCTGCATCGCCGTGTGCGATGTTTCTGGGAGCATGAGCAGTCCTGTCTTCCAAGATGGCACCACCCCCATGGACAGCTCCATTGGCCTTTCGCTCTTGGTGGCTGAAGTCACCAAGCCTCCGTTTGGTGGAGCTTTCATCACCTTCTCCACAGATCCCAAAGTTGAGAAGGTTGACCTCAGTGAGGGTCTGGGTGAGAAATACAACAAGATGGCAAGGGCGGACTGGGGCGCCAGCACAGACTTCTGTGCCGTCTTCAGCCGTCTGATCCTGCCCATGGCCATCAAGAATGCTGTCAAGCCTGAGGACATGGTCAAGCGAGTGTTTGTCTTTAGCGACATGCACTTCAACTCGGCTCAGTACGGTGTCGGTCAGTGGTCTTCGAGCTTCGAGCGGATTCAACAGGATTTCAAGGATGCGGGCTATGAGATGCCCGAGCTGGTGTTTTGGAACCTGGCCGGGGGTCGAGATGGATATTCCGGCTCATATGACATCGCCCCCAAGCCCGTGGCCGCTGATCAAGTTGGCACAGCTCTTGTCAGCGGGTACTCTCAGGGTATGCTCAAGGTTTTCCTAGGTGGTGCTGGGTTTGACGAGATCAAGGAGGAGGATGAGGAGATGGCCGTGGTTGTGACCAAGGACGGGGAGGAGGTCACGGTAGAGCCAGAGGCGAAGCATAGAAAAGATCCATACGACCAGGTCAAGCAGGCCATTTCTCACAAGGCGTACGGCGGGTTGGTTGTGTTGGATTAGGCGGCCTTTGGGGGGTTTCGTTTTGTAGGATGGTTTGAAGAACAATGTTGCAAAGTAACTAGCAAGCATCGTTCTATTGTAAACAAAAGTTCCTACTGTCATTCGTCCGTAACATCCGGAACTCTCTTAGTTTCCTCCCAGGACTGTTGGTGGCTCATGCCCTCTCTGGTGTCTCGCAACAGTCGATAGTGGCGCTGCCTAGCACCAGTACCTTGGTTAAGGTACCCTTTGTCCCTGTTGACTTCTAACAGCGGAAGCGCCGAGACGCTGCCGACAATCTTTCCTATTGCCGGCGTCGCATTCAACTTGGCAAGTCGGGTAAAGCGGATGATGGCAGGTTCCCGCGATATCATAGATTGCCCCCACCGATTTATTGTAGATGAATTGGAGACCAATGCGGGGTTGTCTTACACCTCAGGGGTATTTCGAGGTGACGTAGATGCGAGACAGGAGGATATAAAGAGTTGGAGAAAGTCTTTTATCTAAGACGGTGAGGCATTGTCCGACCACACAAGATTGATAGACACCATCATGAAGCTCTCCCTCTTCACCGCGCTCGTTCCGTTGCTGCCTTCCATCTCGGCCATACCTGCTTCGTCTCACCTGTCACCAAGACAGCAAAGGTGCATAGGAGATAGCGAACCTGGCCTGTGGGTAGTGGAGAATCTCGAGGTGGAATATACTGGCGACGAAGTGCTCCAGCGCGGCAACGCCACGTTCACGCTCACCAACACCAACACTGAAGTCACCGACACCCTGCGTTGCTCCCTACGAGCCAACTACATTTGTGAATTTTATGGGATCCCGTCTGATCCGAACCTCGATATCTGGTTGCAGCTCAACCTGAACGTTGCAAGCTTCACCCTGAACAAGACCCTTCCTGATTGCCTAGGGCCTGAGTGGGGGTATGTCTTGACCAATGATTGGGGGGGCACAAGACACGAATGCTAACATCAGAGCAGCGACGCTTGGATTGTAGGACAAACCGAACTGTACCTTGAATGCCCACAGGAGTGGACCGACAAGATGGTCTGCCAAGACGATGGGATCAAGGGTGTCGCAGACGGAGATGTGGTGCTGCCCGAAGGCTGGCCGAACGGTCGAGAGGATGAGAAGAGAGAAGTGGCTGCCGAGAACAGACAGGACGGGGTTGATCAGGTTGTTCGCAAAAGAATTTCTGGAGGAGGAAGCCAGGCCGAATATGCACAGCCCCATCAGCAGACGGAGCGCAGAAAGACCAGACCTGTTCAGCCCGTCGGTGAAGAGGAGGCTGAGGCTTAGACTTGCGATGCCAGAAGACTGCGATGCTGTCAGGTAGAGGGTTGATACCTACCTTAAGTCACTTTGAATGAGAAGTTCATGCGCATTGCAGTTGATGACAACTGATGAATTCCACTCGAGCATTTGCTCAATAAGTGGGTAGATGACAGAACCTCCGATTATGAGAGAAGGACGCTTATAACTGCCCTGCTATATCACATTCTTCTCCCCAAACCAGCTGGATAAATTCTAGACCGGAAACCGGAAACCGGATTGCTTGTGAAGAGGTAGGCTGTGGCACACACGTCAACCTGACAAGTCAGGCCTGGGTGCGTCTCGACTTCTTGGCCAGACCAATAGTTCCTTTTTGGCACCTAAAGGGACAGGAATGGCGTCGTCATAGACTTGGCGGCACACCAGACATTGGCTGTTTATCAATATGTGGCGTTGACAAGATGGAAAATGTCTGAGGCGGAGCAGATTGCACAATCAGACTTGAGAGGATATTAAGCTGATGCTTTTCGCTCATCACAGGTCGAAGTCAGCCCATGACAGTCTGGTCCTAACACAGGTCGCGCTCTGGCCAAGAGAAGGGAATCTAGCTAGTCTGACACCATGTTTCCAGGCGAATCGTTTCTTCTCCTCTGCTCTTTATCTCTGGCTTTCGCTGGGGTAATTGAGTCTTCCCAACAGCGAGGGTATGTGTCCAAAACCTGTTTAGCAAGTGTTTCAAAACAAGAATTAGGTAACGAACCGGCAAATAGGAGCCTCGAGAGACGCCACTGGGCTGTGAGAACCTACACAACAAATCCCCAAATACCGCGCCCTCTCAGTTCTCCGTCACTTTTGAGACCTCTTACCCCCACAGTTGCGCAGTACCCATCAAAGGCAAATTATATCGTGGATACTCTCGATTTTTTGAGTCGTTTTACATGCCCACTACAGTCTTCTCTTAATACGTATGTCTAGGGGGAGCCCAGTTCCTGCTTGCCAAAACTTGGAGTAGTTGTACCACTTCAAACTCCCGAGGAGAATGAGCTCGTCGAATACTTGGACTACAGATACCCTTCAGCCATCGATAACCTCATACAAAAGGGTCTCTTTCCAAAGCCACTTTCACCATACCTAAAGCAAGGCCCACTAACACTCCAGGCCGTACTATCTCTCCCCAGAGACGATCTTCTTGGAATCGGGTACCTGATAGCGAACGACACGGACACGTGCAAGAATATGGAATGTCAGAATGGCCTGTTCAATCCACTGACTTCAACCTCGCTGAGACCCATCCCAACGCCCATGAAGCAGCACATCAGCAGGATCGATGCCTGGAGCAGAAGTAAAGCAACCGCAACCGCAACAAGCACAAAACAAACCTCGGTAGCTGTCAGCGCTCAACCTACGCGTGCACCCACACCTATCATCATAACTACTAGCTCAACCGTCGTCACCACCAACCTCCAGGGCTACACAACTCTCAACCGCGTAACGAAAACAGGAACCCAAACTATAACCCCTTCATCACCAACACCCACCCCAGACCCAGTCAGTACATACATACTGCAAGAACAAGACAAAGCGGACATCGTCGAGGCATTCTCCTCCGCCATGCCACGTCTCTTTGATCGACTTCTAGCACCAAGTCCTACCGTAACGGCGACATTGAAAACAAAAGAGATTCCAGCTTCGAAGGTGGAAAGAAAAATAGTAGAGACGTCGATACCCGGGCCTTGGATCGGGGGAGGCAACATTACTGTGAGGTTTTATGAGGCTAATTTGACTTCTGATGGTGATAAGGAAGAGAAGGTAAATGGGACGGTAGGGAATTTGGTCGGGCAAGGTGTATGGGGTTGGTTAGTGGTAGTGATGGGGATGATGGTCTTGCTTTGACATGGAGGGGACGGTCCACTTCCATTTTCTTCTTCACCGTCAAAGTAGGTAGTTATACTAAGGTAGGTAGTTAACACTGAATTACAGAGATATCTTTGCTTGAAAAGAGAGTCTTTTCGGGGCTACTTCTCAACGTAAGTTCAAATTCTCAATAACTGAAAGATCAGGGAATTTCGTGACCGGCTCTCTCAGGACTTTTCAGCTCGTCATCATGCCCTGGAATTCAGCATCAGATGCAGCTTTTCTACCCGTTATGCAACCCAGGGTTTCAGTATACCTAAGGTAACGGGCCGACTGAGTCCACCCAGACCGCAGCCTCTTGGGTTACATGAATCCACCATGATGGATTCTCGAAACACAATACCCAAGGTAGGTACGGTATCCGGGCAAGTATTCTAGATGTCAGATTTGGCAAGTAGGTACCTACTCGGAAATGTCAAACGAATGACGTAGTTACTTTATTGCTGGGTTGTATGGAATGTGTCAGGTGAAACCTGTCAAGAGTCTAAAGATGTGGTTCTCGCTGTTCAATGAAGCCATGGCGCCACGTCATAGTCAAACTACGGAGATAATGATGATTGAACTATGCCTTTCAGATAATTCAAGCGACGTGTTCGGTACCTACCTTATCTAAGGAGCTCATGATACCAACCTAGGTGGCCAGCTCGAGTCGACTTGCCAACTAGACCTATTGGCGGAAACCCTTCACCCTCCAAACCTCTTCAAGCCATGGTGATCCTTTCCATTTGCTTCGGAGAGCCGACTGAAATAACCCCAAGTGAAAATTGGGCGGGAACACAGACTAAACTCACTGTTGGTGTAGGCTGCCATGCCGAAGCCCAATCCTATTTTTATCTAACGAGCCTAGGTAAGTATAGGTATACCAGAGAAAGACAACGCCGTGCCATGCCCCGGATCAAGGACACCAGAACCACCAGGCAAAGTCTGCTTCACCACCGACCCTCTCGGGCGCTTCTTGGCCCAATGGCAACGAGGCTCAACGGCCTTTTGTCGGTGCCATGACGGTGCATGGTCAACCTTAGCATGACGTGCAGCTTGCACGTGTTAACAATTCCCAGCCAGATTCGGTCCGTTTGACTGCGGGCATGCTCCCCAGATCAGCAACTCCGGCCGCAGACTGCAGTGCAATGGCCCGGCACTACTAACCGAGGTGCGCCGTGCCAAGTGCCCTTCTCCACAGACGGGGTTTGTTGTGGTCGCGGGGCCCCGGATTGTGGCGCCCACGGGAGTGATCTGGTGTAACGGTGAAAAGACGTTGACGATCTTGGGGAATTTCGCCCTGGAAGACGCACTGAAACGCGACATCGCAAGGCTTTCGCGAGCCAGGTGGTGGCCTACCTCGGCAGCATAGTTTTTTTTTGAAGGGCCGAGCAAGACGCCGACAAATGTCACCTCCAAAAATGAAGGCTTGGTAGGTCGCCGTGGTCGTCGCCATGAAGCAAAAATCTACCTATTTAGGTCCCGGACCCTCGCTGCCATGATGCTCCAAAACACCACCAGCCAGCCTCATCGCCTCCGAAGAGCCCATTCAGTAACGACTAGCCAAAATGAAGCTGTCATCGACCTTTTCCGTCCTCACGGTGGCCACTCTGGTTCACGGCCATGGTTACCTGACCATCCCGTCCAGTCGGACACGTCTTGGCTCCGAGGTAAGAGCTGCAAGCTGCGAGTTCTCTGGAACCTCAGTACTGACACATGGGCCCAACAGGCTGGCCTTGACTCCTGCCCCGAGTGCTCCATTCTCGAGCCTGTCTCGGCCTGGCCCGATCTTGACGTTGCTCCTGTTGGCCGCAGTGGACCCTGTGGTTACAACGCCCGCGTGAGCATCGACTACAACCAGCCTCGCGCTGGGCTGTGGGGCAACTCTCCCGTCGCCCGCTACTCTCCTGGCCAGACCATCGACGTCCAGTGGTGCGTCGACAACAATGGTGACCACGGTGGCATGTTCGCCTACCGTATCTGCCAGGATCACGCGCTCGTCAAGAAGTTCCTCACACCTGGCTATCTCCCCACCGACGAGGAGAAGCAGGCCGCCGAGGACTGTTTCGAGAGGGGCACCCTTCCCTGCACCGACGTCTCGGGCCAGAACTGCGGCTTCAGCCCTGACTGCTCCCCCGGTCAGCCGTGTTGGCGCAACGACTGGTTCACCTGCAATGCTTTCAATGCCGGTGACCGTCGCGCCTGCCAGGGCGTTGACGATGCTCCCCGCGGGTCTTGCTACACCTCGATTGCTGGAGGTTTCCCCGTCACCAAGAAGATCAAGCTTCCCAACATCAACGTCGGTCACACCCTCCTGAGCTTCAAGTGGAACTCGTTCCAGACCGGTCAGATCTACCTGTCCTGCGCAGATATTGCCATCGGCGAGGGCAGCGGCACCGTCGACCCGCCTGCTTCGACCACCTTCTCGACTGTCGTCACCCCCGGTGCCTCGTGTGCTGCCGCCCCGTCGGTGCCTGTCGTCTTCAACGAGAAGGCCACCACTGCCTATGGCCAGAACATCAAGGTTGTTGGCTCCATCGCCGCGCTCGGCAGTTGGAACCCGGCCAACGCTGTGCCCCTCTCTGCTGCCGGTTACACCAACTCCAACCCCCTCTGGTCTACCACCCTCAACCTGGCTCCTGGCACTTCCTTCACCTACAAGTTCATCAGGGTGGACAGCAACGGCGCTGTAACCTGGGAGAGCGATCCCAACAGGTCCTACACCGTTCCTGCTGCCTGCCAGGGCCAGAGCGTGGCTGTCGATTCCACCTGGCGCTAAATTGTGATTGATGGTTGAATAAAAGTCGGGCGGCATCGGGCGTTCGGATTGCATGGGGGAATAAAAGGGGTCACGAAGGAGGTCACATTACATCGGGCATTGCATCTTCTATCTGTCTTCAACACTTTATACTGTACATATTTGTTCTCTTCTCTTCATGTTCATCATTTTTATGCAAGGTTCGCGATGGAGATAGGGAATCATGGAGTGGCAACCCGACGTTACATTTCGATCTCCGCCATGTGCACATGCTCTGATGTTGATCGCATCCCCGTCTCCATTTCATCACCCCAAGGCTGAATATGGATCCAGACCGTCGGAAGGAAGCTCTCAAAATGGGAGGGCGGCCCATTGCTTTCCGACCCTGCGTGTTCCCGGTGGCGATTGGCGAACAGCATCCAGGCGTGGTCTCGTCGAGCTTCTATGGCACTGATAAACCCGGAAACCGTCCCGGGAAAATCCACCCGTCCATCACCCCGACCTCTCGGGCCGGACAAGAGTGCAGGAAACGGCGTTGCCAAGACTCGCCAAGCACACGAAACCCCTGAAGGGCGGCTCATCGACTTCCGCATCGTGAATATGGCAATCAGCTATGTGCTGGAACTAAACAAAGATAAATACCATCATGGCCTTTTGCTTTTGGTTCGGCCTCTGGAAGGGGCAAGCTGCTTCATCACAGTCTTCCAGTCACCATCATGGTCCTCGCCAAGTCCTTCGTCCTCAGCTTACTGGCCCTTACCGCTGCCGCCGCCCCCAGCGGCCCAGGTGGAAAGGGTCCTCACAAGGGCAAGACCCCCAAGGGTTTTGTCACCGTGCAAGACGGAAAGTTCAAGCTCGACGGCAAGGACTTTTACTTTGCCGGTAGCAATGCGTACTACTTCCCCTTTAGTGGCGTATGTCATCACCATCCATTCCAGTCACGATCAATTAATATATGCTAACAACAATCAGGACCAATCCGATGTCGAAAAGGGGTTGACCGCCGCCAAGAAGGCAGGTCTCACCGTCTTCCGCACCTGGGGATTCAACGACAAGAACAGCACATATATCCCGGGTGGTCTTCCACAGTATGGTGGTGAAGGCGCTGGTCCTTCCGAGGTGGTCTTCCAGTGGTTCCACCCCAACGGCACCTCCACCATCAACGTGGCCGGCTTCGACAAGGTTGTCAAGGCCGCTGACAAGGTCGGAACCAAGCTGTTGGTTGCCCTGACAAACAACTGGGCGGATTACGGAGGCATGGACGTCTACACCGTCAACCTGGGTGGAAAGTATCACGATGACGTATGTACCTTACTCAGAGCTGCCCTTCTTCTCACATGGTGGTGGGATAACTGACAGTGAACAGTTCTACACAGTTCCCAAGATCAAGAACGCCTACAAGCGCTACGTCAGGGAGATGGTCCTTCGCTACAAGGACTCCCCCACCATCTTTGGCTGGGAGCTCGCCAACGAGCCTCGTTGCGGTGCTGACGGCACTCGCAACCTTCCTCGTAGCCCGAACTGCAACCCGGCCGTCATGGGCGCTTGGGTCAAGGAGATGAGCGCCTACATCAAGTCGCTCGATCCCCACCATCTCGTCACTTGGGGCGGAGAGGGTGAATTCAACCTGCCCCAGGGTTCTGATGACTGGGCCTACGCTGGCGGGAACGGCGGTGACTTTGACCACGAGATTGCCATCGACACAATTGACTTTGGTGTGTTCCATTCGTACCCGGACTGGTGGTCAAAGACTGTGGAATGGACACAGCAGTGGATCCGGGACCACGCCGCGGCTGGTCGCAAGGCCAAGAAGCCTGTTGTCCACGAGGAGTACGGCTGGATGACGCCCGAGGCCAGACTCGAGTACCTCGGAAAGACACACAACTCTACCCGTCTGGAGGTAATTGGCAGCTGGCAAAAGATCGAGGTGGAGGAGAAGCTGGCGGGAACCATGTACTGGCAGTTTGGGTACGGTGGTTACTCATATGGGCGCAACCACAATGACGGCTTCACCATTTACTTGGAGGACCCCGAGGCCAAGGAGCTGGTGTATGGTCATGCCAAGGCTATGAACAAGCTCAACAAGAAGAAGGGTGGCAGATAGAGAGGGAGCAGCACCCCCAACATCTTGATATCGGTTAGCATCCCACATGCATGTATAATAGAAGGTTGTCAGGGAAAATCAAAAGCTTGATTGCGCACTTGATTGACTTGGGGTGATTGTGTGGAGATAAGCATCAGTGCCGACTTGGCAATGTAGGGAGTATAAGGGCCAAGGCGGAAAAAGCCGGTGTCGTGAAGCTTCGCCCACTCCTGTTGAGATCTTCTTCAGCCGTGGGATGCAGGGAGGATCTGAACGGGACCGCGAGACGCTGATCGTGGGTCTTGTGCATCAGTTGCCGCTTTAAGAATGGCCGGGTCTTGTGATGGTTTTTCCATGTTATGAGTGTCCACCTTCGAAAGAGAGGTAGGTAGTGACGGAAAACGAATATCTGAAAGTTGTACGACTACATACGAAACCAGATCACCTTTCCACATGATGCCCACGTCAATTTGTCTATCTTTTTATCACAGGCCAGGTCTCAACCCAGGACACGAATACAGAGGGTTGCTTGCATTTTATTCTGGTTTCTACACATCTTTTGAGGCCGCCCCCTTTTGATTCACCTAGACTAGGTAGGTAGGTACAGCTAATGGCTTTCTTCACTTGCATGAAAGTTGAGCTGAGCCTACTCTGTAACGGGTTGTACAATTATTAGGATCATTATCTGTTGGGCCAGAGCTGACGGAAAATCCAAGCATTCGAACGCATGATCCGATTACTTCGGGAAGGATGGATGACAGACTGACCTACATTGGGAGTTTGTGGAAGGTTCCAAAGAATGCGAAAGGCACAGTTGTCTCTCGCAACCGGACATCGGACAACTATCCGACGTTAGGTGGGTGAAATCATGGTGCCTAGTTCCAAATAACATCAATATAAAATGTTGATAGCTTCAGCTCAGAGAACCTGAACCTGACACAAAAAGATCTGAGTTTGTTACCACTGGATCCCCCTTAACGTTTGCCGGCTGCACATGGCCGATTCGGCTACACAAGCTAGCCACGAGCCAAGTGTTGATCCTGCTTAAAGCGGCGAGGGGCCGCGTGGGTGGTGCACCCATTTCAATCTGACCGACGGGACACAGACTCGGAAGAGTCGGATTTGTTTGCTCATACTCGCCTATAAAGATGTGAGAGCCCGTTGCCTCTGTGTTGAGTGGTTGTTCTCAGCCCGGTTGACCATTCATCCCCTGCGGATATCCACATCGCGTACAATGAAGCTCTCGGCGCCAATTCTATTCTTCTCTTTCTTTGCTGCTGCCTCGGTTGCCCAATACACCGGGCCATGTTCAGTTAACGACTGCGGTGCGAGTCACAGAGTGTGCGCTCGAGGATGGCTCTGTGTCCCCTACCCAAGCTTTGACCCTGCAAAGAGACAAGGTTGTACGTGCAGTACCGCCTGAAGTGGGTTCGACCATCAGTTACCTATTAAATGGACCTGTACTGATTTTCTTCCAGACCGAACATCAAACAAGCTACAGCACGGAATTCTGTAGCAAATGGGATGATGGCCGTTTTTCCTAGGCTGTCTTGCTGGACCAAGCTCAGACTCAACTCTGATTTTGCAAAGGTCCAAGAATTGTTCGGAGTTACGGGTTGCGCGGGATTGCACATGGGTTCGCTTCATTGGAACAAAGTCTCGAAGAAGAATAAATACACTTCTGCTTGCCTACCGATGTTTTTTTCGTTTATCGCACTGTTGGTCATATTCGCTCGGTTTCAATAGTGGTACTATGGAACGACATTATCTTGTCCCACCTGCCAATCATGGCCTGCTGTGCGTGTTTTTGGAACCGCAGAGCCTCGTTGTATCACGCCGAGGTGTAAGATGAGGTAGGATCGGCACCACCTGTAGATGATATCATCACATGCACCTTGCCACGCCGTCGAACCCTTTTTTTTTTAAATAAAAAAAAAGGGGAAAAACAACCTTGCCTACCTACCTTGTAAGCTTTGGACTGTGCTATTTGTCTAATCTCGTCCCAGCTTTCGAAGCTAAGCTTTCCCAAGGCAAAAACTCCACGACGAATTTGACATGAAATGCAAGCAGCATGGGCTCTGACGGGGAGAAGCCAGCATCTCCAACTCTATCCGACACCGGCAATTATGTATCAGAAGCCATCCCCACCCTCGACCGCCACGAAGAAAAGCGGCTTCTCTTGAAGCTAGATGCCGTTTTCATTCCAATCATCATGCTGGTCTATCTTTCTTGCTTCCTTGACCGCACCAATATCGGCAATGTCAAAGTGGCGGGGATGCCGGAGGATATCGGCGCATCTGATGTCGAGTTTTCGACCGCAGTGTCCATCTTTTACGCAACATATGTCGCATTCGAATCACCCTGGGCTATCCTACTCAAGAAACTCACTCCGAGAGTTGTGTTGACAGGCCTCTGCGTGGTCTGGAGCTTGACTACTATTTTCTCTGGTTTCATCACAAATATCGGGGGGCTGTATGCTGCAAGGTTAATACTAGGAGCATGTGAAGGCGGCCTCTTCCCCGGCTTAAATCTGTACCTGACCATGGTCTACAAACGAGAAGAACAAGCTCGCAGGGTCTCGTATTTGTTTGTTTGTGCGGCATTGTCGGGTGCGTTTGGGGGTTTGTTGGCATACGTGATCCTGAAAATGGACGGCATAGGTGGATATGCTGGTTGGAGATGGGTTTACATCATAGAAGGCATCTTCAGCATCCTCATAGGCTTGTTGATTTGGTTTGGCTTGCCAAACGATCCCACCAACGCCTACTTCTTGAACGAGAGAGAAAGGGAAATGATGCAGATACGAGCAAAGCAGAGGGCACAGTATATGGGCAGTGAGGAGTTCAGTTGGGAAGAGATCAGAATAGCTTTGAAGGATTTCAAATTGTGGATCAGGTAAAGCCCCTTTTCTATCCCTTACCAACCCTATTCATGTCCTGAACACAGTTCTAACTTGGCGAAAGCGGAGCCATTCAATTCTGCCAGGACATACTTTTGTACGGTTTTAGCACGTTTCTCCCTTCCATCATCACCAGTATGGGCCATAGCAGCATCGAAGCTCAATACCTCACTATCCCCGTTTACATTCTCGGAGGAGCGTGCTTTTTGACCCTGGCATTTGTTTCCGACCATCTGTGCATCCGAGGCCCGTTCATTGCCTTTGCCAACGTCTTTGGCATCGTCGGTTACATTCTCATCATCTGCCCGACAAGTAACGCCGTCAAATTCTTTGGCACGTTTCTGTGCGCAATTGCAGTGTACAGTGGTCCTGGACTCAATCTCACGTGGCTCAATGTAAACGTCGCACCCCATTATCGCCGGGCAGCTTCGATTGGATTCCAACAGACCATCGGCAACACAGCTGGCATCGTGGCAGGCCAAATTTACCGGACTTCACCGTATCTCTTGGGCAACATCTTTTCGGTCAGCGCTCTGGGCCTGGCTCAACTACTAATCCTCATTCATTGGTTGTACATTAGACGTTGCAACTTGCTCAAGGAGCAGATTGCCAGTGGCAAAGTGCAAGACAAGAGAAGGGTAAAGACTGGTGACTGGGAGTTGGACTTTAAATATCATCTCTAGGCATAAGGCGCCCAAATCGTGTCCCTCGAAAGCTTTTGGCAGAAATCTCGGCTATTGCCACACTGGAGAATGATCAAGTGATCGAATACGCCGCAAATCCGGCCCGTTTGATTCTTCTCGATTTAGCCTGTCCAGCCTTCATGTTGTAATCCCTACCAGGATTGCTCCGATGCATACAGGCACTCATCAGAACATCCCAAATTCAGAAGAAACAGGCCAACCTTGCAAGAAATCCTACATTTGAATTCCTCACATGCCTAGAACTCTTAATGAGAGCCACAATGAAATACATACGCCCTTTGTTAATAATTCTGGCAGCTGCAATACCTCTTACTTTTGCCCAGCCGTCTCCCAACATCCTTGACTGGCTAGACCTCTCATCCACCCCCTCCACACCATCAACATGCCGTACTGTACTCTCTGGCCAGGCGCTTTTCTTTCCTAATTTCAGGGCCTATCTTGAAGGACAAAACTCCTCAACTGGATACACATCATGCCGGGCACGGCTTCCCTTTGAGTACATGCCGCACGGGTTTGCATTCTCAGTGTTCCACACATTCGTCTCTGGACACCTTACACTAGAAAAGGGCACAGTGCTGAAGGAGATCGGGGTAGAAGTTGCGTATCTTGACGAGCAAGTCAGGAAGATGCAGACTGATGGAAGGGTGATTAAGAATGTGTATGGACAGAGAGCAAGCGGGTACAATGGTACATTTGCGCTTTCTGTGCATCTGAAGCCTATGGAGAAGGATGATGGGGAGTTGGGGGTGGCGAGCTGTCCGGGTGCATATTCTCAGCCTGTGATTGAGGTAGATTTGTGGGCCAAGCTAGCAGTAGATGATGGTTACTTGGGAGAAGGGAGTGAGGCCACCTACAAACAGTCATGGGTGGAGGGTCCAATGGTGGAGTTTGACGTTCTTTGGTCATCCTGTTAGCGAAAGGTGGTTGGATGGCCTGCCATGCCAGTTACTATGTTTGCCCGCCGTCTGAAGTAAAACGTGTAGCGCTGTGGATTTAGACCTTCTCAAACAGAGAATGGTCTCATAGTTATCCCATAGGGCCTTTGGCCTAGGTATCTTTTGAGCCTGTTGGCTGCCTTTGAAAGGGCTTGGGCTAATGTGTTGCTTTTTTGACTTTCAGGTTCTTTCTAGTGTCATTTACCTAGCCCGTTTGGTATGGATATGAGTGGCTTAAAGAATTGGCCGCCGTGATGATAGGTAGATCATTGGTTGGATAGAGTGATACCAGAAAGTCAGCCGTGAGAACTGTCGCACCGAGCGTTTGAGACTGTGTAATTCCCGAGCTGCAGACTTTGGCGCTGGCTGTGCTGCAGTGTCTCAACTTGGCCCAGCAGCCTTCTCGAGCTTGGATGCCTCACGGTGATTGGTGTGTCGGATTGCGCCACTATTTTGACATTTCTTCTCTCAGGGGCCACACAAAGGCAGTCAATTGCCGTGGGGGTGCCAAGTCGTGCTGGAAAAGCCGTGAGCTCGAACCAGTCAGTGACAATGCACGTCTAGAAATAAAATGTCCCACGGTAATTGCAGGAGAAATGCGTCCTTGAGCGCCCATTTCAGGAGGTGGAGGTGGCGGTGGAGGGCTATTGAAGAATGAGTCCCCATCCTTTTCAGATATTGTGGTCTTGGATTTTCCCTCTGGACAAAATCAGTGATGCTACCCTTTTCAAAGCTCTCCTCAATGTTACTGCCGAGTCATCTAAACATCAGAATCACCACGAACTAAAAGTCAGCTCTCCCAAAAAGGGACAACGATGGGCCGAATATCACAACTAGCTATTTTATGGCTTCTTCACCTATGCCCGGGGCTTGCACAAGATGCTTCAAATACCAGACATGTTCGTTATGATCCTCCTCCATTGATAACCTCAGGGGCAATCGCCAAGCCTTCAGGGGTAAGTGGGTCGGCGTTTGTGTTGCCTTTCAACTAACAACCATCGACACAGTCCACGACACAGTCAGGATATGAAGATACACGATCTTTAAACGTAGAAAAAACACCTCTATCTACCTCGGTAGCAGCGGCAAATCCCTCCGAATCGCTATCAAGCAGCAGCCCAACTCTCAGCACCGGGGCCCAAGCTGGTATCATAACAGGCTCTGCCCTTCTCTTCTTCCTCCTGCTCAGTCTCGCCGTGTATCTTTTCTGCCTCAGGAACAGAAAAAAACAGTCGCCACTCGGTATTAATGCCCATTCTGGGTTAACCACACGCCCCAGCAATCAACACCTCATCAGCAGCCCAACAAGCCAAGCCACGCTCCAAACACCCAAACGCGCCCGAACACCGCTTTCCTTCCCCTTTTCTAACTCCAAAAGAACCGGCCAAGAACAACAGGGAATACCTCTGAGCCCCAGTGCTCTTGACGTTGTGCGAGAGAGGCTAGAGATGGAGTCATTGGGGTTCGGCTACCAGCAAGACAGACGGGACAACAGGCGAGAGGCCAAGAGCGTGGTGGAAAGCTTGGACTGGGACTGGAAGCGGGTGTATGTGTATCCATTTGCCTCGTCGGCATCATCTCGAGGGTCCGTTTACTCTACATCGGAGGATGCGCCAGGGCTAGAACAAGGAAAGATTGGACCAGGGCTGGGATCTTATTGGGAGGTCAGCAGTCGTGGCAGCAATGGGGGTACTGGCACACCTGGGGGGAGTCGAAGATAGGGGTCTGGCAGCGAATAATGATGCAAGGGAAAGACCTGGGGAACTACATGGTCGAGTGATGATGAGGATCGAAGCGGTAATGATAATGATAACCAAGACGGAGGCTGATAAAATACGCAGAGGCCACATCTAGTAGCATAAAAAGCAAAGACGTTTCGTTACATGGACTTTAGGTATCTGTATTAACATGTAAACTAACGCCTGGAGGATATGCTACCACTCTAACCGACCACTCTATTTTCTGCTCCTCAATGTTCTCTGGACTTTGGCTGGCGGCCCAGCATCCTCACCCTCGCTGTCATCCTCCTCCTCCTCATCAACGTCATCGTGGTCAACCTCGTCTTCGTCAAGAGACTCGATGGCCGCCAGATCCTCCTCGTCTTCGTCCTCGTCCTCTTCCTCATCATCGTCCTCATCAGAATCCGGCAGAGCACTGTGATTGATGGGGAAGTCGTCCTCGTCATCAGCAGGCCCCGCTCTCGGACCACCGTTTGTGAGCGCCTTGGTGCTTTCCTGGCCCTCTACGTAGACCACTTGGGCCTCATCTTGATCCTCGTCCTCTGACTCGCTCAGCTCATCCTTTCCTTCGAGACGATCGCGGTTGCCGCCGGCCAGCTTGGCAGATTTCCTAAACTTCAGCTGAGCGTCCAGCATCTCCAACTTGCCTCGAAGCGCCAAGAGCGCTGGCAGACCCCTCGCGCGCTCCTCCAAAACACGACTGAGCTCGGCTAACCGGGCAGTCAAATCTGGCTGTGTGACAAGGGCGCCACCGTGGGCAATCATGGTGAACTTCATCCAGCTCATCAGGTTCATGGCACGGCCGGGGCGACGGTGCATGCGGGAGGCAAGCCTGGAAAGGAGTTCGAGAGCAAGGGCCGAGTCCATGCGATTGATTGTGTTCTCTACAATTTTGAGGTCGCTAGTCTGGAGGCACAACTCGAGGAGCTGCGCATCGTTGGTTCGGAGGGCTTGGTTGATAACGGTGCCGAGCGAGGCGGCGTTGATGAGGCCGGCTTGCCTCTGGTGCAAATCGGAGCGCGAAGAAGGGCCAGCAGTGTCAGCAGCAAGAGAGGCTACTACATCGACCGTCGAGTTGCCGCGCACAATATCGCCAAAAGCAGCCGGAGCAGCAGGCTCAGCATCATCCACATCGCCGCCCATGCCCATGTCCATGTCGACATCTCCTTGTGTTGTCTCCTCGGCCACTTGCTCGATCTGCTGCTGATCCTTCACATCCTCGTCGTCACTTGGGAGCTCGATGGGTTCGTCAGGCTGCTTGGACAAGCCGGTGGACACGGCGGCTCTGGTTTCGTCGATTTTGGCCTTGGAGCGTGCCTTTGCGCTGGCCCTGACGACTGGAGCCGCGATGGTCGCGACTTTTCTCTTGGTTGACATGGCTTGCGATCTGGAGTACTTGGGTGACTGAAAGACAGCCAATGGGAGCTCGATACAGCTTAATATACCAGTGGAGGGCTTTTGGTTCAATGGAAGGGCCCAGACGAGTGGCCTCAAAGGTTGGATTATTTGCTTTGGTGGTTTGCTGTGATTGAAGCCGCAGGCAAAAAATCCAAACTGTAACCAAAACTTTTTTGCGGATCTCCGCTTGGCACGCCCAGCATTGAATGTGGGGTTCTGGTGCAGCTTAGATGGTCCGTGTGTACTTGGCAGATTGGTGAGCTTCACTCAGCCACACGCATTTCAGAGATGTAGCTGTGGCTGGTGCAACCGAAGGGCACGGTGTCAGTTGGGCACCGAGTTCTGCCAGTCTACTTTACGAGGGCGTCACTGCTGCCTGGTGGGCAAACAAAAGAGAGCAACGGATATTCTACTGTGTACCTATGATCAAGCTCATCAACGCGACGAAGGGTTTGGAGTCACTCAATTGAAAGAGAGTTGGGCGAGCGTGGCGGCACGGACGATAGAATGCCCAACCCAAATCCCGAATTCATCTTTTCGACATTCCATCAAAGGATGCATCAAAACCTCACCAGCAACACACAAACCATCAGATCATGCCTGGAACGCGTCCAGTCATTTATTTCACCTTCAGAAATTATGTTGGTGACCTGTTTTGCTGGGTCACTGCATTCGCGTCATTATCGCGTATCCCTGTTCACTTAGCGCCATTTGCGACCCAGCACCGCAGCTGTTTCAGCCTGTCGCCTCTGGTCGCAGTTGCCATCTTCTTTTTGCCATCGCCAGGATGGTAGGTACGAGGAATCAAGATTCCATCCATCGAGAGCTGTTGAGATAACGAGATATTGCCGTGGTGTTGGTCCATCCTGGTGACGGAGCCGAAAAGGTCGGATTGGCAGTTGCTGGGCCTATAGTCTGGTGTATGTGTAGGTATCCCCCCTTTCCACTCCTTTGTGTATGTTGCCCGTCGCATCCGGCGTGTCTCGTTCGGTTCTGCTACGTATTGTTATCGCATTTTGCCCTCCTTGGGCATAACTGTATGGATATTCTACCAGAACGTGATGAATAGGGATAATAATGTTTGCATTTGCTGCTGAAGTATTGATGTTGGCATTGCGGTGGCCTCGTCGAGGGGTTGGTGGCAGGAGAAAATTCAAGAGCTGGGTTCGCACAGAAGACACTTTGTGCCCCCGGTCTCGTGTGCGCACGGCCCACTATAGCTCGGATGTGGCCAATCAGAAACAGGCGAGCCGCATCGATAAGACCAATCAAGCCAGTCAGAGGCGGATCCCCTCCCTTCGTGCTGAGCTAGGCAGCTGTGATAAATAGCCCCGAGCTGCCGACCGGGACTGACATGTGTTTTCACCCAGAAATTTCGAAAAAAAAAGGTCGCGGTACAAAACCACGCCGAACCCCCCCCCAAACTGACCAACCAGCGCCCGCCAAAGCATCCCCAGCCACCGACCATCAAAAGGCCACCCTCCCCGGCTCGAGTTTTTCCACCTCCGAGCAACGCTCTCTGGCAAGGCTAGCAACCCCAAGCCTATAATTCTCAGCCTTTACCCCGGCCGACTTTTTTCGCCAGACTGTGAGTGGTTGCCAATTTTCTCCTTCGCTTTTTATCTTTTGGGGTTCGCGATCCAACGCGTGTGCACGTCCCCATCCACCTTGCCCACTCCCCGCCGCGCGCCCAATCGTGTGTCTTCCACCATCCACGTCGTCGTCGACATCTCGCCGCCGCAATTTGGACAACCTATCAGCTCCAATACAATAAACCATCCCATTTATTTCATCAACGACTTGTCTCTCGACTTGTCCCCCGACGCGCCGCTTCGATACACTTTGACTCGGCCATGCGTTGCTAATTCAACGACTCCTTGACCTAGCCGATTTCATGTCGCGTCGTTCCTGAATCCAGAAATCCCCAAATCCCGAATGGCAGTTATGGCCACTCAGCAATCAGAAGGCGCGGTTGTTGGCGAAAAGCCTGTCGCCAGCTCGCTGGAGCTCGAGAAGGATGCGCGCAATGGAGGCGCCGAAGTGAATGGGTATGTGGCGGCATTGGCTCCTTCCTTCGGAGTCGCATCAAGGTTTGCATGTCAGACTGGAAGCTGACAGCTTTGCTTCTAGCCACACTTCCCCCGAAGCCCCAAACCACACCGAAAAGGACGAGACCGACTCCAAACAAAGCCACAACCAAGAAGCTTTCTCAACAAACAGTGCACTGAAAAGCGAGTCGGCCGATGCCAGTGACAAACCAATCCCAGACGTTCCCACAGATGCACAGGAGGCGCCCAAGGACGCCGAGCCCGTAAAGATGGACGTCGCGACTCCACCCGACACAGAAATGCCGGATGCACCACCAAGTCCGGCTGCCGAGGTGAAGCAAGCCGAGACACAAATCGAGCTTCCAGCCGAAGTCGCTCCCGACACACAAGCTGCGGCTCCATCGAAAGAAGACCAGCCAGCCAAGCCGCCCACGCCTGACGCCCTGATCACATCTGACGCAAAGAACGAGGCTCCGACCAAAGCCATGTCCACTTCGGTATCTCCCATGACCAAGACGGCCCCTACCCCCCCAGCTACCGATAAGGAGGAAGATGTGGTGATGGCAGATGCGCAGGTGACCGCCGAGAGCACTCAAGAGACGCCTGTTTTCGCAACTGTCCCGGACGTGAAGCCGAGCATCGAGAAGGATCCAGCTCCAGCGTCGCCCTCCAAGGCATCTCCTCTTCCAAGCGCGACGGCCGATACCAGCATGTCTGACCTGGCTGCGTCTGCCAAGGTGTCGCGTGAACGGGATATCGACAGTGAGGATGAACCAGTTGCCAAGCGCACCAAGGTTGACCATTCCATCGAGGCCAAGAACAATGTCAACCCCCAAGATCGCATGGATGTCGACCGCCAGTCAGCTCCCCGGGCCACACCTGCGCAGGCTGCGAACGGAAGACTCAAGTATCTCAATGACGATTCCCTCAACGACAATCCCATCACAGATTGGCAGAACCGGCAAATTCGTCAAGTTCTTGCAGGTGTCAAAAAAACCAAGGTGGGCGGCAACTTTCGGCAATCGGTTCAGCATCTGTGGCCCATGCTCTGGCCTGATTACTCGGCACGGATTGCCAATCCTATTGATATTTCGGCCATGGAGAGACGCTTGCGTGGGGACGGGCAGAGCTACAAGAATCTTGGCGAGTTCAAACGGGACTTGAATCTGTTGGTGGAAAACGCCGTCAGCTTCAACGGCGAAGCTCACGAAGTGACTGTGCAAGCCAAGGGCTGCCGTTCTGCTATTCTCGACCGTCTCTCCAAGGTCCCTGCCACTGAACCTGCCCGCCCCGACAAGAAGGACAGCATCAAGCATCACAATATCCGCCATGCCGAACCCCGCTCTGCCGTCCACCAGTCTTCCACCGCCACGCCCCGTCCCCCAAAACCGGCGGCCCCAGCCCCCAAGCCCGCTGTCGAGAACCCTGCTTTTGCCATCCCTCCCGGCAACAACGGTATGCCGCTCATTCGGCGCGACTCGACCAAGGTTGACAGCCGCGCCAAGCGCCCCGTCAAGCCACCTCAGCCAAGAGATGTCTTTACCGACAAGCGCAAGAAGAAGCTCCCCCCCGAGCTTCGGTTCTGCGATGAAGTTCTCACCGAGCTGAGGAAGACCAAGTATTACGATTGCAACGGCGCCTTCCTTCAACCCGTCGACGTCGTCGCTCTGCAAATCCCCACATATTACAAGGTGGTCAAGAAGCCCATGGACCTTTCCACCATGGCCAGCAAGCTGCATTCTGGCGAGTACGCTTCGGCCAAGGATGTTGAACGAGACTTTGACCTGATCGTTAAGAACGCCAAGGCCTTCAATGGAGACGACCATCCCGTCACCATTGCCGGCTACAAGCTGCAGAGTCTCTTTCGCGCCGAGATGAACCGAAAGGATGAGTGGCTCGCCCGCAACGCCCCTCCCGAGGTAATCAACACAGCCAGCCCACGGATCAAAGACGAGTCCGACGACGAGCCCTCGGACACGGAACCGGAGCCAGAGCAATCCGAGGAGATCACTAAGGCCCAAACCAAGATCACCAGCATCCAGAAGCGACTCGATGACGAGCAAAAGAAGCTGTCCGAGATGATCAACACTGGATCGGCAAGCGAAGAGGATGTTGACATTTCTCACTCCATCATCAGCACTTTGCAGAAGCAACTGATCCGAGAGAGGAACAACCTCAAGGAGCTGACTGCCGCCGTCAAACCGGCAAAGCCAAACAAGCCTGCCAAGTCCAAGAAGACGCACCAGCACCTTGGCGGCGTCACCAAGAAGGCCGTTGCCGCAGGAGGAGCGGGCGGGGGTGGCCATCATGCCGCGGGAGCTGTTAAGAAGGGCCCCAAGAGACCGCCCCCCAAGAAGAAGATCAGTGAGGCTGAGAAGGCTGTTATCACCGAGCATCTGAGCGAGCTGGACGGTGTGCCCTTGGAGCGGGCCATCGAGCTAATCAAGAGGGACACGGGACAGGGAGAGAATGAGTCGGGTGAATTGGAACTTGATATTGAGCAAGTCTCCGAGGAGGCCCTGGTCAGGCTCTACGAAATAATAATCAGGGCCCACCCGCACTTGAAGGTCGAGAGGGAGAAGAAGGTAGTGGACAAGACTTGGGGCCAGGCGGCGGACCATCACCACTCCAACAGCAATGCCAAGTCCAAGTCGGGCGCTGCGTCGGCGGCGTCCAAGTCCAAGAAGAACAAGCCCATGAGCAAGTCGGAGCAGGAGCGCCGCATTCAGCAGCTCAACGAATTGAGAGCACAAGCTAACCGCAACCAATCCGGCAGTCAGGAGCCAATGGAGTCGATTGAGGGAACAGGCAGGGCCTCAGCCGAGCCTCCCACGGCGGTCAATGCCGACAGTGAGGACGAAGTCGATTCCGAAGAGGACTAAAGAGCGCCGTCGCTTGTTCAGTGTGACACATGGCCAACCACTCTACCATCATATCCATCGCCATGTTACCTCTTCTTGGGTTTCTCCAGCATCCACATCATGCGTTGACGGACCTGGCCTTTTATTTTCATCTTGGTACTTGACTTGGCCACCCCGATCCCCGCCGAAGCGTGTGATCTTGGTTACCTAGCCTTCGGCCACACAGTCAACCAGCTCCTTGTCCTGCCATCCCTCATCAGCGCTACCCCGTTTGTGTTTGCCACTTAACCAACCGTTGTCGCCAAGGTCTCTTTAGCCTTTTGGCCTGTAGGAATATTTGTCTGTACCATATTATTAACTTCCACGGTCTTGGGTCGCCGGCAACGTCGCAGCACGTTGTGGTCATGCGCGATGGGTTCTCTTGCTCACGGATACCACCCAGAGCTTTGAGACGGCCAACATTGTGGCCATGATTCACCGTCGCACCACGGCGGGGAGTAGAGGAATGAGATGGCAAATGGCGGCGTGTTTCCTCCTGGCTCCTTTGGAGCAGTTGAAACCTTTTCGGAGCAACTTTGCTCATTCATCGGGCCCAGATGGGCGGGGAAATGTCTGAGTAGAGGTGGGGTTGTAAACCTTTGCAAGCTTTGCTGTCATTGGACGGAGATCGGTTTTTTCAGCATATCCATCACTGATATCTTACCGACGACCCGGCAGCCGCAGCTTGGGGCTTAGCAAGAAAAGCAAAGGGGAGTCATGGGCTTTTTTTCGGGAGCAATTTTGCGCTCTTCCTCAACAAAGCCTCACTGGGCCGTCTGCCTTTTCCAGCAAGACAGCGAAGTGGAGGAGTGATAGCGGAGCCAAGTCCTCGTACAGGCAAATTAAGAAAAATTGAAGGACTTGCTTCCTAGGAATCTTGTTCACCATGTCGCGTACATGTGTGCGACGCTTGTAGCGTTGAGCTTGTTGGTTGTCATGGCGTGTCGTGATGTGCCGTCCAGTATCGTGATTTGTTTGTTGTCTTTCTTTCCAGTGGACTGCCCTAACAGTACCAGGGTTCTCAGCCCCGCAGAGGAACTCTTTCGTAAAACGGCCGTTGGAGGAAATGTCCAGTGGCATTAGCCAGGGGGTGGCGGGCTTTGGCGGTTGGCGAGTCGCTCAAAATGGGTCTGCTCGTGGTGTCTTTTGTTGCAATGTCGCAAGCCCTCAATGTCCGTAGCATCTTCGCTGCGAGGACTGCGCCCTCTTGGTCATGCCCACCGTCAACATGTTGAGCAGGCCACGAAGTTCGCAGACAAGTGTTGATGGCAAGGCGGAAGCAAAGTGTGGGGGAACGACGGGGCGGAGAGCCACCGCTGTGGGTGGGTGGGCGACGGGAGCTGGCAAGCAGACCCTAAAATTCGGCATCGGCGGATAGGCAGCTTATTATCTGCTCACTCGAGGCAGGGGACAGAGGAGCCCTGGGTCTGGGTGGGGAAACAAGCAGGTCAGTATAATATTCAGGAAGCAGAGAACTGGATTTCTCCATACCTTGATTACTCCAAAGCTGTGATGCTGGATGCTGTTGGGAAACAAAATTGCCCACCGTCGGTTGGTGCATCAAATTGCTGTCCGTCGCAGATAGCGTAGATGGGTCCCGAGATGCCCTGAACAGGTAGGTAGTGAATACATGGTAAAGAGGGGGAAAGAAAGAAGGTCAATATTGATGGCATGATATATTCAGCAATCAATTCGTAGTGATCCCCTCTGGCAATTACCCTGGCAATGTTGGCCGAAAAGATAGGAGCTGGTCGGCTTCGTGGAGTGATGCTGAATGTCGGGTGATACCCTGACGTGTCTGGTGCTGGGCTTACGGTGGGCGGCATAGAAGCCTTCTCTTAAGAGGGGGTTGAATTTGTTAGTGCAAGTCCAGGAAATGGGACGAAACCTTAGGCAGCCTGCTCGGTTCTTGGCCCGATAAGACTCGCATTCCAACCACCAAAGACACCATTTCCGCATTTTCAACCTGGAACCAACGCGTTGCGCTCCCATGCCGTCTTTTAGCACTCCCGCGGCGTGGTAACCAGCAACAGATGGTTTCTTCACATGATGCTGATCTGTAACAGTTCAAGTCCGAGACAACGGGGCGGGTCATGGTCATTTCTTCTCTGCTCTACTACTCCTCAGCCCAGCACCTTATCCTCCCCCCTCAGCCTTCTTCTAGCCTCCATCAAGGCCTTCCCCAGTCTGTTCTCCCCCCACCACTCCCTATCCACCGGCCCCTCCACCATTTGCTTCTCAGTGAAGCCAATTCCCCAGATCCGGTCGTTGCTTGCTGCCTCGACCAACTCTCTAACGCCTGTCCCCAATAACACTCCTCGAAGTCTTTCGTTCTGCCCAAACTTGGCCAGGTTCCCTCTCACCACCACATCCTGCTTGATCTGATCCCATTCAGCATCGTTGAAGCCTTTTATTTGTCTTCCCAGTCTCTTTTGCGCCTTTGGGTCGGATGTCGCCAGGATCTTCTTTGCGATGGCGAGGTCCTCGAACTGCACCGCTTTGAGGTACATCATGAACTGTTCGGCGGTCTTGAACTCTAGTTTTTGGGCTCCATCGATGTCGCCTGAGGGTGGTTTGGTAGTTATAGAGTAGATTTCGTCGACGGAAATGCTAAAGTAGCAGCTGTACCACTGAGAGAACTCGCCGTAGGCAGCACCCGTCAAGTAGAAAAAGAGCGGTCTATTGGGGTTGTCGTTGGTGAGCTCAGCCATCTTGTCTGGATTTTTGGTGGTGGTGTGCTGTTGAGCCTCAAGCAACTATTGGTGTGTGAACTCCAAAAGTCTTGGGCTTGTCAACTTTTTTATGTTGAGAACTGCTCATATGAAATGCAGGTTGACAACGGTGGTGACTCTACGCCGATACTAGCACCCATGTTAGTGTTTGAAGACTACGACCAAAAGGGCCAACCGAAAGACCAAAATTGAGTGCGCATTGCGAGACACCCAGCCGTGGTGATTCCACACCGACAATAACGCTTGTTGGCAAGTATTAAAGCTGGAGATCAAAAAGTCCGGATGCTGTCGTGACAGTAGCGTGAGTAGCAACCCTAACCCGGGCGTTGATCATTCTGGAGACTCGTTGCCCCACGGCAGTCTGCCACGTGCCTGCTCTTTGCTACATTCTTCTCTGCGAAGATGATTTGGCAAAAAAGTCCCAAGATCTTGTGCAGGGGAAGAGCGTTACGGGGTTTGAGAGTCTCTTTCTGCAACCATTGAATATATTCCCAAGCTGGGTGCTATGTACGAAGCATCAGTCCTGGTTGACCGAGCCTCAACGAATCCTCCTGGGAACAGGGCCAACCACCACAACAAAGCAAACAGTCTCATGACCTGATATGACGCCCTCATCTACTCCGTACTTGCCCTCTCTTTGTCCAGTCTCAAGGCTCTCGTCCCAGCTGACGGACGCCCAGGCGCTAGGTGGGCGCTGCACCCCAGGGATTTCTTGTGGGGACGGCAGCCCCGCAATATTGCGTCACCGACAGGGGTGAAGGTGGGGTCCGATTGGACGACATCCCATCCAAACCACCAAACATTCCTCCTGTTTGCTTCCCTTGGGCTGGTGGATGATGATCCTCAAGTCCCTTGTTTTTCCCAATGCACCCCCCAATCTTCGGCATGATGCCGTGGCTTTTCTCCATTCTATTCGGCCCCTTTCAGTTTTCACTCAGGTCAAGCACCCCAGTGCCGCTTTGCCGCATGGATAGTAGAGTGCGTGCATAGTGCTGCCGCTGATGGATGATGAATACCACCACCCTCAGTGCCCGTGAACTTGCTTGCGGCGGTAAGCCCGTGACATCATCGGGGAAGAGTACGATCGTCAACCCTTTTGGGTCAGCCTGTCTCAAGTGATGGATATATTCATGAGGATCCGCGCCAGCGGCTCCAAAGACATTTTCGAGAAAGTAATTCTGTGTTCCACTTTTGGTGATCTCTCACCCACACAAAGAATCTGTGTTTTTCTTCTCCTGTGGTGAAAGAACAAGTGGCGAACTGACGACCAGAACGACGAGCTGAGCTGCCGAGATGCTCGGAAAGAAGTGAGTCTCGAGCTTCATCAATCCATCTCTCGATAGGCTACCTATACTGATAATCCTCCAAGGTCCATACGCGTCAATGGCGCCGACTGTGGTGTTGAGGCCCTGATCCTCGGGGCCATCACCTCGATCGGCGGCTTTCTTTTTGGCTATGATACCGGCCAGATCTCGGGCATGCTGCTGTTCCGAGACTTCAAAGATCGCTTCGGTCAGGTCGACACGCCGGAGGGCCGAGACTTTCAGCCCATCATTCAGTCCCTGCTCGTCTCGTTGATGAGTATCGGTACACTCTTGGGAGCCTTGAGCGCTTCTTAGTATGTTCTGTCGGTTGCAAAATCAAAAAGCACCAGTATGCCTAACTAATTCTCTATGCAGCACTGCCGACTGGTGGGGCCGTAGAAAGAGTCTCACGTTCGGTGTCGGTGTTTTCATCATCGGCAACATCATTCAAATCACCGCCATGAACCACTGGGTCCACATGATGATGGGCCGCTTCGTGGCCGGCTTGGGCGTCGGCAACCTCTCTGTCGGTGTTCCCATGTTCCAGTCCGAGTGCTCACCCCGAGAGATTCGTGGTGCTGTTGTCGCCTCGTACCAGCTCATGATCACGTTCGGTATCCTCATCGCCAACCTTGTCAACTATGGCGTCAGGGAGATTGAGGACCAGTCCGCTTCGTGGAGGATTGTCATTGGGCTGGGCATCGCCTTTTCCTTGCCCCTCGGTCTAGGTATCTTGTTGGTTCCCGAATCCCCAAGATGGCTTGCCGCCAGATCCAGGTGGGACGAAGCTCGTCTGTCACTGGCGCGTCTTCGTGGCATGAAGAACGACCCTCAACACCAGCTTATCGAGGACGATATGGTGGAGATGAAGGGAATTCTTGAAAAGGAGCGTGCTGTTGGCGTCGGGTCCTGGGCCGAGTGTTTTGTGCCAAAGCCCAATGGTGTGCCCAAACAGGTGTACCGTACGATTCTCGGCATCTCGCTCCATTTCCTTCAGCAGTGGACCGGCGTCAACTACTTCTTCTATTATGGCGCCACCATCTTCGAGTCGGCTGGCATTGAAGATCCAATCCAAACACAGCTCATTTTGGGCGCCGTCAATGTGGCCTGCACCTTTTATGGCCTATATGTCGTCGAAAAGTACGGTCGTCGGTGGCCTCTGCTCATCGGCGCCATTTGGCAGGCGGCGTGGCTCGCTGTGTTCGCCTCGATGGGCACTGCGTTGGATCCCGAGAACAACCGGACTTCAGGTATCCTCATGATCGTGTCGGCCGCCATGTTTATTGCCTCCTTCGCTGTCACGTGGGGGCCGATCTGCTGGGTCGTCATCGGTGAAACCTTCCCTCTGCGCACCCGTGCCAAGCAGGCCTCCTTGGCCACTGCTGGCAACTGGCTTGGAAATTGTGAGTACTTGGCCTCCTTACCCAAAGACACGATGCTGATATTGTTCTCAGTTATGATCTCCTTCCTCACGCCCCTTGCAACCGATGGCATTGGGTATGCCTACGGTTTTGTGTTTGTCGCCACCAACATCGCGGGCGCACTGCTGGTGTACTTCTTCCTCTACGAGTCGGTCAGTCTCAGTCTGGAGAACGTCGACACGATGTACAGCCAACCTGATCTGAAGCCCTGGACGTCCAAGAAGTGGATGCCCCCTGGATATGTCACACGCATGAACAGAGACGAAGACTTCTTCCACAACGACCGGGCTCAGCATGCCAGCGGAGTTGATGATTTGGATGACCGGACCACCGCTGTACCAAGCGGCAGGCCTAGCCGGGTGGTTGATGAAGAAAAGAAGGCCGATGGCGTCAATGGGCTGGGAGCCACAGAGTCGAGGGAAGAAAGGGTCAACCGGGCGGTGTGAAGGTTTTGAGGGGTGTGTAAAAGGATTGTTTTCTTTCTTGCGGCCGTATGCACAGTGGAGTTTGGGAGCGCTTGGAGTAACCCATGTTTTTGTTTCGGTTAATTCTTTGGCAGCATGAGCTTTGAACTATGAAGCATGATGATGATTCTGACCATTTGAGCACTTTTCCGTGTGAATTGTGAAGATTGACGGGTAACAGGCGGCCGGAGGAGGAATGGATGGGATGATTCCGTGACACAGGTTTGGACTGTTGGCATGACACAAGAATAATGCCAAGACATGATTCATTTCTGCTGAGAGCCGCCCTGCCGGAGAAGGGAGCCGCCTCTGAAGTTTCCAGGCTCCGCGGGGGTCATGGACGATTATTGGAGATGAGGGCCTCCGGGAAATTCTGAGTAGACTTTGGAAGAAAGCGTTGTTAACAAGGAATTCGAACATCTCGAACATCTATCAAGTAAACCTTTGAAGCCGCCCTGACACACCGCTGACGGCGAGCCAGTTCATCCCGCCAGGAAGGCACTTATTGATGGACATGCCGGCGAGCGCTTGGCTCGAGCCCACGACCGCCATAATGGAATGCGCTTGACGCGAACTCTTTTTTTCTTCCTCCTGGGAGAAATGGCGGCTTCCGTCCAAAAAAAGAAGCGGCAACATGTAGCAAGAGCCGAGTGACACCCGCCAATGCCTACGCATGTGCGATGCTGCACAGTGTTGACACGTGCTCCTGCCACTTCAACGCAATTCCACTCCACAGATGCCACAATAGGTATAAGAACGCCCTCGTCAGACCGTCCGGGACGAGCCAATCCCATGATACATCAGCTGCCTCGAACATGATACGCTCTTTTCTGTTAGTGGCCGCTGTGGCCTCGGCGACTTCGGCCCGTGTGATGGATAGTCTTGCAGCTGTCCCGAGGGGGTGGGAATCAGTCCGTCCAGCGTTGCCAGAAGAGACGGTATCTCTTCGCATTGCCCTCAAACAGCAGCGAGCTGAAGCCCTGGAACAAGCCGTCCTCGATATCTCGACTCCCGGACATCCCAAATACGGCAGACACCTAACCCGCGATGAGCTCAGGTCCTACACAACTCCCTCCCAGTCAGCCACTCTCGCCGTCACCCGTTGGCTCGAGGATCACAACATCCAGACTGCGGTTGCCGACAATGACTGGGTTACCTTCAGCACCACGGTCGAAAACGCCAGCCATCTTCTCAAGACGGATTTTGCCTGGTATCGGAACGTCGAGAACAACATCGAGCTCAAGCTGCGGACACTTGCCTACTCGGTGCCAGATGAGGTGGCACCACACATTGATCTGGTGCAGCCCACCACTCGGTTCGGCCAGCCTGTTGCCAAACGGTCCACCATCTTCGAGATGCACCATCTTGATGCCAATGCTGCCAATAAGATCAAGCTTGCCGCCGCCGGCCAAGCAAACTGCAACCTTACCATCACCCCGGATTGTCTCAAGTGGCTGTACGACATCAAGTACAAACCCACAGATTCGATTGAGAACACGATTGCATTTGCTTCGTTTTTGGAGCAGTACGCCCGCTATGACGACTTCCAGACGTTTCAGAGCAGGTATATTCCAGAAGCGCAGGGGCAGAACTTCACTGTCGAGCTGGTTAACGGCGGTTTGGATGATCAAAATAGCTGGCGTGACAGTGGTGAGTAGTACCATGGCCGTTTCTCAAAGTGCTTGCCGACTCACATACGTATCTTGCCCGCACAGGTGAAGCAAACCTCGATGTCCAGTACATCCACGCAGTCAGCCACCCTGCTCCCATACTCCAATACAGCACGGGCGGGCGCGGTCCCCTGATCCCCACCAAGACCCAGCCCAAGCCCCCGGGCACCAACGAGCCTTATCTCGAATGGCTCACCTACCTCCTCAACCAGACCGACGACAAGATACCCAAGGTCATCTCGGTCTCGTACGGCGAAGAGGAACAGTCGATTCCCCGTGACTACGCCGTCAAGGTCTGCAACATGTTCATGCAGCTCGGAGGACGTGGTGTCTCGGTCATCTTTGCGTCGGGGGACTCAGGTCCAGGCACGCATTGCATCCGTAGCACGGACAATGCGACCTTCTTTGAGCCAACCTTCCCGGCCGGCTGCCCCTATGTCACCTCGGTGGGGGCCACGTACCTCACCAACCCCGAGAAAGCCATCAGCTTCTCGTCTGGCGGCTTCAGCATGTATCACCCAAGACCGCAGTGGCAGAGGACGGCCGTGGAGCCGTACCTGCGAACGATTGGAGACACGTATGCGCCCTACTTTGACCCCCGCGGCAGGGCCATACCGGACATCTCAGCTCAGGGGTCCAACTTCAATGTCATTGACAAGGGATACAACTCGCTGCTGTCAGGCACGAGCGCTTCGGCGCCGGTGGTGGCCGGGATTGTGGGCCTGTTGAACGCGGCGAGATATACACTGGGGTTGCCGTCGCTGGGGTTCTTGAACCCGTGGTTGTACAACAATTCGGATGCTTTCACCGATGTGGTTGCCGGGGCTGGAGTCGGGTGCCGAAGGCGTAAGGAGCTGGGGTACGGCGGCGCGTCCTGGAATGCCACGGTGGGTTGGGATCCGGTGACGGGGTTGGGCACGCCCAAGTTTGGAAGACTGTTGCAGCTGGCGGCCCCGGGGGTTGCCAATGCCTAGAGCAAGAGGGGAAGGGCAGTGTTAGTGGGTAATTAATAGTTTAGTTGTAGAGTTAATGAGGGATTGAGTCGCTCACTTTGAAAGAGACGTGAGGGGCAATCTGGGTCCATCTGCATGTGCATCTCTCAGGTTTGTGTAACGGGCTTGGATGACGTGTGAGTGGAATGTGTGGGTGGGAGGGTGGCTGCATTGCCCGTTGATCGGTGTCTTTGAGTTTGAGGCTGTCACCAAAGTCAACGGTGGCTAAAAATGGAGCCCTGGCTGGTTGACCGCGGCACCGGCTTCAGGGGGAGATGTGCCGGGGGGAAGGGGGACGCTGACTCCACTTTGTCGTTGGGCTCAGATTGACATTTGACAGATTCTTTCAATTTTGGTGGTTCATGATTGATGGGAATAACCGGCGGGAAGCAGCGTGGTGGTATTGGGCTGTTTATTTCATGCAAGGCGGCAAGGCGGTGCGAGGATGTGTACATGTATGGAGTTCGGTCGAGGCAGGTCATGATGCAGAATCTTGTTCTGGTGGTTGTTGTGCTGCATGATACCTGATCATGAGCACGAGATGAGAGTGTGGGCAACAAAGTGAGAAGAGAGGGCTTTTGGAGAGATTTTCTTGGGATTAAATGTTTCTTTATTGACTGTTGCCCTGATCTTCTGTTTCAGGGCGCCAAGACTGGGCCTGTTTGTCAAAGTGGTGGGTGGTGGTGATGCGATGATGGCCCGCGCCGAGCAAAAGCTTCCCCAGCTCTTGGTGTTGCATCAGCTACTCGTACACCGCCCAACCTAGCCAAAAGCACTCCACTTGTTTGATCCAGACCAGACTCTCACACTTATCGCAGCTCCATACCCAACCTACACCTGCAATTAGTGACGTGAGCTAAAAAGACGAGATAGCTCGCCAAAGAATAGAGACATCTCACAGTCAAATTGCTTGAACTGTGAAGAGTGTGTAGGTGCTGTGCCTGACCAAAGAAAAAAAAAACTATCGTCGATCGCGGTTTGGCAGCACAAAACGGGGGCCAGGACGGGGGACCCTTGGCGTCCAACCCTCCAATGCGCTAGCGCCCAGGCGGGATCCTTGGGTGGAGAGAGCACCAGTCGGCTTTTTCATCGCGTCCCTCTTTTTGGCTGCGGCGCGCCCGCCAATCAGCACCGATGGGATGCGACAAGCTTGGGCCATCTCTCCAAAGCAGCCCGTGCGGAACCGAAATCTGCAGGTCGGGGGTCGGGTGGTCACGCATCTTTCCCCAGAAGCACCAGAAACAGGACAAGGGCGCAAAATTTATGCCTGGTCCGGTGCATTTCTCCATCCTCGTCCATCCATTCATTCTCCTCACCCTCGCTGCCGACCGAGAGAGAGATTGTGTCTGGCCTTGTTTGTCTGCTAATGTCCAACACCGGGGCCACCTCACCTACCTGCATAAGCTGCGCCTTTTGATCCCGAGAGAGCTGCCAGCCGGCGCAAGCTCTCCCTTGTGAGAGGCTGAGGTGACCAACGAAACGGCCCAAGAAAATTCAAAAGATCCTCCGTCATTGTTCCTCGATCGAGCTCACAGCGCGCCATGGACCCAAGACAACCACCACCACCACCACAGCACCCCTTCTCGCGGAACGCTGCCGCCTCGCCCTTTACACGACCGTCATTCCCGCCAGCAAACGCGAACCCAGCGACATCGCAACCTCCGTATCCACCCGCGCCATCATCGCATCCATCGTCCCACGGCCCTCAACCACATCCGCCGTCCCATCCCGCGTCCCATCCCTCCCATCCTCCGCAGCCCACCGGCCCTCCCTACTCCGAAATGCACGCGCGCAAACCCTCCGATCCGCCTCCCTATTACCCGGGCGCGAGACAGTATGGTGGTCCCGAGCCTGGTCCCGGCCCGATGCCGCCGTCGACACACTCGCGACATCCGAGCACCTCCTCGATAGCTTCAGGTCCAGCCATGACTCGCGCCATGCCGCCGCCACCATCCTCGCCGCCACAACAGCAGGGACAGCAGCAGCAGCAAGGTGGACCAGGCGTCCATCAAATGGGAGGCCCTTATGGTCCACCAGCACCGCGCCCTCCTCCTGTCCAAGTTGGACCCCCATCCGCTTTTCCTCGAGGACGTGAACTACCCGCGCTGGAATCGCTGACGAGGACCGGTCAGCCTGGAAGCAGCATGTCCATCTCTTCGATGCTCGCCAACAGGGAGCCCTCACAGTACGCGCCTGGACCACCTCCAAATGGTCCCGGCCCCGGCCCTGGTTCTGGTTCTGGTTCTGGTCCCGGTCCCGGTCCTGGTCCCGGTCCTGGTCCTGGTCCTGGTCCTGGTCCTGGTCCTGGTCCTGGCTACAATCAACAACCTGTTCATGCGTCTCCTCGAATGCATCAAGCTGCACCGCCAGAATACGTGCCATTTCGACGACCACAAACTCCAGAACATCATCGCATGTACGATGGCCGCGATCCAAGAGCGCCGGCCGGAGCATCTCCTCAGGCCTACAACTCGACGCCAGAGGTACAACGCTATGGCACCCCACAGGCCTATCCTCCAAGAAGCGGGCCACCGATGTCGCTCAACGAGCAAGGAAGGGATCCTAGGGAGCCACCACGAATGCCAAACACGAGCGTGCCTCCTCGGCCTAACAGCCAGCCGAAATCGTTCCAGCCTGTTGGACATCCCCGAATGGAAATAACCAGACCGTCTAATGAATTGTATGGACACAGAGAAGAACAACTACGGCCAGCTCCGGCCGAGGAATACAACCCCGAACGTCCGATCAGAGTGCTCAAGTATGAAGAACAGCGGTTCATGCCGGATAGGGAGCGACATGAAAGGGAAAGGCAGGAGAGGGAGCGTCATGAGCGGGATATGGAGTTTCGGGAAAGAGAGCGGCGAGAGAGGGCCATGTCCGGTGGCGATCCAGGACGACCACCACATGGCATGCATCCGCAAGAATATGCGCGGCAGATGGAACAACGGGCTCAGCAGGGTTACGGTCGCCCTCCAGAACCGCGGGAACAGGGTAATCACTGGCCAAGGCCTGGCTACGAGCCAGCGCGAGCTCCCTACGACCCTGCCATGCATCATGGACCTCCGAGACACCAAGAGTACCCTCCTGCCTCCGGACCGCACTACAACAACGGCCCTCACCAATATGTGGAACGCCATCCAATGCCTCCTCACCAAAACGCCATCCCCCCACCTGGACCTGTACATCCCCAGTCTTACGACTCACCGGACCGCCAGCGCATGAACCACATGCACATTGACCGCCAGCCACACCCGCAACAGCTCCCACCACGAAGCCGTGAGGACCAAGCCGTTCCACCTCCGTCTGTCGCGTACGGCGGGGTGGGTGGTCCACCCATGTACGACTCTCCTCGTAACCGGAGCATAGAGGAGCTCAATGCGCCACATGGAAACCAGCGAAATTTACTAGGGATCCAGGAAATCAACAGAAAGGGCCGCATCTCACCATTGCCGCAAGCGGTGCAAGGAGCCCAGCCCCAGCTGGCGGGTCCAGCCGGTGAACCAGGCATCAAGAGCGAGTTTGGTCGCATGTTTTCAGGTATTGGTAGCGGTGTGGGTGCCATCTCCAGCCCTGTTCCCACAGGTGCGCAGCTTCCCTTCAATGCCATGGGATTGCTCCGCCGCGAGGAGCCGGATGGTCCCCTGCACGAACCGGTTGTGGAGATGGCGAAGCCTGGACGTGGGAAGAGGAGGAAGTTGAAGGAGGAGGATCTTCGAGACGAAGAGGGTAGCACAGGCAGATCGACCCCAGTGGGTGGCCGTGCCAAGAAGGCAAAGACGCATGCGCACCACCATCATCAGTATGTCCATGCCCCAGGCTTCCCAGGTCAAGCATCTAACGTCGGCAGTCATCATCACCACCATCACCATCATGGTATGGACCAGACAGGATCCCCTGCCAGTGCCGCCAACGCCCCCTTCAAACACGTAAAGGGCTCTACTCCTGTCCCTTCCCCGACCTCTGCCCTCGGAAGAGAACTTCCGAACGCCCATCACCACCACCATCACGCAGCCCCTAGACCGGCCCAAGCCAAAGCTGTCCCGCCACCCCGGAGCCCGTCTCCTGTCGTTCTTCCCAAGCCGAAACAAATCATCTCGTCAAAAGCCGTGCTGGAGGCGGTGGCGGGTTACCCGCGCACACACCTCGGAGATGTTGTCTACAAGCCACGGCTCCAACCGGCTCGGGCCCAGGACCCCCGGACAGGGAGACCACCACGAACACCGTTCAAGTCCACCATGGAGCCACTGCCTTTTGACATGATACGAGACAAGTTCAACTGTACGCTCACGGTCAAGATCGGAAAAGAGCATCTGAGCAGCGACGTTCGCGAGGAAATTACGCGGACGAGAGCGTTGTGGGGGACAGAGGTATACACGGACGATTCAGATGTGATTGCCGCCTGCATTCATGGCGGGTGGATTAGGGGCGAGTGGCATAGGGATGTCAACATCAACCTTCTCAACCTCGACCAAGGCTACAGCATATCTGACGTGCGGGAGGAAACCAGGCGACAGGCTGCTACCGACGGGCGCTCATCCACACCCACTCCGTCCAACCTCATTGTTCTCGACGCTCCGCCCAAGACAGGTCCCATGGCAGTGCCCGAAAACCGCGACCTACACGTCAGGCTTGTGATTCTGCCCCGACTGGAGAAGTACGCTTCCACAACGCGATTCGGCATCAAGAGTCGAGAATTTGGCGGCTCACTCGCATCCGCCGACGACGGCAGGCCACGGATCAATGCCACACACGACGGAATCAGCTACATGATCACCGAAATCAGGTGGCTCACCAACGGGGGTGAGTCGCAGAACAGGCTCAGGGGCAAAGCACGACGCGAAAGGATACGAAAGGCGCTGCGAGAGATCGAGCTGACCCCTGCATGGGCCAAGGCGACGAGTAACGGCAGTGCGGCAGGGTCGGAGCGGCAAGGACCCGTCAGCAAGGCGCCCAGCGAAGTGGACAAGGAGAACCAACCGCAACGCAACGCAGAGGAAATGGAAGTGGATGATTCGAAAACGCAGCAAGGAGCAAAGGAAGCTGTGAATGGGCAGCAGGGCGGAGACACCGGCAGCAAGAGTGCGAGTGAGGGTACGACGACAGGACCGGCAGAAAATGGGGTTTCTGTGACAGAAAAAGCGCCGGCGGCTGTTGAGGCGACAGAATCTGGGACAGAGGTGTCTGTAGTCCCGGTGGAAACAGCCGCCCCTGAGCCCACCGTGTAGAGAGATATCCAAGTCAGTGTTGCTGGGACTGTTTGGGCGAAGCTTGTGGCCAGAGTTCGAAGTGTTTTGAGGATTACTTAAAGTGGTTTCGTCTCACAGCGTGTTAGATAGATACCTAAGGTAGTCAGTTGGATCAAGCGTTGCAGTGTGTTGTGTATGGCCTTTAGTTCTTGATTACTGGCTTGCTCTCTCATGAAGGCAGCGCTTTTGTTGTACAGACTGTCGATACAAGAAATGACACCTTCCTCTGCTCCATTCCTTTTAGAAATCCGTCACCCTCCCATTGTAGCTCCAATCACCCTTGTCACCCCATCTCAGAGGCTCGTTCTTTGGTCCGCCCACTTCGCCCGTCTTGGGGTTGACATCTCCTTCAAACTCGGGAGGGGCACCCTTCCTGATGCCACCGCTAAAGGTCGGCTCTTCTTCTGGCTGGGCAGTCTTTGCTTCTGCTGGTTGCTGGGCAGGGTCGGTAGAGGGGGAGGAGACGTGTCTTGACGTCGAGAGTGGCTGTTCGGCGGGGACCTGGTTGTGGGAGGAGAGGGCGGCTTCGGCGGCTCGTTGGAGGCGCTCAAACTCGGCTTGCTGGTCTGCTGGAAGACGGGGTGGAGAGGGAGAGGATTGGAGGAAAGAGGCGGCGTAGGTGCGCGTTGCGATGGGTGTGATTATGGATGAGGCGCGGAGAGGCCGGAGGATGAAGGAACCAAGAGAAAATAGGCGTGACATGTTGAGGTTTGTCTGTGAATTCTTGTGAGCAATAGTCGGTAGATTGGTCTTGTGTGGTGGTGTTGGCGCAATGGGTGTCGATATGGAAAAATTACAGTGGACAGCGGCGAAAGATTGCCGAGACGGGGGATGACGGAATCAGCGCTTGGTCGGCGGTGGTGGCCTTGACCCGCTTCTGTGGACCCATTGACGATCTCCCACCTCAGATGGCCCAAGCGCCTTCGAGAAGATGGTACAAACTGGAATTCATCAAGGCTGGATCCGCATCGGCCATTTGGAAATTCCATTTTACATCCATGACCGACCTCTTTTTCTGCCTCTGATCTGTACAACCCGACGCAGCCTCCTGTACGCAGCCCGGCGTCAGGGCCGCAGGGCCATAGCAGTGTGTTTGCCGAACTCATTAAGGACAAGATGCATCATGTGCCGTCATATCTAGGGATGACCTTCCTACGGCAATATGAAGGTGATTGCATGCTTGTGCCGTCTGTTACTGTCTTTCTTCGCATGTGGCTCATACTCGGACAGATCTCGAAATTCCAAACTTCACAATACAGACGTTGCATTTGGGCTCAGTTTGACGCCTAAATGGCGCTGCTGGATCATGTTTATTGGCCAGAGCCGCAGTGAGCCTGCCCAGTCCCTGTTCAGTGCCAGTGTCGACGGCATCGATCCGCCTGGGGGAAGGCCAGTGGCCAATGGGCAGCTTTTCGGCTGCGTCGTTATCATTTGCGACTATTCGCAAAGAACGGGCTGCATCAGTCGAGAGGAAGGGGGGGGCGGCCAAGGGGGCCTTTTTGTCCTGCGGCTGCCCCCGCATCCCGAGACCATGTGAGCTCTCGACCTACCTATGCCACAGATTTAGCTCCAATGATGCCCAGACCACCCCTCTCTCCGGCAACCACCACTTCTGCCATTCAACTTCCTCTTTGGCGTCAAACTCCGCCTGTTCAAACGTTATTTTGTCCCCTGGACCAGACCCTATGGTAGCCAAATCTTCACCGTGAGACTGGACTTTTGGGAGGAGAGGAAATATATGTATACATGGCAACAGATAAATCGTCGCTCACACTACTACCGACCCGGCCCCGCATTATCTTGATCCTATGATGGACGACGGCTCCTATTCTTCTACCGGGCCGATCTTCGTCCTCGCTCCCATCGACGACGCTGCCCGTTATGCCACCTCACTCAGCGCCAACTATGAACACCTGCACTACGACCAAGATAACAACCCAGTCGGTCTGCTAGTAAATCTATCGAGCCCCGAGAAGACAATCTACACTTTGGGTCGTCCTGGTCCCAATATCGACCCGCCCGACATCCACATCTCTGAACCTCGACCCCGCAGGGGATTACCGCACATCTCTCACCTTCATGCTTCTTTCCAGCTCGTGCCGGAGACAGGGGCGGTTCTGCTTTGGGATTATTCTAGTACGAGCTCGGTGAAGCCATTTGGCGCTCCAAATAGCTGGGGTTATACTGTCAAATTTCGGAGCGAATCTTCACCGAGATCCGTCTTGGTTGCTCGGGGTATCAATACTCACGTCGCGTTCGCTTCGGGCAGCAACAACACCAAGTGGTGTCAGTTCGAGATACAATGGCATTCTGAGGGGATGTATCACTTTCACAAAGACGAACCCTACTTTGTAGGGCCGCAAGAATCCAGAATAAAACGTTACGTTCAACATGAGAAATTGGGCGGTGGCTCATACGGTACGGTTTACTCGGCGCTAGATGCCGAGACGGGACAGATGATTGCTGTCAAGAAGTTTCACAACTTGACCGGCAAGCACTTGACATTCGCCACCCGAGAAGTTGACAACCTGAAGAAGAAGGCCTTGAGACAACATGTACGCACTCCTCAGTTGTCCCTCTGCAGAATGGCGCAGCTAACGTGCATGAAACAGCCACATATTTTGCGGATTCTTGACTCGGCAGGCGGCGGTGAAAAGGACAACTGGGGCGAAATCTTTATGCCTCTGAAAAAAGGAAATCTCAAGGACCTGTGCGAGACGATCCAGACAGAAGAAGATCGATGGGAGCTCTCAAACCAAGTTCTGTACCAGATTCTACTAGCCCTCAACTGCCTCGCCGACAATGACGTTGTGCATCGCGATGTCAAACCGGACAATATCCTGTTCGACTTTGACGAGAATGGAGACTATCGGTTTTGCTTGGGCGATTTCGGGCTCTCCAATGATCCCGAGAGGGCCATCACTGCGGCTGGCACGGAACCTTTTATGGCCCCTGAGATTTGCTACAGAAAGAAACAGACAACCAAAGTCGACATATGGTCATTGTTTGCCACGATTGTCTGGATGCGAAATTCCGACTTCCGAGCAGCTTGCTCCCGACTTCGCGCCCCCGACCTGCACAAATGGATCATTTCGATTTCAAAAACAGCAGGCTACGAACTCATTCGCGCCATGGCCAGTCACGACCCCAAGAAGCGACCGTCGGCAAAGAAACAGCTGGACATCATCGACAGCGGAGAGTTTCAGGATTTTGGCGAGGAGGAAAGTGATCCGGGGGACCTCTTGAGTGCCCAGTTTGCACAGGCCATGTCGCTGCAAGGCGACTCGAGTCGGAGTTATGGGTCCGTTTCGACAGGGTATCCGACATCACCAGAAATGGCATACTACGAGCCTTATGCCTCTGGGGTTTACACGGGGTATGGGGGAGCCGGGGTTATGAAAGAAGGCCGCTATGCGCCACCCCCAATGGGGACGGCGGAGGCCCCGCGAAACCAAGGGGTAAGCATCATCGACTTTGAAAGCCCCTACCCCTCCTGGCTGACACCGTAATCGCAGGCCTGGGTTCGCCCGTACGACAACCCATATGGGCCCCCGCAGAGTCAAGACAGCGACGAGGGCACAGTTATGCCAGAGATCAGGACGGCGGTCCCAACAATAGCCGAGGACGACGTCTTCACGTATGAGGAGTACATGGAGGAAAGAAGAAGAATGAAGGGAAAGAACAGAAGCGGCATATAGCGTGTCTAATCTGTTCTTTTTATTTTCTTTGGGCGGTTTGTTTGCATTATACCCACATCATGATTACTATCATCCATTTCCGGTCGGTTGAGATTCAACCAGCATCCTTGGTAGAGCGGCGCCATCTTGACGCCCGCAGCCTGAACCGACTCTGGAACACGTTGTTAGATTAAATACGTTAACTGAATTATAACCAAGATACCTAGTAAACATGGAGACGCCGACCGTGCTGTAGCACAAGCCACGACTCGCAGCGTGGGACATGGAACTAGGTACTCACTGAAACTCTGCCTCGCTGCTTATTATTGCGTCACAACACAGGAAGCATGTCATTCCGTGAGAGTCCTAGCTGTGTGCCAGGACACACAGCCGATAGACTGCGCCTCCACATGTCACCCCAAATTTCCATCTGAACCATGCACAACCGCATATTCCAACTGCCATGTATGGACTTTGCGGGGAAGGCAAAATTCCATTTCTGTGCCTTGTCATCCTGTGAGGATTCCGATATCGCCTATTTTGGCCATCGTCACTTTTGATTCGTGGCCGTGCTGATGCGGTGAAGCGAAGCCTGTAGCAGATGGAAAAGCCTGTTACTCTCCTTGTCCGGAAATAACAGCCTGCCATGGTGTAAATATCTTATTGCCATGCTTGGTGCAATTCCAATATTGTCCGGGCGAAATGTGTGGGGGGTTTTGGTCAAAAATATTGGAATTTGGAATGGCAGGATGTACGTAGGCACGCTACGCTGCCTCTGTACTAACAACCCCTAGTTTTTGCTCATTGAGGACCCTAGACTAAGAAGGGGAAAAAAAAGTACTGAGCTGCAACTGAGCATAAGTTTTCGAAAATAACACCAGTAGGTTATTAAGAAAATGGTAAAAGGATAGGACGAAACGTGATTTGAACACGTGACCTACCGGACTGCAGCCGGTTGCTCTACCCCTGAGCTATTCGTCCAGGTGATTTGTTTATGTCTTACGGGCAGGAACTTGCCGTTATGTGTGGATGGCTTGAATGAGAACACCAAGTTGGAAAATGGGTCATATTGGGGGGTGACTGGCCACCACCTATTCCACAGTAAGCTCACCACGCCGCTCGGTATATGGCCACGAGAACGGTTCACAGATGCATAACCTTATTTCCACATCTACCCTTTTGAATCCTCGAAAAGATTTCTGCAGGAGGAGCGAAGGCGGACAATGCCGTCGAAGCTAAAAACTGACAACTCGACATCACTACCGGCCTTTCTCATCTGACAGCCTCGGCCGAGACATTGCGGATGCTGCGTGCATACAATTACTAGTGAGCACAGCGACGACCAACGCGGACATCCCATAAATGTCACAACATCAACGATGGACATCAGCCCCCGTCGATCTGAGATCCCGACATTCCTGGCTACATTGCGATTCGTAAATAGTTCTTGGCATTCCATCGTGGTGATTCAGGTACACGCAGTGACTGCGGCGGTCGCCGTCGAATGCATCTCATTTCGTGAAGACTTCATTTTCTCCTGCCTGTATTGTTGGTCGGCGGCCGGCACAGTCGTACTAGATCGTCGAATGGCCTGCGGTGCGCTGCTGTCTTGGCAGCCGCCGATCTGACCGGCCATCTTAAACGGGCAGCTGTCGAGGAGGCTCAGTGAGACATAGGCTTGGTAAACTGGAAGCCTGATGTTATCATCCCTCCTTTCTTTTTCCTTTTATGGTGTGTGAGGAGGTGACACCTCTCAGGCCTTTGCAGAGTTCACAGAAGGATGCCGTTGCCTGTCGTGGGCTCTCCAGAATAAGGCCGAGCAATGGACCCGTGAGAGACAGCCTTACATGTGATTAGGGTATCCAGGTCAGCAGGAGGGGCCATCAAGATGGGTAATTTTGAGATATAAAGGTCCTCTTCCTGTCCGGCTCTTGAGTCACATCATCAGCATCAACATCCCAGCTTCTTTCACACAACATTCCTCTAAACATGCAGCTCTTGTCCACCCTCGCCCTCTTGGGCAGCACCCTCACGGCCCTCGCCAACCCCCTTCCCTCTCCTGGGCTGGTCGGCGAGCTCAACAATGACCACGACATCACCCCCAACGGCACCGTTCTCGTCTCCCGCGACATTCGCGGCTCCATCCCCATTGGCGCCCACGCCATGGAGCACCGCTTCCAGCCCGTCATCGACTTCGATAAAGACGGCTGCTACTACACCTCGGCCGTCGACCGTTCCTCCAACCTCAACCCCGGCCTCGGCACAGGCGGCTGCCCTCACCACAACTGCCGCGAGCTCAACCGGCTCGAGAACAACAACGTCTACTCCCGGATGCGGTGCAACAACGGCTGGTGCGCCATCATGTACGAGTACTACTTCGAAAAGGACCTCTGGGCCTGCGGCAGCGGCCACCGCCACGAGTGGGAGAACATCATTGTCTTTGTCCAGAACGACAGACCCCGCCGTGTCTCTGGGGCAAGACACGGAACGCACGACCGAGCGACGAACAGCTTCCGGGTCAAGGATGACACCAGAGTCAAGATGGTCTATCACAAAGAGGGTGCTGGAACGCACAAGTGAGATCCTTTCCTTCTTCCAACCAAATCGAGAACAATCCACTGACATGAAACCAAAACAGCTTCCGCACTGCCAATGCGGGTGACGACAAGATCGAGAACCACACCGGCCAATGGTTCCTGGGCCGCCTGGTCGGCTGGAACCACTGGCCCAGCGTTGCCATGAGGAACAAGGTCCTGGACGGCAAGAACTGGAGCAAAGACGGCGGCATCCGGCCCAAGCTGGGTGACAGGGACTTTGCCGACAATTTGAGGCAGGCTGCTGGTAACTCGGTCCCCGGTTTCAACCCCAGTGTGGATGGCTAAAGTCTCTCAAGTGTGAAGCTCTCTGAGCTTGTGTTTGAGAAGGATAATAACCGGTTGGCATCACATGATGTGGGTGTTGAAGTAATAGGAGATTTTGGCCGAGTTGGAAATAGGAAGTTGCTAGTCTGGTAATGAGTTTGCATTTCAAGTTGTTTCTGATAAGTAGCTTCAGTCGCTAATGGAAACTATGCTGGTCTACACTTTCCAGTAGAAGTCATGAAGCTATGACAAGAGAGCTGAGGAAGGTATCTTCATATCAGATTGTTGAGTGCAAATACAATGTCATACTTGAATACATATTAACAGGCCTCTTGAGATCATCAAGAAACCCTCCAAATTAGTCACATGGTCTAGAAAGATATTCGTAACGTGGATTGGCTGTTTTGTAAGGCCGTATCATTTCATCACAGTCTCTAAGTTCCTGTCCACAGAGTAAATACATATCGTTCTCACCACACTTGAGCCTCCATCTATTTCCATTCTTCATGCATAAGATACCTATGTAAGCAATGATCTCATATCTGTAACACATATCTCCACAACCCCTAATAGTACAACAAGTCTTCCCTCCAGGATGGTAGAAAAAGGATGGCGACGGCAATGCTTTGTACAACTGCATGCGTAAGACGTGTCCGCCCGCTCCGATAATGAAAAGAAATGCCCAATAATCATGATACACCAAGTGTAAGGTTCACCAAACGAACCGCCGCACCCCTCTTTGTGCAACCAACACGCAATGCGTAATGTTTTTGCCGGCCAGCCAGCCATGTAAGAATATATAACCCCCAAGATGATCTTCAAACAAAAGAACAAAACGAGATCCAACTCGAAATCGTGTCACGCCGTGTAAATGTCGCCAAAATATGCCTCGCTTGCTCTGACAAAAAGGAATCACCCACCATGAAGACACTGCTCGGCAATCACGCGCAAACAGTCGACGAAACACCATTGTAACCCGCCCCCGTAACCATCCCACAAGTCGCTTTCCTCCCACTCTCCCATATCCCGGCTGACGGGCTCAAGACCAGCGCAGGGATCTCTAGATGTTCTTCGTCACCTTCCACCTCGACTCTGAATCGTCCGATCTCGGTGAAGCCTAGTTTGGTGTAGAGGCGAAGTCCCATGGGGCTCGCAAACACAGTGGTGTATAATCCCAACCTCTGTGCCTCCTGAATCCCCCACTCTGTCAAGGCCTTGCCTGCCCCCCGACGTTGGTAGTCGGGGTGGCAAAGCAGGATCCTGAGCATGACATGTCCTCTTTTATATTTCGCATCGAAGAAGGACGCCTTGTACCGAACGCAAGCTGATTTAAAAGCGTCCATTCTGTCCTTGTGGCCGATGGTGATGGGAACGCCGAGGGAGGATGGTTGTTGGGAGGGGAGCGGCTCTGTGTAACATGGGTTGCGGTTAGGATCTTTTCTTCTTCTCCTGTATCGTGATGTCTAAGACAACCACAATGGACATATGCACATGGGATAAGCTGAAGAAAATGACATACCCAAGCTCCCGGTGTGGGCCTGGACCCTGTGTTGCGAAGCCGGCGTATCCCAGACGGCAAAGGCAACGACCCGCATGGCCCCGGCATCGGTGGCGCTCGGCATCTCGCAGACGA